CTTCCACCACTTTTGTTCTTTAATCAGCACAGTGTTCTTTAATCAGTTCTTTAATCAGTTGTTCTTTAATCAGTTATCAGTGAATAAACAGCATACTGAACACAGTCCCAGACCATCAACAGTGAGCCTCACCTTGTTGTCCTGATTAGATTACTGCCAAACTAGCTAAAACTTTAAATGCCAGGATTAAAAATAGGCTGCTACATGTTTAAAATAGCTTGGTCACTAGTTAGCTTTGAGCTTTGCTATTTTTACTAAAGGAAAGTGGCCAGAGGTTGAAAGGGAATTCAATAAGGAAGCTGCTCTTACAGTGAGAGCACAGGAGGCCAGGAGGTGGCACCATTAGATCAGCATTCTCTGAGCAGGTGTGAGGGGGGTGGGGGAGAGGCAGTTTGTCTTTGTGAATTAAACTAAAAACTAAAAACTTTGGTCTGAACATTCAAAAAGAACCTCCCAGACACATTTTGGTTTTGCTTTGTTATATACTTAAATCCAGAATTTTGACAATATCTGATGTTACAAACTAGTATGATAGGCCAACATGATCAAATTAAGAGTTTCTCTATTTTTTTAATATTTTATTGAAGTATAATAAATACAAATAAAAGTACTTATATGTACAGCTTGATGTTTTTTCACAAACATAATACACTCATGTAACGAGCACCAAGACAATGAAAGCGAAAGCATCAGCACTCATCAGCACTAGAACTCCCCCTCATAACACTTTCCAGTTAGTACCCTGACTCCAACAAGGGCGTCTACTATAGTAATTTCCATTATAGTTTAGTTTGCCTCATTGTGTACTATATATATTAATAAATAATATTAAATGTACTCTACTGTGCCTGGTACCTTATGTAAAATTCATCAATATGTACATAACTGTATGTGTAGCAATCTCACAGTTGCACGTAACTATTTATTCTTAATTCTCACTGCCATGGAGCATACCAATGAATGAAGTAGGTCATTAAGTATGAAATGTCCGATTTCCTTTAGTACTAAGTTTGACAGTTGGTATCTCTGACATTTCTTGTTTTATTTTTATTGTGAAGGTACATCCTCATTCTTTCAAACACACATTTTGGCTTGTGATTATCTTTCAAAATCTTTTTAGACCAATTTGTATGAAACCATGGATAAGTAAAAAACTCATGTTATTTTTGAATATGAGTTCCATTGTGCAATCAATGCTGTGCAGACAGCTGGAAATATCAGTGAAGTGTTTGGGAAGGATGTGGCTAATGAACACATAGCACATTGATGGTTCCAGAAGCTCTGTTCTGGTGATTTTAATCTTGAAAATGAGCCACATGGGTGACCTAAGACCAAGGTGGATAATGATGAGCTGAAAGCTGTAGTGGAAGCGAATCCCTCTCAACCTACACGTGATTTAGCAGCAAGGTTTGATGTTACTATTCTAACAATATTGGACCATTTGAAACAAATGGGCAAGGTAAAGAAGCTGGACAGATTAGTACCACATGAATTAAACAAGTGTCAGAAGAGAAATCATCTCAAAGCTTGCCTTCTTTGCTGTCACGGCAAAGACTAACCGTTTCTACACTGTATTGTTATGTATGACAGAAAAATGGATTCTTTTTGGCAATCACAAGTATTTGGCACAATGGTTAGATAAAGATGAAGTGCTGAAACACAGTCCAAAACAGAATATTCATCTAAAAAGGCTAATGGTGTCTGTTTGGTGGTCCAGCATTTGTATTATCCACTACAGCTTCATGAAACATGCTCACAGATGTCTACTGCAATAAAAATGATGAGGATGCTTCCGATAAAGCAGCAATACTGGTCAATAGACACAGGCTAATCCTCTTGCAAGAACACATGTTGCAAAAAACAACACTGCTCAAACTACAGCAGCTGGACTTTGAAACTCTCTGTCATCCACGGTATTCATCAGACCTTGCACCAACTATCAATTCTTCCAGGCTTTGGGCCACTTCTTGCAAGGAAAAATATTCCAATTCTCAACAAGCTGTGGAAAATGCCTTTCATGATTTCATTGCCACCTGCTCTCCAGGCTTCTTCACTGCTGGCATTAACAAGCTATCCTTATGATGCAAAACTGTGTCGATAGTTTGGGCACATACTTTGATTAATTGTACTTCTTGTTGGAGATACAATAAACTTTTGATTCAAAATCCGACATTTCATATTTAATGACCTAATACCACAATGTATTTATCCATTTTACTTGATGAACATCTGGACAGTTTCCAGTGTGGGGCTATCATGAACAGTGCTGCTTTAAAAATTCTAATATATATTTTTGGTGAACATGTGTACGCATACACATTACAGTTAGGCATATTACTAGAAGTGTAATGCTAGGTCTCCAGGGGCTTCCCCCTCAGTGAAATGTCTAGAGTTCCGCGGTATGAGATGTCTCTACTAAGCTGAAGGATAAGCTCTTGTATCTGATTCCCCTACAACCAGACAGGAGACACAATGCCAAGTGAGCCTTTTTGGATTTTGGAATCAAAACATTCCTCGCCTGGGTGTGCCACTCCAGCCCATTTATCAAATGACCTACAGAGCTATGAGATTTGAGGGAAGGCCCAGAGTAAGAAAAGGCTCTGCAGCAAGTCCAGGCTACTGTGCATGATGCTCTGACACATGCATCACACAGATCCAGCAGATCCAACAGCGCTTGACGTGTTAACAGCAGATGGAGATGTTGCTTTGAGCCTCTGGAAGGTCCCTATAGGTGAATCACAGGGCAAACCCTTAGGATTTTGGAGCAAAACCCTGCCATCCTCTGTGGATAACCACTCTCCTTTTGAGAAACAGCTTCTGGCCTATGAGAGGGCTTCAGTGAAGACTAAACACTGAACCATGAGCCCCTATATCACTGCACGACCTCTGAGAAGCCCATCATGAACTGTGTGTTGTGTGACCCACTGAGTCATCAACTTGGTGTGAAGAGCAGCAACCCATTATTAAAGTGAAGTTGTGTGCACAAGACTGGGCTCAAACAGGCCCTGAAGGCACAAGAACATGAGGAAGTGGCCCAGGTGACCACAGCCCCCACTCTCGCTACACGACCTTCCCTCCCTGTCTGCACTCAGGACACCAACTGCACTCAGGACACCAAGAGGAGTTCTCTACAGTCAGTGACTGAGGAAAAGGAAGCTCAGGGTTGGTTTACAAATGATTCTCCATGGTATGTAAGCACCGCTTGAACGTGGACAGTTATGGTACCTACAGCTCCTTTCTGGAACATTCCTGAAGGAAATTGGTAAAGAGAAATCTTCCCAGTGGGGAGAACTTCAAGCAGTGAACCTGGTTGTTTGCTTTGCTGAAAGGAGAAATGGCCAGATGTTTGACATCTGTGTATATCAACATTTGTAATTGCTGACTTTAGGTAAAACAGATTATCCTTGATAATGTACATAGGCCTCATCCAATCAGTTGAAAAGCTATAAGAGCAAAACTGGGGTTTCTCTGCAGAATCCTCCTGTGGATGGAACCATCAGCTCTTGCTCAAGGGTTTGCAGCCTGCTAGCCTGCCCTCCAGTCTTCAGACTTGCCCAACTAGACCCCACAATTGTGTAAGTTGTGGGGCGCGGTGTCAACGCCATTACAAGTTGGCGCCTGTTTCCGGCTTTGCCTAGAGCAGCAAACAAGTTCAGCGCACGCACAATTGTCGGTTGCCCTGTGGCGCGAGCATGCAAACGAAGGGTCCTGCTATGGACTAATGCTTTGGTGGCTCGACAGCTGAGCGGCCTATCCCAGCTTAGGGGTTGTGCTTCTGGGGTATATAGCGGCCTGCGCGCTGCCGGGCTGGTTCTTCCGCATCATGTAAGTCTAAAGGGAACCCCATTAAAGCACTGTCAGAACTCCGGTTGCCGCGTCTTCCTTGCTGGCGAGGCGGGCGCGACAGTAAGTCAATTCCTCGAAATAAATCTCTTCATGAATACACATGTATGTGTATATGTGTGCATACAAACAAACATATATACACAGGTACCCATGTGTATATGACATATATATATATAAATATATATACACACACACACATATACATATATATCCTATAGGCTCTGTTTCTTCCTTGATACAGGTATCTACTATTTTCTACCACTATACTGATATTACCAGAATTAGAGACAGAAAGAAGCCTATTATATGGTCTTTGTCCTTGAAAAATTCATAACCTAAGGCAGGGGTCTTCAAACTTTTTAGACAGGGGGCCAGGTCACTGTCCCTCAGACTGCTGGAGGGGCGTTGGAGAGTGCGGCCACACATTCCACACATGCACAGTGGGCCTGGGATGAGTCGGCTGCTAAGCAGGACAGGCAGCAGAGGCAAAAACACCTGGCGGGCCAGATAAATGTCCTCAGCAGGCCGCATGTGGCCATCAAGCCATAGTTTGAGGACCCCTGGAGTACAAAAAGTCAGTAATGTAAATTATTAGGTCAAGCGGCAGTATATTATTGTAATGCTTAATTTTAGATGTCCATTTGCCTGGATTAAGGGATACCCAGAAAGCTGGTAAAGCATTATTTCTGGGTATGTCTGTGTCTGTGAGGACACTTCCAGAAGATACTGACATTGAATCAGTGGACTAAGTAAGGAAGATCTGCTCCCTAAAGTGGACAGGCATCATCCAATTGGTTCAGGGCCCAAATAGAACAAAAAGGCAGAGGAAAGACAAATTTATTCTCTCCTCTGGAGCTGGAGCACCCATCTTCTCCTGCCCTTTGAAATCGGAACTCCAGGTTCTCTGGCCTGTGGATTCTGGGATTTGAACCAGCAGCTCCCCAGGTTCTCAGACTCTGATTCAGCTGCTTCACTGACTTCCCTGGCTCTCCCCCTTGCCAATGGCATGCCACAGAACTTTTCAGTCTCCATAACCATGAGAACCAATTCCTATAATAAATATCCTCTTATAGGATATATCTGTATTTATCTATCTATATCCTACTGGTTCTGTTTCTCTAGAGAACCCCAACCAGTACATTTAACCAGTGTCAAATAAGTGGTATTGACTTACGTATTCAAGAAACTTTTTAATAAAGAGAGATCTTTGTGGCCTTGGAGGATGCTCAAGGAAGGCATTGTCGAGGATATGAGAACAAGGGTCAAGAGTGAACTGTGCTTGGCTGAAGTTACACACAATCTATTAAATTTCAATTCCGTCACTGGCTGCTTACTCATAAAATGTTCCAAAGCTCCACTGAGTAATTACACATTTTTCCTGAAATGCCATGAAAGGAGTACAGAAAAACCATCTGAGTTTAGAAAGTTCAAAAGATTGAATTCCTCTCCACCATTTGGTAGCAGTATGATCTTAGACAAATGACACATCAGCAGTCCAGAACCTTTTTGGCACCAGGAACCAATTTCATGGAAAACAATTTTTCCGTGGACCAGGGCTAGAGGTAGGGGTGGGGGTGGGGAATGGCTTGGGGATTATTCAAGTGCATTACGTTTACTGTGCACTTTATTTTTATTATTATTACATTGTCACTTGCCAAAATTTGATATGAGTTTTGATATGAGTCTGCAAGCAATTGATTTATTATGGTCTCTGTGCAGTCAAGGCTCTCTGCTAATGATAATCTATATTTGCAGCCGCTCCCAGCCCTAGCATCACTGCCTCAGGTCCACCTCAGATCATCAGGCATTAGATTCTCATAAGGAACACACAACCTAGATCTCTTATATGTGCAGTTTGCAGTAGGGTTTGCACTCCTATGAGACTCTAATATCACCACTGATCTGACAGGAGGAGGAGGTCAGGCAGTGTTGCGAGGATGGGGAGCGGCTGTACACATGGATGAAGCTTCGTTCCCCCACTGCCGCTCACCTCCTGCTGTGCGGCCCAGTTCCTAACAGGCCACGAATTGGTACTGGTCCACGGCCCGGGGGTTGGGGACCACAGCTACATACTGCTGTAAGCCTCGGAGTCTTAATATGTAAAATGGGGATAATAGTACACATCCTGTCTGCCATCAAGTCATAGTGAGAAATAAATGAAATAATAAGGTTCTTAGCACATTGCCTTTCACAGAGGAAGTGCTCAATCAATGTTAAGTGAATGCAAAAACATCTCCACATCTTTAAAAAGAATGCTACTAAAAATGAAACCCAAACAACACTAAAGTTCAAATAAGAGGAAGTACCCTAGATAAATACATTTCAAACCAATGTAATCAGCTAATTATTCAAAAGTTAAATTTTTTTGTCTTTAAAATAATTATTTTACTCAGATTCTGAAACATGACCAGACTTTTATATTTTTATCATTTCTACTGCGTGTAAGAACTCTCAGAATAGGCCGGGCGCGGTGGCTCATGCCTGTAATCCTAGCACTCTGGGAGGCCGAGGCAGGCAGATTGCTCGAGGTCAGGAGTTCAAAACCAGCCTGAGCAAGAGCAAGACCCCGTCTCTACTATAAAAATCGAAAGAAATTAATTGGCCAACTAATACATATAGAAAAAATTAGCCGGGCATGGTGGCGCATGCCTGTAGTCCCAGCTACTTGGGAGGCTGAGGCAGGAGGATTGCTTGAGCCCAGGAGTTTGAGGTTGCTGTGAGCCAGGCTGATGCCACGGCACTCACTCTAGTCTGGGCAACAAAGTGAGACTCTGTCTCAAAAACAACAACAACAACAACAACAACAACAACAACAACAAAAAACCAGAACTCTCAGAATAAAATGTATAACTGAATCTCCTTAGTAAATAAGGAATTTTCCATGAAAAGATGTTTTATATCATCTAAAAAGTTTGCTCTGCATTCACACTACAGTACCTTGAGGAATATCTTTAGGAGGAGAATATTTCTTCTTCTTTACAATAACACCTTTACTTTTCACTAGTCTAGTTCCTGGTGATGCTCTAATAATACAACATATTTCTGATGTATTTGAAGGAAACTGAAAAAGAAAAAAAGCAGATATTGCATAATTCCTCCAAATATTGAATTTATATGTTGCTTTATTTCAAATGCAAATAGTCTTAATATCCGTATTTAATAGATACTAATAGCAAGCATTTATTAAATGCCTACTCACTGCAGAACTAATTGGTTTTAAAACGTTTGCTCATTTAATACTCATAAGAACCAAGCAAGGCAGACTATGTTATTCATATTTTACAAATGAGGAAACTTGGTTTCAGAAAGATTGGATAATTTAGTTAAGGATTTAGTTCAAGATTGGATAATTTGTTCTTACTCCATGAACAAGTACTGGTAGAATTGAGATTCAAAACACTTCAAAGTGGGAGAGAAAGTTGCATGATTTATTGTGTTAAACTAAAAATTTAAATTTAATTCTAAGTCAATCACTAGATTCCTTGATTCCTCAATTCAGGTAATTTTGACAATTTCTCATCATGCAGATAGTCTCTAGAATAAAGAAATATTAATACTATATCTTTCAGAAGTGACATATCTTTGTTTCTTAGAATTCAGAAATAGATATATATATTTATTAAGGGCTCTTCACATTTTAAATAAAGTCTGTATGGAAACCTCTTCTACCATAAAATTTATATTATCTTCTGCAGTAGACAATTGCTATTTTCCTGGACAGCCTTTATATTCCATTCTTCTGGCCCTGAACAGTATTAGAGTTTTTTTGAATAATCTACTCACTCCATCACCCTATATACCACTCCTTTCTTATAGATTAGATAGAGCTAATACTTTTGAACACCATGGTAACCATAAGATCCAGCTTAGCCAATCAACATATTCCATGATCCTGGACACAGGAACTCAGAGGCAAAAAAAAAAAAAATTAACTCAGGATAGTTCCAGGCAGTATTGAAAGATGAACTATATTTCCCCTCCTAAATTTCCTTATACCACAATAAGAGAAGTGGTAAACTCATGAGAAATCAGGCTATCATATGTAATATACCAAACAATGGACTTAAGCCTCTAGAACATCAGACATTAGAACTCCCAAATCAGAATAAATTAGCCATGTATGAAATTATTGAAGAATTAACAATTGAAATCTCAAGGATGAACAAGCAATAAAGACTATCAAGAATGAAAAGCAGATTCGAAAAACAACCAACCAGAACTACCTCAAATGAATAAAATTGTTGAAATAAAAAATTCAATGAAATGCTTAAGAACTGGAATACACACAGATGAAGAGAGAATTACTAAAGAAATTACCCAGACTATAACAAATAGGTGAAAAATATTAAAGAGTTGTTGAGATCTTTATTATACTCTAATCAGCACAATAGACACCCAGCAGTGTAAAATCATCCTAAAGCTAAAGTTCAGAGGCTAGATACCACAATGGCTTAAGAGATAAAACAAAGCAATAAGGGTCTACCCAACAAGATGAACAAAAATCCACCCTACATATCAATTCTTTCAATAAATGTGAATGGCTTGAAATCCCCACTGAAGAGATGGATTAAAAAAAATATAAGCCACATATCTGCTGTCTCCAGGAAACACATCTAACCCACAAGGACCCATTCAGATTCAAAGTGAAGGGATGGAAAACAATATTAAATGCAAATAGAAACCAAAATAAAGCTGGTATAGCAGTTTTCATATCTGATAACACAGTCTTCAGATCAACAAAAGTAATGAAAGACAAAGATGGTCATTATATAATGGTAGAGGGAACAACTGAACAAGAACATATAACAATTCTAAATATTTATGCACTTAACACAGGTACACCCAGATTCATAGAGCAAATCCTACTTGGTCTTAATAAAATGAAATGATAAATACTAGCACCATAGTAGCTGGGGAATTCAACACCCCCCTGACAGAACAGGACAAATCCTCCAAACAGAAAATAAAGAAACAATGGACTTGGCCGGGCACGGTGGCTCACGCCTGTAATCCTAGCTGAGGCAGGCGGTTTGCTCGAGGTCAGGAGTTCGAAAACAGCCTGAGCAAGAGCAAGACCCTGTCTCTACTATAAATAGAAAGAAATTAATTGGCCAACTAATATATATATAGAAAAATTTAGCCGGGCATACTGGTGCATGCCTGTAGTCCCAGCTACTCAGGAGGCTGAGGCAGGAGGATTGCTTGAGCCCAGGAGTTTGAGGTTGCTGTGAGCTAGGCTAATGCCACGGCACTCACTCTAGCCTGGGCAACAAAAAGCGAGACTCTGTCTCAAAAAAAAGAAACAATGGACTTAAACAGGACTCTAGAACAAATGGGCCTAACAGCCATTTACAAAACATTCTACCCCAAACCACTGAATATACATTCTTCTCATCACCTCAAGAGACATAATCTAAGACTGATCACATCCTAGGCCATAAAACATGTCTCAACAAATTAAAAAAAAAAGAAAAATTATACCATGCATCTTCTCAGGGGAATCAAATTAAAAATCAACTCAACAGAAACACTCATCACCTCACAAAGTCTTGGAAACTAAACAACCTTCTGCTCAATGATAGGTCAAGGAGGAAATTAAGATGGAAATCAAAAGATTCTTTGAATTAAATGATAAAGGGGACACAAGCTATCAAAATCTGTGGGATACAGCTAAAGCAGTCCTGAGAGGAAAATTCATCGCTATAAATGCCTACATCCAAAAGACACAAAGATCACAAATCAATAATCTAATGAATTATCTCAAGGAACTGGAAAAGGATAAACAAACCAATTCCAAACCCAGCAGAAGAAAAGAAATAACCAAGATCAGAGCAGAATAAAATTGATAAACAAAAGAACTATATAGAAGATTAATGCAACAAAAAGTTTTTTCTTTGAAAACATAAACACAACTGATAGGCTTCTAGCTACATTAGCCAGAAGCAGAAAATAACAGATTGTAATAAGCTCCATCAAGAATGAAAAAGGAGAAATTATAACTGATAGCACGGAAACACAAAATATCACCTCTGAATACTATAAAAATCTCTGTGCACATAAACTTGAAAACATGGAGGAAATGGGCAAATTCTTAGAAACACATAGTCTCCCGAGGCTCAATCAGGAAGAAATAGCATTCCTGAATAGACCAATATCAAATACTGAAATTGAAACAGCAATAAAAAACCTTCCTAAAAAAAATCCTGGACCACATGGTTTCACACCCAAATTTTACTAAACCTACAAAGAAGAACTGGTATCTATCCTGCAGAAATTACTCCACAACATTTTGAAGGGAGGAATCCTCCCCAGCATCTTTTACAAAGCCAATATCACCTTAATATCAAAGCCAGGAAAGGACTCAACAAAAATAAAAGAAAACTATCGACCAATATTCCTTAGGAATATGGATGCACAAATTCTCAATAAAATCCTAGTAAAACAAATTCAGCTGCTCATCAAAAAAATAATCCATCATGACCAAATGGGCTTCATCCCAGAGATGCACAGATAGTTCAACATATGCACATCTACAAATGTAATTCACCATATAAATAGAAATAAAAACAAAGACCATATGATCCTCTCAATGGACACAGAAAAAGCATCTGACAAAATTCAGCACCTTTTTGATTTTGAACAGCAAATAGTTTATTGGTAAGTACATGGTTTCAATGGCAGTAATAAATTCACCTGAACAGGAGACAATAACCAAGTCATAAAAATACATTTTTGGTAATCATCAGAAAATCTGTGGCCATTAGGGCTTTCAAGTAGAAATCCAAAATCACTCAGAGGCCAAATCTTAAAGAAGATTCGTCCACTTATTAGTCCATATGGAATAGGTCCATAGTACCTTGAATCCATAGAATTCTGTAGATTATCACCTTCTAACCAAACATGACCCATTGGCACATAACTATGGCTTTTAAAGAAATCTGATGAACTAGTGGTGAGGATTTTGTCTCCTTCCAAATCAATTACTCTTTTACAAATATTTGATTTTGGATCACTTGGGATTTTTGCAATCACAATGTCACCTCTTTGGATACCATAAAAATGTTGACTAAAATTTTATGCAAAGACAATATCTGAATTTTTAATTGTAGGCTCTACTGATGGTCCAGAACACATGACAACACCACCAACGTATTCAAAAGCACAATGAGCTTTACAGCCATACTGAATAGTATAGCCAACAAGTCGAAAGGTTTTTCCCAAAACACCATGAATCATAGTTCTATGTAGACTCTGCCACCATTGGCCAAACTGCCACCATTGGCCAAAAGATATTATCTCATAAATTCAAGAAATTCCACAATCCCTGAACAGGATAAATATAAAACAAACAAATACATCCAGGCACAGTAGAGTCAAACTGCATAGGTCTGTTCTACAATACATTCAATTTTTAGGGAAGCTGCAGGGCTTCAAGAAAAAAAAAAATCTAAAGCATGTCTCAAAGCATATGTGAGTGATTCATGATTTCAGGATTCCTCTGGCCCCAAAGAAACCCGGAAGACCCTCACCCAGGACTCAGGTAGCCCTTTCTCACGTGGGCCCCGCCAGCACCTTTTTATGATAAGAATACATAACAAAATAGGCACAGATGGGATTTACATCAAAATGATAAAAACCATATACGACAAACCCACAGTCAACATCATACTGAATGGGGAAAAATTGTAAGCACTCCTGCTTAGAATTGGAACCAGACAAGGTTACCCTCTATCACTTCTGTTCAACATAGTGCTGGAAGTCCTAGCCGGAGTAATCAGACAAGAGAAGTAAATCAAGGGTATTCAAATGGGGAAAGGGAAGGTCAAACTATCCCTCTTTGCTGATGATATGGTCTTATATCTAGAAAACCCAAAAGAATGTGCCAAGAGACTACTGAAACTGACAAATAAAATCAGCAAAGTCTCAGGTTACAAAATCAATGCACACAAATCAGTAGCATTCATATATGCCAACAACAGTCAAGCTGAGAACCAAATCAAAGACTGAATACTTTTCACGATAGCAACAAAGAAAATAAACTACCTAGGAATATATTTAATTAAGGAGGTGAAAGACCTCTACAGGGAGAACTATGAAACACTGAGGAAGGAAAAAGCAAAGGATAGAAATGGATATAAAAACCATACCATGCTCATGGATTGGCACAATCAACACTGTTAAAAGGTCTATACTATCCAAAGTGATCCTCAGATTTAATGCAATCCCCATGAAAATACCAACGTCATTTTTCACAGATCTATAAAAAATAATTTTATGCTTCATACGGAACCAGAGAAGACCCCATATAGCCAAAGCAAACTTAAGCAAAAAGAACCAATCTGGATGCATCACATTACCTTATTTCAAATTATACTGCAAGACTATAATAAACCAAACAGCATGGTACTGGTATAAAAGTAGAGACATAGACCAACGGAGCAGAATAGAGAATCTAGAAATAAAACCATCTACCTACAACCAACTGATCTTCAACAAAGCAGACAACATACACTGGGGAAAGGAAGCTCTATTCAATAAATAGTACTGGGAAGATTAGATAACCAAATGCAAAAGAATGAAACTGGATGCCTACCTCTCACCACATACAAAAATTCACTCAAGAGGGATTAAAGACTTACATGTAAGACCTGAAACCATAAAATTTCTAGAAGAAAACATGAGGAAAATCTTTTCTGAACATTGACCTAGGCAAAGAATTTATGACTAAGATTCCAAAAGCAAATAAAGCAATGACAAAAATAAGTAAATGGGACTTAATTAAATTAAAAAGCTTCTGCACAGCAAAGGAAATAATCAACAGAGTAAACAGACAACCTACAGAATGAGAGAAAATATTTACAAACTATACATCCAATAAAGGACTAATATCCAGAATCTACAAAGAATCAAACACATCAGCAAGGAAAAAACCAAACAACCCAATCAATACATGAACCAAAGTTTTTCAAAAGAAGACAAATGGTGAAAAATATATGAAAAAATGTTCAATATCACTCATATCAGGGAAATGCAAATTAAAACCACAATGAGAAATGATATTACCCCTGTCTAAATAGCCATTACTAAAAAGTAAAAAAACACTAGATGTTGGTGCAGAAGTGGTGAAAAAGGAACACTTACACACTATTGGTTGGAATGTAAATTACTATAACCTGTATTTAAAACAGTATGGCGATTCCTTAAACAACTAAAAGTAGACCTAGGAAAAGGAAAAGAAGTCATTATATCAAAAAGACACCTGCATTTGTATGTTTATCACAGCACAGTTCATAATTGCAAAGATTTAGATTCAACTTAAGTTCCATCAACTAATGAGTGGATAAAGAAAATGTTGTGTGTATACACACACACACACATACATACATACCGTGGAGTACTACTCAGCCATAAAAAGGAATGAAATAATGTCTTTTACAGCAACTTGGATGGAACTGGAGACCATTATCCTAAGTGAAATATCTCAGGAATGGAAAAATAAACACCACATATACTCATTTACTATATAAGTGAGAGCTAAATGATGGATATATATACCACTCATAATGAGTGGTATCATGGACAATGGAAACTAAGAGAGGGGGAGGGTAGGAGAGGGATGAGGCATCAAAAATTACCTATTGGGTACAATGTACATTCTCCTCATGGGATATACAAAAGCCCTTACTTCATTATTATACAATTCATCCATGCAACAAAAACACACTTGTACACTCTAAATCTACTGAAAAAAATTTAAATAATAAAATAAAAGCCATATATTAAAACTCCACAGTAAATATCATACTCAATGATGAAAGACTGAAAGCTCTTCCTCTAAGATCAGGAAAAAGGAAAGGTAAGGATACCTCCTTTTTCAACACAGTATTGGTAGTTTCAGCTATAGCAATTATGCAAGAAAAAGAAATAAAGACATCCAAATTGGAATAAGAGAAGTAAAACCACCTCTGTTCATAGATGACACAATTTTATAAATGGAAAACCCTAAAGATTTCATTTAAAAACCTGTTAGAATAAACGAATTAATGAAAGTGAACATACAAAAATCAAATGCATACAAATATGCATTTCCATATACAATGTTCATTTCCATGAACAATCTGAAAAGAAATTATAAAAACTATTCTATTTATGACAGCATCAAAAAGAATACTTAGGAATAAACTTAAACAAAGAAGTGAAAGACTTGTACAATTAAAACTATGAAACACACAGCCAAGGAAACTATCATTAGAGCAAATAGACAATCTACAGTATGAGAGAATATATTTGCTTTCCACATATCTGATAAAGGGCTGATAACAAGAATCTATATAGAATTTTAAAAAATCAACAAGAAAAAATCAAACAACCCCATCAATAAATGGGCAAAGGATATGAACAGAAACTTTTCAAAACAAGACAGAATAATGGCCAGCAAATGTATAAAAAATGCTCAACATCTCTAATCATTAGGGAAATACAAATGAAAACCACAATGAGATATCACCTAACTCCACTGAGAATGGCCTTTATCAAAAAGTCCCAAAACAACAAATGCTGGAGTGGATGTGGAGAGAAAGGAACACTCTCACACTGCTGGTGGGACTGCAAATTAGTACAATCCCTGTGAAAAATAATTTGGAGATAACTCAAAGATCTAAAAATAGAAATACCATTTGATCCAGCAATCCCACTACAAGGCACCTACCCAAAGGAACAAAAGACATTCTATAATAAAGACATCTGCATCTTGAATGTTTATGTCAGCACAATTCACTATTGCAAGGATGTGGAAACAACCCAAGTGTCCTTCAATCCAGGAGTGGATTAATACAATGTGATACATGTACACTATGGAGTACTACTCAATTATAAAAAACAATGGTGACCTAGCATCTCTTATATTATCCTGGATAGGCTTGAGGCCATCCTTCAAAGTGAGGCATCACAAGAATGGAAGAATAAGCACCACATGTACTTGCCATCAAAATGGTACTAACCAATCAACACTAAGGTGCTCACTTGGTGGTAATATTCACTGGGTGTCAGCCAGATGGGGGGGTGGGAGTGGGTAAACTCACAACTAATGGATGCGGTGTGCACTGTATGGAGAAGGGCACACCTCTAGCCCTGGCTTGTGTAAGGCAAAGTCATTACTTGTAACCAAATGCTTGTATCCCCATAACATCCTGAAATAAAATTTTAAAAAAAGAAATTAAAGAAGACAAATAAATGGAAATGCATACCATATTCATGGATTGGAAGACTTAATACTATTAAAAATATAATTACTACTCCAAATGATGTACCGATTCAATATAATCCCTATCAAAATCTCAGTGACGTTTTTTTCAGAAATAGAAAAACCCACCTTAAAATTCATACGGACTCTTAAGGGACCCCAAATGGCCAAAACAATCATGAAAAAGAAGAACAAAGCTGGAGGACCCATACTTCCTGATTTCACAATGTACAACAAAGCTACAGTATCAAAACAGTGTGGTCCTACCACAAAGACACACAGACCAATGGAATAACAGAGCCCAGAAATAAGCCCTCACATATGTGGTTGAATGATTTTTGACTAGGGTGCCAAGACCATTCAATGGGGAAAAGACAGTCTCTTCAATAAATAGTGTTGGGAAAACTGGATATCCACATGCAAAAGAATAAAGTTGGACCATCACCTAACACTATACACAAAATTATCTCAAAATGCAACAATGGCCTAAAGGTAAGACCTAAAACACCAAAATCTTTGAAGAAAACAGGGCAAAACCTTCATGAGAGTTGATTTAGCAATGATTTCTTGCACATGACACCAAAGGAAAAGGCAAAAAAAGAAAAGACAAGTTGCACTTTATGAAAATTTTAAAACTTTGTGCATCAAAACATCTTATAAAAAGCCAACACACAGAATGGGAGAAAATATTTGCCAATCAGACATCTGATAAAGGATTTTGCATCACACATAGATGACAGTAGCCTCAACTGAGTTACAGACTTCTCAAAGTATCTCATATACAAACAATATGTATGTTTACATTTGTTACATATTATGTAACAATAATTATTTCTTTTAGTAATAGAAAGACAAATTGAATATACTACCTCATTTGAAGAATGTTCTTGCAAACTTGACACAGCAACAATTTCATTTGAATTAACATAATTGCTGACATTTGGAAATAGTTCTTCAGAAGAGGTTTTCTGCACTGAGGACAAATCAAGCTATAAAAGAATATATTACCCCTTTATAGAAGTTCAATGTTACAAAACCAATTATTTTTAAATAACTAAAGGAAAGTTGAAAATACTATCTCATTGGAAGCATTTTCTTGTGAACTTGGCATATGAACAATTTCATCTGAATAAATATAATTACTGACATTAGGAAATAATTCTTTAAAAGATGAATATTTAACTGAAGACAAATTAATCTATAAGGAAGGTTATAATACTCTAAGTTATTTTTAAATAGGAATTTGTTTGCTATAGTATTTTTTTTCTATTCACTAATCCAATAAATATTTATAAAGTGCCTACTAAAATGAAACTCATCTACCCAGTATAATATCCCCTGTTCTTCCTTTAAACATAAACTTCCCAGTATTCTGCCCATATCTTCTTGCCTACCAACCGAACACCAGAGATTTTTAAATCTCTATCTCTAACATAGAACCCTCTCCTGAGCACTATGTCCAGGAAAGAGTTTTATGTTAGAGATTTCTGTTTTAGAGATTTTCAGTAACCATTTCTACCAGGTTACTGAAATCACCACATATTTCTATATCAAATTCAAAATATCTAAAAGTAGACTCATGATCTATACTCTGTTAGGTGGGGACTCAAAGAAGCTTTGGCATGCTGATCAGCTAGATCCAACTAGCTGAACCTAGGTAAGACCACATGCGTGGATGCCTAAAATGTATCATCAGATGCACTGGGTGGAAGTTATAGAGGTGTCTGCCCTCACCTATATTCCTCTTAGGAGAACAGAATAATTTTATAACTACCCATGTGTATCTTAGAATAGTCCTAGGAAGGTCACATTAAAGTGAGACCCTGGAAAATGAAAATCTCCCAGTGGTCCTTGATCAACTAGTCTTTTAGGGTGGCCAGCCAATGTCTGACAGCTTATAACTGAGAGGGTATGCCTCATTTGGTGGCAGCAAGCTACGGAGTGAACCAAAGACCAATTTGTCTCAGACTAATTTTGTAACAAAATTTGGGCCTTAAAATGTCAAGTCATTAAGCATTCTCAATGGTATTTTTATTTATTAAAAGATGCTGGTATTTACCCACAAAATGGAAGAAAATATTTGCAAATCATCTATCTGATAAGAGTCTAGTATCTAGACTATATAAAGACTTGTTACAACTCAACTGTAAAAAGATAAATCATTTGAAAATGGGCATAGAATCTGAACAGACACTTCTCCAAGAAGATATACAAATGGTCAATAAGCCCAAATGCAAAATCACAATAAGATACCACTTTACACTGAGAAAAACAGATGCTAACGAGTGTTGGTGAGAATGAGGAGAAATCAGGACACTCATCACTGCTGCTGGAAATGTCAACCTGTTCAGCCCCACTGGCAGCTCCTCAAACGACCTACCACACAACCTGAGCAAGTGAGCACTCAGGGATATGCCCCACAGAGATATAAAACCGTATGTCCACACACATTCTTGTACATAAATGTTTACAGTAACATTTTTCATAAAAGCCAAAGGGAGAAACAATCCAAATTTACATCCACAAAATGAAATACTATTTGACCCAGAAAAGGAATGAAGTTCTGATACATGTTGCTGCTATATGGATGAACCTTGAAAACATTGTGTTAAGTGAAAGAATCCAGTCCAAAAAGGCCACATATTATGATTCCACACATATAAAATGTCCAGAGCAGGGAAACAGATAGAGACAGAAAGTAGATTAGTGACTGCTTAGGGCTGGGGAGTAGGATGGAGAAGCAAGGGGGTGTTAACTAAAAGGCAAGGGGTTTCATTTTGAGGTGATAAAAATGTTCCAAAATTGACTATGATGATGATAGTGCATATATGCGAATATACTTAAAAACACTGAATAATACACTTTAATGAGGTGATTTGTATGGTATGTGCACTATGCCTGAAATAAAGCTGTTTTCAAAATGCCCACTACAAAAAAGTGCTAAAATACAGTTATCATATGAGCTGGCAATTCTACTTCCACTTCCAAATACAGTCTCCCCTCGTATTCATGGGTTCTGTATCCATGTATTCAATCAACTGCAGATCAAAAATATTTTTTAAAAATCACGTCTGTACTGAACATGTACAGACTCTTTTTTCTTGTCATTATCCGCTAAACAATACAGTATAACAAGCATTTCCATGGCGTTTGCATTGTATTAGGTACTATAAGTGATCTACAGGTAGATTTAAAGTATACAGGAGGATGTGCACAGGTCATATGCAAATACAGCACTGTGACATTCTGTAACAGAAACTGGAGCGTCCACAAATTCTGGTAACTGTGAGAAGTCCCATGGACACTGAGGGATGACTGTATAAATTCAAAATAACTGAAAAAACATATTTACACAAAAATTTTCACACAAATACTCATAGCATTATTATTCACAATAGATAGTAAGTGGAAATAACCCAAGGACCCATAAACTGAACTGGTAAACAAAACATGGTATATCCATATAATGGAATATTATTTGGTCACAAGATAGGAATGAATTACTGATACAAGTCCATAACATTGATGAACTTTGAAACATTATGCTGAGTGAAAGAAACAAGACACAAAAGGCCACGTTATATTATTTCATTTATATGAAATATCCAGAAAGGGCAAAACCTATAGATACAGAAAGTAAATTAGCAGTTTCTAGGGACTAGAGAGTGAAATGGAGGTATGGGGAGGGACTGTTAATGGGGTGATGAAAATATTCTAGAATTAGTTTACAGTAAGAGTTGCACAAGAGTGTGAGTATACTAAAAACCACAGAACTGTATACACCAGGGGTGGAGAGCCTGTGGCTCTGGGGCCACATGTGGCTTTCTGGATCCTTGAGTACAGCCTTTTGACTGAATCCAAATTTTAGAAGTTTGGATTTGGTCAAAGTGTATATTATACATTTAGCATGGTGAATTTTATAAAATGGGAATTATGGCTCAATTTTTAAAAGACATTGGTATTTTCAAAATAGTCACTACCTTTTCAGGGGAAAAATCATTTTGGTATATTTATTCCTCATCTATATACTTTAACCCCAAATATCAACAAAGAATGAATCAAAAATGAAACATTCATTTTTCTGGAAAAAGTGCTGATTTTTAGAACACTGGAAAGATTATAAGCAGAGTGTTAATAAAACCCTTTCCCCCATTATGAGTATTTGATCTTTGGTTAACTCTACGACTCTATTGTCCTAGGAACCTGATTAAGAATAAGAATGTCAATTTTGTTACCAGGCAACAGTGCTTATGGTAAAAATAGTGTCTGATTGGAAAACTGTATAGCTGGGAGGAACTATAAATGCACTATAAATGAATAAATACTGCTATAAAACATGCCATACTCCAGGTTCCCCTCAGTGCAAGGACTCTTATAATTAGGCATATCCTTTGAGGGATTACGAAAGCTATGTACATATGTTGTTACGAAAGACACTGGATCTCATCTCCTTGCACCTGAGCTGTTCCCAGACTGCTATGTGAGCTGCTCCCTGTACTCCTGTGAGGATGGCTTCCACCGAAGAGGAATACCTGATGCTGCCCTGCTCACCAGCTGTATTCCTGCTGTGTAGCTGAACCTAAGAAAAACGCTGATGGGGTTAGAGCTAAAATTATAAAACTCTTACAAGAAAACAAAGAAGGAAAGACTTCATGACTTTGAATTTGGCAATGATTTCTTAGATATGATACCAAAACACAAGGAAAAAAATAAAAAGTAGATCAACTGGACTACATCTAAATGAAAAACATTTATGCATCAAAGAACACTATCAGCCAGGCATAGTGGCTAGCATCTATAATCCTAGCTACAAAGGAGGCTGAGCCAGGAGCATTGCTTGAGCCCAGGAGTTTGAGGCTACAGTGAGCTATGATCACACTACTACACTCCAGCCTGAGTATAAGAATGAGACCTTGTATCTAAAAAAAGAAAAGAGAAGAAAAGAACAAGTAAAGGTGAGATTGTAGAGAAAGTGGAATGTTTCTGCATTTTGCTAGTGGGAATGTAAAATTGTGCAGCTACTAAGGAAAACAACACGGTGCTTCCTCAAAAAGTTAACAATATAATTACCATATGGTCCAGCAATTTCACTTTTAGATATGTACCCAAATGAATTAAAAGCAGGGACTAGAAAAGAAATCTGTACACCCATGTTCACAACAGTATTATTCGCAGTGGTCAAAAGGTGAAAGCAATGCGAGTATCCATTATGGATGGACGAATAAAGAATATGTGGAATACACATAATTCAGCCTCAAAAAGAAAGAAAATTCTGACATATGCTGTAGCACAGATAAACCTGAAGATGCCATGCTAAGTGATATAAACTAGTAACAAAATGACAACTTCTGTATGACTGCACTTGTGTGAGGAACCTATAGTAATAAAATTCATGGAGACAGAAAGGAGAATGTTGGGTGCCGGAGGTGGGGAAAGAAGAACAGGGAGTCACAGTTTAATGAATGTGCAGTTTCAGTTCTGCAAGATGAAGAAAGTTCTAAAGATGGATGCTGCTGAAGGTTGCACAACAACGTGAACATACTTGAACTGTGTACTTAAAAATCTTTAAAATTCTAAATTTTATTTTACATTTATTTTGCCACAATTTTAATGAAAGAGAAAAAAGAAAGAGCCCTGGGTAGGTGCTGAAATATTCTAATCCTTCCTTCTCCCTCACATGTGCAGTAGTATGCATAGTACTTCCAATGAAAGCATGCCCATGCCACAGAAAAGTACAGATATTATTCTCTACAGGAAATATCCTCACAGTATGACAGAAACAGAAGAAAGGGGAGAGGAGAAGCCACAAGAAAGATAACACAAGTGTCAAATGCTAATACTTACCACAAAACCAGCTGCCTCTGAAGATGGGGTGCTTGTTAATAGGCCTCTATTTTTCGTCTCATGAGTATTGGAATTTGTTTTCTATAAATGTTTTATAAAATAGGGATTAAATAGCAGAAGGAAATAAATTACTTTAATATAGAACTACAATTTAAAGTTAGTAAACTAGATCATAATGTGTAATATTAAGGAAATCTTTAATCAATCATCTGCTTCCCAATGGTCCCAATTGACACAATTGCCAACTGTCAGTTCAATTTTAAAAACATCAGCCTGTGTATAGCTGTAAGCATATAGATTCCCTATATTTTTCCTACATTTATTAATAAATGATATATTCCTGTATCTTCCCAATCAGTACATTTTTATAGTCTTTTCAATAATTATTAGTTAATCAAAGATTAGGGCTTACCAATGCAGGTTCCAGGGGTTGGGGTAGCAGAGTGTCCGTAACTGGTCTACCTGCACTGCTTTCAAGAGCAGACCTATGGTAAGATGATGAAATCTTGGTTTTTAGATGAGAGTTTAATTCTGTTTGGAAATTTGTATCTCTATGTTCAGAATCTTTTTCAGGCTGAAACAAATTCATAATCATGAAATACATTTCAAGTGCTATAAAAACATTTCCAGTACTTCTCAGATATCCTATCATTCTTCCAACTTGAAAAAATTATTTAAACTTAAATGAATTTCCAGAAAAAAATAACATCTACATATTTAAGTAAAAAACCTGTTGAAAGACAAAATAGTTCAAACAAAATAGTTTGAAATAGATTAGGGTTGAGCATCCCTAATCTAAAATACAAAATCTATAATGCTCCAATATCCAAACTTTTTCAATACCAACAAGATGCCACAAGTGGAAAATTCCACACCTGACCTAACGTGACTAGTGCAGTCAAAACACAATCAAAATTTTATTTCATGCACAAAATCATTAAAAATATTGTATAAAATTACCTTCAGACTATGTGTGTAAGATACATATGAAACATAAATGAATTTCATACTTAGACTTGGGTCCCATCCCCAAGATAGGTTTTCCTATCCTGGCAATGGTTCCCATGGAGGTGTCTGCACTGAGTCTCTGTTATGATCAGCTGTGGCTCTCTACATCCTCCTGCCATTCTCTCCAGTGTTTGGTGCAACGGTATGCTGAATGACCTACCTTCTTTGACAGATCTAAGAAGGGCTGGTGATTTTTCAGCTTGTTCAGCTTTTTATTTCTTGTTAGGACAGAATGGCAACTTCTAAGAATCTTATAAGCTGAACAGGGAACTGGTAGTCCTGCAATTGACTTTTAAAAATTCTTTATAATACTGGACCTCCAAGCAGCATTCAACATTGTTTACCACTCCCCGCCTTTTGTGGGTGAAATGCTTTCTTCTCTTAGTTTCTATAATACCATATTTTGTTTATTTTCCTTTTTTCTAAGCACTTTTTCTACTCTACGTGACTGTGGAGTTTTCCAAGGATTGATCCTGGACCCCCTTCTCTTCTTCACTTCATAGGTACTCCTTCCTAGGTTACTGCATCCTAGATGACTCCCCTCTGTTCCTATAACCTCTAGATTTATAGCTAATGGCCTTCTCAGCATTTCCATCTCATGTATACTCAAATCTTCTGTCTTTCCCATCACATTAAATAGCGTCTTTATCCACCACAAAAGCTGCTCAAGACAGAAATGTAGAAGTCTTTCTTAACTCACTTGTTCACTCTCTATATCTAATCTATGAACCCTACAAGCAAAATTGAACCCATTCATCTCTCTCCATCTCTCCTACAAAACACCCTAGTCAAAGCCATCACAGTATTTCACCAAAAATCTCTATAACTTCTTACTAATGGGTTACCCTGCTAACACTCTTGCCCTTTCAATCCACTCCCTAATTTATTATAGTAAGAGTATGATTTAGTGTAAAGAGTATATATTTTAGATCCAGAAAGACCTACCAGTAGATCCTCAAAAAAAAAAAAATGGTGAAAGTCTAAACATCAGTTTTCTCAGCTATAAAATCAGTAAAAACAAACAAACAAACAAACAAAAAAACCAACTATCTACCTGAGTGGAATGATATCAAGCAAAGATATAATTAATGAAAAGTCATTTAACAAGTAGCTCTTGCTACATTCAAAATTAAGTTAAAAGTCTTCCCCAAAGACCTCCAGATTCCAAAGCTAACATACTGATTCACAAGCAATCTTCAGCATAAAACACTGCTCTGGCTACATGGTAAATTTCTTATTTTTACCTTAAATTAAGGACTAATAGACATCCAATTACTCAAAGGGAAGGTGGAAAAAATGTCAAGTACAGTAGTCCCCCCAAACCCATGGTTTTGCTTTCCACAGTTTCAGTTATTTGCTGTCAACCACAGTTCAAAAATATTAAATAAAAAGTTCCAGAAATAAACAATTCATATGGTTTAAATCGCATGCTATTCTGAGTAGCATGATGAAATCTTGTGCCATCCCCTTCTGTCCAGCCCAAGATGTGAATCGTCCCTTTGTCCAGCACATCCATGCTGTATGAAACTACCCACCCACTAGTTACCTAATAGCTATCTCAGCAGATCAAAAAACATAGCATATACATATATATAGGGTTCAGTACTAACTGCAGTTTCAAGCATTCACTGGGGGTCTTGGAGCAGACACCCTGCAGATAATGGGAGAACTACTATACATTTTAATTCTCTTTTGTTAAACTTATATATTCATGTATATGCAGCTTAGGTTTTACATAAAATTGAATAATCTAATTAAACTCCAAAAATGCTTTTAATTATTGACTTAAATAGCTGCAAAATAATTCTTATAAAAGTGTTGGTTAAAAGCATATCCTTGGCTGGGCGTGGTGGCTCACGCCTGTAATCCCAGCACTTTGGGAGGTCAAGGAGGCAGGATCACTTGAGACCAGCCTGGGCAAGACGGTGAGACAGCTTCTCTCCAAAAATAAAGAAAATTATTAATAGCTGGGCATGGTGGTGGGCACCTGTCATCCCAGCTATTTGAGAGGCTGAAGCAGGAGGATAACTTAAGACCAAAAGTTTGAGGTTGCAATGAGCTATGATGATGTCACTGCACTCTAGCCTGGGCAACAGAGTGACATCCAATCTCAAAAAAAAAAAAAAAAAAAAAGGCCGGGCGTGGTGGCTCACGCCTGTAATCCTAGCACTTTGGGAGGCCGAGGCGGGCGGATTGCTCAAGGTTAGGAGTTCGAAACCAGCCTGAGCGAGACCCCGTCTCTACCAAAAATAGAAATAAATTAATTGACCAACTAAAAATATATATACAAAAAATTAGCCGGGCATGGTGGCGCATGCCTGTAGTCCCAGACACTCGGGAGGCTGAGGCAGTAGGATCGCTGAGCCCCGGAGATTGAGGTTGCTGTGAGCCAGGCTGACGCCACGGCACTCACTCTAGCCTGGGCAACAAAGTGAGACTCTGTCTAAAAAAAAAAAAAAAAAAGTATACCCTTCATTAATGAAATTCATGCTTTTTGTAGTTATTCTCCTTTAATACTTGCTTTTTTCTTTGTTTTTGCAGGGATTGAAGGGCAAGTTTTCTCAGCAAGTAAAACTTCACAAGCTGCATTATCTATAAATAAAAACATAGTTTAGTATTCTAATTATTTAACTTGTCATTAACTGTAAGTCCAGAGAACAAGAGAATTCAAATTTGACAAAACAAAACAAAATTTTTAAAAACCCTAATTTTAGTGACTGTGCCTTTGTAATAGTTTAAGAAAAACTTAATACATGTTGAATAATCTGACTTCCTGTAGATAAGAAAAAATATCCTTAAAAATATCTTTATCTCAAGAGCTCTAGGCTTCACAGAAGCAAAAAAACTGTATATAAAATATCTTCCTTTCTGTTAGTGGAGAAAGTTATGTGAGTTTAAAATTCTTCATTCACTATTCTACCATATTCACTCTGCTGTATTTTCAAGTCCTCCCTTTCTACTGCAACTTTCCTATCAGCATTTAAAGCATGCGCAGGCCTCTCTCATCTTATTAAAACTTTCCCTGTCTCTCCCTCTTGCTACAGACCCCCATCTCCTCTAGTCCAAAGGCAAGTTTCTTCAAAGAGCTGTCCACTGATGCTAACTTTACTTCCTCTCCTCCTATTTACTTCCACAACCAAAGCAAATCAGTTTTACTCCCCACCAGTATCAGAAGAGCCCTTTCCTGTCTCCCTCACTGGACCTCAATACAGCAGCATGAACATCTTCCCACTCTGGCCTCTTTTTACGGCTCCTCTCTACTCCTGAGTCCTCCCTTTTCTTCATTCTCCAGACTCAATATAAAGCAACAAATATGTATTGTCTGCTCTATGCCAATTTTGCCTATCATATGATATCACATATTCAACTTTTCTTTATTCTTAATACCACTACCTTGATTTAAGGCATGAAAAGATTTTCCTGGTATTCTAATAGCTTTTCAATTCACCTCCCTCAGCAGTCCATTGCCTTCCTGGTATACCTAAAATCTAAATCTAATATCATTAGTTTAAAACTCTTCAAAGGCTTTCCACTGCCCTCAAGTTAAAGCTCAATTTCCTTAATTTAACATACAAAGTTCTTCTTTTTATGATCTGTGTATTGCTTACATATTCCTTAGTCTTATTCCAAAGGCTAGTAGAGTTGCCAGATAAAATATAGGATGCCTAGTTAAATTTGAATTTCAGATAAATACTGAACAATTTTTTATATATCACATGTAATTGTATAAGCATGTGCAATATTTGGAACATGCTTATGTTAAAAATTATATGCTATTTATCTAAATTCAAATTTAACTGGGCATGTTGTATCTTTAATCGCTAAATCTGGCAACCCTAGTGGCTGTTCACTCTTGCCATCTGCATCTCCTAAGGTAAAAAGAAGTTGGGTGGGTTTGAGATTTCAGTAGGAGAGAAAATTGGTACCAAGATTTAGAAATAGATACTAGATTGAGAAGTGATCGAAAAAGAGGTGCTAAGAATGACCCTCAGGTTTCTAGTTCGCTAAACTACACTTGCTAACTAAAAGATAAAGGGTCCTGGAGTAGGAGCAGGTTAGGTCTTGGTTGTGAAAATTCTCAGTCCTCCATCCTCATTCTATTTAATCTTCATAATTGTTGTCATAGCTGGGATCACTCCCTCCGTGAAACACACTCCTCTCATGACTTCTGAGGCACCACGTTCCCCTAGTTTCCCTACCACCGCACTAAGTCTCAGCTTCCTTTGCTGGATACTTCTCCCTTTCCCTACTTCTAAATGTTGGAGTGTCCTATTTCCATTCCTTTCTATCTATTTTTACTCCTTATGTAATTTCACCTAATTTTATAGCTTTAAAATATCTATATGCTGACTCCAAATATACTACAGCCCCAGTCTCTGCTCTGAACTCTGGACTCCTGCATCACAAACTACCTTCATGAGCTCTCTACCTGAAGGTTAATAGCCTCTCAATTTTTAAATATTTTATTGACATATACCATATATACAGTAACGGTCACAAATCTTATCTGTACATGTATTCATTCATATAACCACCACCCAGATCAAGATATAAAACATTTCCAGCAGCCCACAATGTTCCTATGTGTTCTTTCTCAGTTGGCACCCCCTTTCCAAAGACTATCACTATTCTGATGTCTATCACCCAGAATAGTTTTGCCTGTTCTTGAACTTCATACATATGAAATCTTGCAGTATATACATGTTTGTGTCTGTGTTCTTTTACATAACATTATGTGTGTGGGTTGAGAGATCAAATTTAATATGCCCAAACAAAATTTTCTTAATCATTCTCCCAACTTGCTCTGCCCTATAATGCTATCTCAATAAATGATAAAACCATTTACCTTGTTGCTCAAGCCCAAAATGTAATACTCATTCTTGACTTCTATTTTTCTCTCTTACCTAATATCTAGCCTAATCAGAAAATCCTGGCACATCTTCCTTTAATATAGATTCCAAATCAGGCCATTGCCACCACCTTGGTCTAAGACACCATTATCTGATAATTGCAAGAGTGTAACAAGGTCTCCGTGCTCCATTCTTGCCACCATAGCTTATTCTCCACATGGCAGGCAAAGAACTCTAAAATATATATCTGAGTCTTCAGAACATAGAAAAATAATACCTCTTAGAACCTTAGGGCCATAGAAATATTGTACATAGAAACAGAGAACTCAAGGGCTCTTGGAAGCCAGAATTCCTCCAGCTGAAGAGTTTTCTTCCCTAGAGTGATAGTTTAAGCAGACAGAACAAGTGAAACCAGTGGTTCCTCAGATAGATTATTTTCCATCTCACTTCATATTTGCATACCTTAAAGTGGTATTGTCCAATGTTGTAGCCACCAGCCTATAGGACTATTTAAATTTAAGTTAATTAAAATGAAATAAAATTTAAAATAAAAAACTAAAATATGTATCTGACCATGTCATCCCTTGCTTTAAGATGATCTAGGACCTATTTCTCAGCATATTTAGAATAAAACCCCTAGTCCTTACCATGGCACAAAAGACTCGATTCTACACCACCTGACTAGCTCTCGACTACAATTTCAACCACTCTTCTTCTTACTCTGTTCCAGCCACACATGCTAAGCACATTCCCATCTCATGGCCTTTTTACTTGCTTTTCCTTTTCTGGCAAGTTCTGTTTCCAAATTTTCACATGGCCAACTCTCTTGACTTTATTCAGACTCTACATAAATGTCACCTTCTCAGAAAGTTGATAACCCTGTCTAAAACAGCATGCCGAGTCACACCCTCTCTGTTTACCTTGCTTTGTTTTCCTTCATTACTGTTATTTCTACCTGACATTATGTTATAAATTTATTTATCTGTTTATTATCTTCCTTCCTCTACTGTAATATAAGCTGTTATTTTTTTTAATTTTAGTTAATTTAGTTTTATTTATTTATTTTTATTTTAGTGTATTATGGGGGTACAAGTGTTAAGGTTACATATATTGCCCATGCTCCCCCTACCCCCTCGAGTTATAATCTCTGTTAGAGAAAGGACTTTGTCATGTTTCTCAGCAACTAAAACAGTTTGTATCACACTGTAGGTGCTTAATAAATATTTGATGAATAAACTGAATTAACAAATGGCAAATGGAAGTGCCTCCAAAAATCCAAGAGGAGATATCCAGAAGGCAGCTATATATAAGGGTCTTAACCTCAACATAGCAAGACCATATATCACAAAAAATAAACAAATTAGCCAGGCATGGTGACTCGTGCCTATAGTCCTAACTACGTGGGAGGCTGAGATGGCAGGGAGGATCACTTGAGCCCAGGAGGTCAAGGTTACAATGAGCTATGATCAGGCCCCTAAAATCTAGCCTGGGCAACAGTGAGACCCTGTCTCTAAAATAAAATATAAAAAAGAAATATATGTTAAAAAAAAAAAACAACAAAAAACCTCTAGAGCAAGATGTGATATTTAATTTTAAATGTTAATTCAATTAACACATAAAAGAATAAAAAAGCACACATAATTCTAGAATCACTGTTCTGTCTTACCACTAAGCTTTATAGATATTTTCAACAGCTAAAGCAAAACTTTTAATTGGGCAAGACCTAGGAAAAAACACCGTTGTTTTTGGTGTCCTTACCACTTTCCCTTTCATTACCTCTCTTCCCTTGTTCACATATTCCCTCAGTCTTCAGTTTATAAAACAAATTCTCCTTCTAATGTTCACCCTCCAGGGTAGAAGATACTGCTCCTTCCAAGGATCTATGCTTTTACAAGTTTAGTTTTTATCACTAGACTAATTTTGCTTAGATATTATCTTAATCATTTTTATACCCACGGTTCTTAGCATAATGCCTGGCATTCAGTAAATGCTCATTAAAATAACTTCTTAAAGTGAAGATTATGCAAATAAATATATATTATTTGCTCATATAAACATTTACAACCATCAAGAGCAAAAGCAGCAATTATTCAAGCTTACTCTCAAATAAACACTATAAAACTTGTTGCAGGAAATAAAGAAAAATGAAACCTGAGATACAGCAGAGGTTGATAGGGATATAAATGTCTTGCTAAATTTACTCTAATAGTAAACTAAAAAACAGAGGGTCAATGATGCCAGTCACTTTGCTGATCCCTTTGCTCTTCAATTATCACACATGACCACAATGTATCTGTTCCTCTCTCTGATAGCATCTTTCTCTCTACTACTGAAACTTACAAGGGCATCTAAAGTATATCATTTCCCACTGGTATACATAACAATGCCTAGTACAGAGTTCATACTTGCTAAATGTTTATTAAATGAATAAATTATGCATGCTGTTGGGAAAGACCCACCTTCTAACTCCACGTATTTTCATTTTTAAAAATACAACCAAGCCAAAAAGTACTCAGTTTCCTGGACTACCAATTTTGTTAACACATGCTGCATTGTAGCAAATATAAAGAAATACAGAATCATTAAAATAATTGGTTTCATTACATATTACCTGATTCTGAATTTGAAGTACACTTTGGTTTTGGAGAAATACTTTGGTCTGCTAATGTCATCACTCTATAATAAGAACAAATTAGTGATATTTTCTTAATCTTTCAGTAACTTTTGAGAATCCTCAAATATTAAAGATATTTATATGCAATTAATTATCCTGTAGAAAAAATACAATTCATTAGAAAAATGTTATCATATCTACATGAACAAATAGTTTAATAAAAAGGCAGTATTTTATCCATATCAGTGTGAGACAATATGTATAGAGGATAAGGCACGGTGTTTACAGTCAGACAGACTGGATTTAAACCCCAGTTCTGTCACTGACACTTGAGTGGCCTTGAGTAAGCTGTTTAGCCTTTCTTAAGTCTTGGTTACCTTATTTATGTAAAACGGATATAATCTGGTTTCCCAGGATTCTTGTGGTAAGGATTTCAAGTAAGATGAAAGATAATTTTTTAAAAAATTAATTTTCTTTTTTCTTTTTGCACTTCCACAAATTAGACCATCCCAATTCTATTCAGACATAGAGGAAAGGACTAGCTATTACAAAAGGAATAAATATCAAAGGATCAAACCTCAACTTTGATAACCAAAATGGGATTGAGTCCCTAGCAAGACAATGGAGTTAAAAACCAAATGTGAGAAGAGGATTTTCTAAACTCTTATTCTGCTTAATTGAATAGCTAAACTAAAGGAAGCAGAAAGTAATTTTATTTTTTCATATTCCCTTTAAACTCACCCTGTCAAAACAACACTTTCTTGCCTCTGAATGAACTTTCAGGTAGATTTCTTTTTACTAATGCTTTTCTGGTATTCTCTTTTTATGGTTATTTTTAGGTAATGAAAACCCAGTGTAATATCACAACTTCAAACTCTTATTCAATTTATATTTTTTCATTTTTCCAGCTTGGGCTTGACTTAGATTTATAGCACACAATGGAGAGAGCAACCACCATCGGTTTCTTCTCTATTTCTTGCTCTTCTCACTTGCCTATTTGGTAGCTGCTCTTTGGGTTCCTCTGGCAGAAGACTGATTAGAGAAAAGGAGCTGTATAAAGGGACAGGAAAGATCTTTCCTGATCTCGATAGATGCCATCATCTGGCACTGTTACCTTCTGGGTATGACAGATAACCAAATGCTGTTTCTCTCAAACTCGGAAGTATTTTGAAGGGTTCTTTGGAGATTTCCCCATCACTGGGACTCTCTCGCTTGCTGCTACTTACGCTATCCTCAGCTTTTGCATTTGATGAGAGAACGCCCGGCCTCTTTTGACTGAGGCTACTTCATCCTTCGTAGGAAGTCACACTGGGCATGATCCCTTTCAAAATGATATATAATTAGCCCCGTTCTGTGGGATCCACACTAGACCTGCAGGCATTATACACAAACCTCTGCCAAAGTCATGCCAAAGTCTGAGAGTACATCTACCTTCCTCTCTATTCTGCCATTCCAAAGCACCTAACAGACCCTCTTCCCTTTAGACTTTTCAGGTTTAAGTCAGAAACCAAATCCCAGAAGACACATGTTGAACCTTGCAAATGGTTCTCTTGGAGCTTCCTCTCTGTGTTCCGGTGAGAGAGAAGTCTCCCTCCCTCCTTGCATGTGATACCGACAACTCTTATCAAAGAAACAAGCATTCTTGGACTTTTCATCCTTTTAGTGTATTCTTAGCCTTTTCTTAAATAGTTAGGAGATGGGTTAACAAGCTAATGCTGGCAGAATTGGGTTTTGATCTTACCTTTTACAAATTCTACATAGATGGTTCTACACAGAATAGGGAGTAGGGGTACTTTCGTTTTTATCTATGAAGCCACTGCCCAAACTCTAATATGAAAACCTCATTTTAACACTTTGCTATATTCTTCAAGTTTCTATTAACATACATAAGTTGAGACACAACCACAGAGTTCTACTATTAGCCATTGCTGTGGTTTGAATGTTTGTCCACTCCAAAACTCATGCTGAAACTTAATTCTCAATGTGGTAGTATTGAGAGGTGACTGGGCCATAAGGGCTATGCCCTCATTAATGAATTAGTCCATACATGGATTAATGGAGTAATGGATTATCATAGAAGTGGCATTAGTGGCTTTGTAAGAGGAGAAAGAGAGACCTGAGCTAGCATGCTCAGCCCCCTTGCTATGTGAGACTGCAGAAAGCCCTCACCAGGAAGAAGGTCCTCACCAGATGCAGCCCTTCAACCTTAGATTTCTCAGCTTCCATAAATATAAGAAATAAATTTCTTTTCTTTATAAATTATCCAGTTTCAAGTATTCTGTTACAAGCAACAAAAAGTGGACTAGGACAGCCAGCCATATAATAAAGAAAAACTCAGGATGTTAACAAAGATCCCTCCAGCACACCTTCCAGTCTAAAGCATTATTAGGAGGAGAAGGGGGACAAAGACATAGAAAATGAGCAGTTAGACAGTAGAAACTGACTTTTCTCCCTCAAGCCCAAAATCTGGAGATGGAGATAATAGGTAGGAAGATGATATTAGAAGAAGTGAAGAGAAAACTAAAAGTAGAGAGGACATGTGCCAAACTCCCTGTTTTAAATTCTAGGAGAGCGCTGGGCGGGGTGGCTCACGCCTGTAATCCTAGCACTCTGGGAGGCCGAGGAGGGTGGATTGCTCAAGGTCAAGAGTTCAAAACTAGCCTGAGCAAGAGCAAGACCCCATCTCTACTATAAATAGAAAGACATTAATTGGCCAACTAAACACACACACACACACACACACATATATATATAAATTAGCCGGGCATGGTGGTGCATGCCTGTAGTCCCAGCTACTCAGGAGGCTGAGGCAGGAGGATCGCTTGAGCCAAGGAGTTTGAGGTTGCTGTGAGCTAGGCTCATGCCATGGCACTCTAGCCCAGGCAACAAAAGTGAGACTCTGTTTCAAAAAATAAATAAATAAATTCTAGGAGAGGTCCACACAAGTGAAAACTCAACATTAAAATAAGAGCTTGGGATGTTCAGGCAGAGAAAGGGTCTCAGCCCTACTGGTATTCTCTTCACTCCTGTGCACTGTGATCAAGTTCTCAAGGTTCCATACACTAAGGGCAATGCAGGAAATGGTCAAATTTAGAGCCAAAACACCTGGTACAAGGGTGCTGTGGTCAGGTGAATCTACCACAAAGACTGCCAAAAGGCAGCCTAGTCAAAGTCTAGATAGAGGACTTCAATAAGAATCAAAGAGTTTGGGGGGGAACAAAAGCTAAGGTGAGGGAAAATCAGCAATAGAGGATCCCAGGTCCTAAATAAGGCCCTTAAGTTTAGCCATCAATGACTTTATCAGTGGAGCCCAGACCACATAGAGAACCAATCTAGGAACTGGCAGCATAAATCAGTAAAAATTCAGACAGCTTATGGATCCCAGATATCCTCAGGCTGTAACCTCATCCTCCCCCCACTCTTGCTATAATGCAAGGCTACATAAGGTCTGCCCATATGCCTATACACCTATAGGGTGACTGTTTGCCCAACTGCAACATTTCTGAGAGTAAAAGGGTCTCTATTAAGAACATGTCAGAACAACAGGCATTAATTGGGACTGTCCCAGGCAAATCAAGAGGTATGATCACCTACCCATATGCCATTCTCAGGAATGAGGAATGGGGAGAAAATCCAAGATTCAGTATTCACCCAAAAGGGACTTTGAACTGGAAGTAACTGAATGACAATAAGTTTAACTCATCATTGCCCAGCTAAATAGGGGAGAAGGGTGATGAGGGCCTATGAGAAGTTCAGACCAGTTATTTTTCTAAAAAATAAAGCTGTAGTTTCTTTGCACATACAGGTGGTAGGTTATACTTTTTAAAGAAAGGGCAGCATTTAGGAGAGACAGGAAACAGGATCAGATACACATAATCTATAGTGTTCTATTATATTTGCTCCATTTCAATATACAGGCACATATCTTACAACAATGTAAATAAAACTCCCTTTCTCCATTAACTACTATGTCAAAGTTGTAGGATTTTAACTCTGTGAATGTGCTACTTAATTAAAGAGAATGACAAATGTCTAGTAGATAAACAGGTGCACACATCTGGTATTGTTATTATCCAAATATTAATATCACTCTTTCCTTAAGTATATATTACACTATAAATTGTGGAAAGGATTTTTTTTAAGTGAGTCTATTATCATTTCTGGGCTTTAGTCATTTACCTGCACAATGTTTACTGTCATTCACTGAAGAACAATTCACCCCAGAGTAACAGATAATAGATTTTCTTTTCTTCAGAAATTTCTCACCATTTAAATATAAGCAACATATTTATAAGGAGGCTATGACACCCCTGCTATTCTCTTCTCATTCTACACACTTTCCCAAAGAGACCAACTATGCCATCAGCCTAGGACCTTTCCCTTGTTCTCCAAGCTGGGACACCCAGCTCCTTGCTGGATGTCTCCACTTCAAAGTGCTATAGGTACCTCAGTGTCACCCCCAACCCTCTCTTGCTTTCCACTTGTGTCCTCTCACCTCGTGAATAAGTTACCTTCCATCCAGTTTCCTAAGTCAGAAGGCTAGGGGCCAACCTGGATTTGATCTTCTTCCAATCAGTCATTAAAAACTATTAACTATCGGCCGGGCGCGGTGGCTCACGCCTGTAATCCTAGCACTTTGGGAGGCCGAGGCGGGCGGATTGCTCAAGGTCAGGAGTTCGAAACCAGCCTGAGCGAGACCCCGTCTCTACCAAAAATAGAAACAAATTAATTGACCAACTAAAAATATATATAGAAAAAATTAGCCGGGCATGGTGGCGCATGCCTGTAGTCCCAGCTACTCGGGAGGCTGAGGCAGTAGGATCGCTGAGCCCCGGAGACTGAGGTTGCTGTGAGCCAGGCTGACGCCACGGCACTCACTCTAGCCTGGGCAACAAAGTGAGACTCTGTCTCAAAAAAAAAAAAAAAAAAAAAAAACTATTAACTATCCATCCTGAACTGTTCTTGTATTTTTCTTTCCTGGTATCACTGCTATTGAAGTTCAGGTCCTCATCATGCCTCCCTTGGAATGTTACAGCAGTCACCCCTTCAAATGAAATATTCCTTCCAATTCATCTTTTTCTTTATTGCAAGAGTGACTGCTCTAAGACAGAAATCTAATCATGCACATGCACAAGAGGTAAGAATTTTGTTTGAGTGATGCAAAAGTTCCACAAAAATCTGCCCTCAAAAGTACATTAAGGCCAGGCATGGTGGCTCATCTCTATAATCCTACCACTTTGGGAGGTCAAGGGGGGAGGATCCCTTGAGGCCAGGAGTGTGAGATCTGCCTGAGCAAGAGCAAGACCCTGCCTTCACAAAAAAATAGAAAAATTAGCCGAATGTGGTGATGCACACCTGCAGTCTCAGCTACTTGGGAGGCTGAGGCAGGAGGATCACTCAAGCCCAGGAGTTTGAGGTTACAGTAAGCTATGATGACAATGCCACTGCACTCCAACCCAAGAGACAAAGAAAGACCCTGTTTAAAAAAAAAAGTGTATCAATCCTTAACCTTACACTCCCATCAGTATAGAATATCTATACTTTAGACCAGGGGTCCTCAAACTTTTTAAACAGGGGGCCAGTCCACTGTCCCTCCAACCATTGGAGGGCTGTTGGAGAGTGTGGCGCACATTCCACACACGTGCACTGTGGGCCAGGGACAAGTTGGCTGCTAAGCAGGACAGGCAGTGTCAGCAAAAATGCCTGGCGGGCCTGATAAATGTCCTCAGGGGGGCGGCATGTGGCCCACGGGCTGTAATTTGAGGACGCCTGCTTTAGACTGGACAAAGAGGACAATGCTGGACTGTTTGCCATTTAATTCTGGCAAAATTCCTAGTCATAAGACAGTAAAAGATGTACATGATTATTTGAAGAAAATGAAATCTATCAAACAGCTATAGACTTTCCTTCTATCTTAAGTAGCACAGAGCTAAATTTGGCTCAATTAAAGCATCTTACTCCTAACTCTTACAGCTTATTTTTGTTCTAATTCCCTTTCTTCCTATCTATATCTTCTATTAAAAATCACATTTCCTTGGTTTCCTTGGTCTTAACTTTGTAATGGCTTTATTGAGATATAATTCACATATACATATAATTCACCCATTTAAAGTTTACAATTCAATGGTTTTTAGTACATCCAGAGTTGTGTAACCATCATTGCTACAACTACGTTTAGAGCACTTTCATCACGCCTAAAAGAAACCTGTTTCTGTCAGCAGTTAATCCCTATTTCTTTCCAAGCCTTGCAGCTTAGGCAATCACTAATCTGCTTTCTGTCCCTACACATATCTATATGAGACTTGCTATATTATAGATACCCCATATTAATGGAATCATAAAATATGTGGTATTTTGTGACTGGCTTCTTTCCCTTATCATAATGTTAGTAGGGTTCATCCATTTTGTAGCCTATACCAGTATTTTATTCCTTTTTGTTACCAAATAATATTCCATTGTATGGATATACCACTTTTTATTTATCCATTCATCAATAGATGGACATTTGGGCGGTTTCCCCTTTTTTTCCTATTAAGAATAAAGTTGTGAACATTTATGTAGCAGTTTTTGTGTATATGTGCATTTTCATTTCTCTTAGGTTTGCGTACCTAGGAGTGGATTGCTGGTCATATGGTCTGGCAGTTCCTCAAAATATGCATAACACTTTGAGGAGCTGCCGAACTGTTTTCCAAAGTAGAGTGACTATTTAAAATTCCCACCAGTAAGGTATGAACGTTTATCCACATTCAAGCTAACATTTGTTATTATCTGTCTTTGATTACAGCGTCCTGGTGGGTGTGAGGTGGTAAGAAGTTTACTGTAGTCTTTACTCACAATTCATCTTTTATTGGCTATCTTGTATATCTTCTTTGGGAAAATGTCTTTTCAGATCCTTTGCCCATTTTTAAATTGGGTTATTTATCCTTTCACTGTTGAGTTGTAAGAGTTCTTTTTACCTTCTAAACACAAGTCCCTTTTCAGATATCCAGTTTGCAAATATTCTCTCCCATTCTATGGGGTGTCTTTTCACTTTCCTGATGATGTCGCCTAACTTTGTTTTTAAACTTGTATGAATTTTCCGTAAATTCCTTCAAATCCTTTGAGGGTTAAGGTAATTTTAAAATTTCATTATATGCTATCGTCCTATGGAAAACCTTTCAGAGGTTATTATCACATTTAGGATAAAACTCCAAGCGCTCATGATATAGACTATGAACATCTCCTTGAACCTAGATTCTGTCTCTTTCATTTATACCCTACCATTCAGTCCATATGACCCAAACCAAACTCTTCCTCTAGTAATATATTTCTCCTCAGTCTTCCGTATCTTAATAAATGGTAACTCCATTCTTTTTTTTTTCTTTTTTTAGGAACCTCAAAAGCAAGAGATACTGGCATATTTTTAAAAATCCATCTGATACAGAGTTGCCTGAAACAAATACTAATAGATACAGTGTTTTTAGAAACAATTATATCAATAAAGCATAGCTATTAGCTCCCAAGGGCCGACAGAGGTCATTCTGTTCTCAAGCTTTCAGTTACAATAAGTGATCAGTGGATGTTTGACAAGCTTCTACAACATGAAGCTTAGATATACTAATTCACCTTAAAGAAAATAACTTACATAAGCTCAAAAATATATCAGAAGAGTTTTGTGAAATGTTATTTTACAGATCTATTAAGTCAAAACTGTGGAGTCAAACTTAAAAAAAAAAACAACTGTAGAGTCAACCTTGAATACTTTCTCTCACATCCCACCATTCAGTTCAGCAACAGATACTGTTGGTTCTATTTTCACAATATATCCAAAATCTGACCACATCTCACCACTCTACTCTTACCCTCTGGTCCATACTCCAATATTTCTTGCCTAGATGAGGGCAACAGTCTCCTAACTATAATCACCCTAAGTCCTTGCCTCCCCATAGCCCATTCACATCACAGTGGCCAGGATGATTCCTCCAAAACATGAGCCATATCATTCTTCAACGGCCACCCAACTCACCTACCTTGGCCTGCAATGCATTATATGGTCTGGCCTCCTGCTGCTTCTCTCACTTCATCTCCTACCTCTCTCCACTCCAGAAGTTCCAGGATTTCTGGCCTCAGGGCCTTGCTCTGGCTCTTCCTTCCACCTGGAACAGTCTTTTCCCAGTCAGTCACACAGCTTGCTCTGCGCATTTCTTTAGAAGGTCTCTGCTCAAATGCCACATTTTAATGATGACTTCCATAACCAAATTACTTAAAATAGCACATCTTCACCTCAATATTCCCTAGCTCCCATCTTGCCTTATTTTTCTCCATAGCATTCATTAACATATAACACAGTATAAATTTCCTTGTTTATTTGTTCACTGTCCATTTCTTCCAAATAGAATGTGGACTCCGTGAGAGCAGAGATTGTTTTTAATCAACCCTGTTCACTACTATATCTCTAGCAATTAGAATAGTTCTGACACATAGTGAGTCCTCAACAAATAGTGAATGAATGAACACCTCAGTTTGTGGACTGACAATTATACTTGCTATATAATTATCAGCATACAGGATTCTCAAAAGCACAACAACTTTAAATTTTTTAGTTCTTACATTTTATTATGGCATTTCTGATAATCTTCTGAAGAGGCACCTAGCAAAGGAAATTTTAAAAATCTGTTAGAAATATCCAAAGACAAACCAGAGGCTAAAATTACTCAAGGTAAAAATAAATATTTCCTCCAAGATACATGATGACTATATAGTTTATTTTTATAATTTTATCTTATTATTTCTGCCACTTAAATTAGATAAAAGTATTTTCTAAATAACAAAGTAAAATAAATATGTTGCAAAATATTATGAGATACAGGAATCAGTCACCTTGTATTCAAATAGTTCTTTATAATTTTTTTTCAGTTCTTTATAATTTTTGAGGTCTTTTTACATCTATCATCTTAATTCTAACAACAATCCTATCAGGCAAATATACCAATTTATTATCCCCATTTTATTTTATTTTAGAGACAACTTCTCACCTTGTTGCCCAGGCTAGAGTACAGTGGCATCATCATGGCTTACTACAACCTCAAACTCCTGGGCTCAAGTCATTCTCCTGCCTCAGCCTCCCAAGTAGCTGGGAATACAGGCACCCAATGCACACAGCTTATTTTTTTCATTTTTTGTAGAGATGGGTTCTCACCATGGTACCCAGTCTTGTCTTAAACTCTTGGCCTCAAGTGATCCTCCGAGCTCAGCCTCCCAAAGTGCTGAGATTACAGGTGTGAGCCACCATGCCTGGCCCCCATTTTAAATATAAGAAAAAAAAAATAACTGGTCATGTTACAAAACCAGTAGCTGAATACCTGGGTCTTTAAACTTAGATCTCATGGTTCTTAGTCCAATACCAACTATATAGATACATATAATGGTAGACTGATTAGTCAAGAGAATGTTTCCTATCAACGTTTTCCTGCCTCAGGTGCATGAGGCAGTAGTAAACTAGCTGCTGCAGCATGTTGCTTACATTTGATTAAAATTTTTAAATCTCAACAGTTAAGGGGAGGTAAAGTGCATGGTGTTTCTCAAGCATTTCCTTGAAAGGAAATTTCTCAAAACATAAAGGACTACAGTGGACACATCATATAGTATCTATTCTCTACTTGTGCTAGTAACAGTCCCCTGATTTTTCCTCTGATCATTCAGGTATAGCCTATAATTTAATAATATAGTAAGAGCCCTGAATCTCCCTGGTCAAAGTGACTGGTTCAGAGACAGGCATATGAACTAATTTAAGCCAATGTGTAAGGTCCAGGACTTCTGTTCAAATAGCTGGGGAAGATAAGCATTTTTTAAATTGAATTTGAGGCTGTGAGTATATAAGCCTGGAGCTAGAAAGAGTTGCCATATAAAAGGACTTGGCTGAGAGTGTACTTACTCAGAGGGATCCTGAGATGAGAGATGAAGGGGAAATGGGTCCTACTGATAGCATTGGAAACTCTAGACCAAGCTGCATATGCATCTGATTTACTGCTGAATTTTTCATGTACATGTGGTAATAAATTCCCTTTTTAACCTAATATTGAATTAGGTTTTTTGACATTTGAAGTGGACAAAGAGCCTAACCTAAACACTTGCTAAAGAACTAATACAAAGTAATGACATCATAAAGCCCATGACATGATCTGAGGCACTGAGAAGGGCACAACATCACCTATATAGCATCCTTACTAAACACTCCATAACCTAATTACAATCATGAGAAAACATCAAGACAAATCCAAACTAAGGGACATTCCACAAAATAAATGATCAGTAATCTTCAAAAGTAACAAGATTATAAAAGATTAGGAACAGTTACACACTGTGGGTGACTAAGGAAAAATAATAATTAAATGCAATGGGGGATCCAGGGTAGGATACTGAAACAGAAGAAAAGACATTAATGGAAAAACTGGTAAAATTTGAATAAGGTCTGCAGTTTAGTTAATATTTTATACTAATGTTAATATCTTGGTTGTGATCATTGTATTAAGGTTTATATAAGGTAACGTTAGGGAAAGTTGGGTGAGAGCTATATGGGAACCCTCTGTACTATTTCTGAAACTTTTATCCAAGTCTAAAATTAGTTCAGGATAAAAAGTTATAAAAAAGTAAACCCAGCCAGGTACAGTGGGACCTGCCTGTAGTCCCAGCTACTTGGGAGGCTGAGGCTGGAGGATCACTTGAGCCCAGGAATTTGTGTCCAGCCTGGGCAACACAGCCAGACCCTATCTCTAAAAAAATTTTTTTTAATTAAAAAAAGAAAAGCAAACCTATATGTACTTAAGCAACTACCAGATGTAGTTTGTAGCCAAAGACAATCCAACTGATAAACTTAGCTTAGAAAACATTCAAGAGATAAAATATTTTGTTTTTCTAACACAGATGAGGGATGTTCCCCAGTGACGTGAAACTCACTTAAAATTGCAGAGAGATTTGAAAACTGTGGTGCCTTCTCTATTGTCACTGCTTTACTGGTGTCCAAAAGAGTGGAATTCTTCCATTGCAGGTGGTCTTTTAACTTGGGACACTCCCAATCTGAAAAAGCAGAGGGGGAATGGCATAAAACTCTGAACAACAGCCTACAAGGTTACCTTCCCACCTCCTCAACTTAGGGCCCCAGCCCACACCAACCTACGGTAACTGAAGAAAATTTTGATGAGACAGAACAAAAAGATAAGATTTAATGGCATCACGACAGTAAATAACCTACAGCCTATGCTAGTTCTCTAACCCTGCCTTCCATTGATTTTTGTTCCATAGAGATTATTGACCTAAGGGACAGGCAGCATATATTTGGGCTGATTCTCATATTTTATGTATAAGTTTTACCTATGTTCCATTAAAAATCATATCACTAAATAACATACAGTTGGTCCTCCTCATCCACAGGTTCTACATTTGTGGATTCAACCAACCACAGAACAAAAATATTTGGAAGAAAAACTGCATCTGTACTAAACATACAGACTTTTTTCTTGTCATTATTCCCCAAATGATATAGCATAATAACTATTTGCATAGCATTTACATTGTATTAGGCATTATAAGTAACCTAGAGATGATTTAAAGAATACAGGAGGATATGTATTGGTTATATGCAAATCCTGGGCCATTGTGTGTCAGGGACTTGAGCATTTGTGGATTTTGTCATCTGAGGGGGGGTCCTGGAGCCAGCCCCCCAAGATACACAGAGATGGCTGTACTTAAACTGCTATTACTTGACATCAGTTTTAAGTTTACTATTGACTTCCAACTATGGAATAATGAGCTATCCCCTCTTACATCCCCCATCCCCACTTTTCCCACCCCTCTGATTGTTCCCATACTGTTGTATCACATATTCAGTTAGATTAATATTCAATGTAGACATTATGAGGATAAAAATGCTATTAAAATGCTATAAAATACTTACTCTGGTGGTATGCTATGACCACCTTTTGTTTTTCATGGAGTCAGTATAAGTCTTTTTTTCTCATTTGTTTAGTTTTCTGTGTATTTTCCATCTATTTAATCCCAAACTCTACCAAGTTGTATAAATCCATTTTATTTATTCCATTCCCTGGTGCTCTGAAGTTTCATAATGCTGTGCCTTGGTGTTTTCATTTACGGTAGTGGGTGCACTGTGGGCCCATTAACCTGGAAATTAATATTTTCTTTAGCTCCAGAAAATGTTCTCGAATTATTTGATAATTTTCTCCTTCTGTTTTTTTCATTACCTTTTTCTGGAACTCCTATTATTTGATGTTAGATTTCATATATTGTTTTTCTTTTTCCCTCCAAATTTCAATCCTTTTTATTTTCTCTTTTTCCTCCTTTTTTTTTCTTATGATCCTTTTTTTATGGGAAAGCTCCTCAACTTTACCTCCTAATCCTTCTATTGAGTTTCCATTCTGCTACTGCTTCCAATTATTCTTAGAATATTCTCTATGTTATATCATCCTATTCTTATTTAATGGATACAACATGTGTTTTCTTATATTAATGAAGACCTTCTTTTCATTATTTCCATCTCCTAGTGTTGTTTCTATTTCTTCTTGGTTCTTCCTCATCTTTTTAATTTTATTAGAACACTTAACATGAAACCTACCCTCTTAACAAACTTTTAAGTGTATAATACAGTATTGTTAACTATAGGACTAGTGTTGTACAGCAGATCTCTAGAACTTGTTCATGTTCCACAGCTGTAACTTAATACCCATTGAATAGCAACTCCTAATTCTCCCATCCCACCAGATCCTGTCAACTACCATCCTACTCTCTGCTTCTATGAGTCTGAGTCTTTTAGATAGTAGAATTACACAGTATTTGACCTTCTGTGACTGACTTATTTCATTTAGCATAATGTCCTCAAAGTTCATCTATTTGCTGCAAATAGAATTTCTCTTTTTTAAGGTTGAATAATATTCCATTGTATGTATGTATCATACTTTCTTTATCTATTCATCTGTCAATGGACATTTACGTTGTTTCCATATCTTGACTATTGTCAATAATGCTAAAATGAACACTGGAGTGCTAATATCATTTCAAGATCCTGATTTTAATTATTTTTGATAAATATCCAGAAGAGGGATTGCTGGATCACTTGGTGATCTATTTTTAATTTTCAGAGAAAACTCCATTCTATTTCCCATAGCAGCTACACCATTTTACATTCCCACCAACAGTGTACAAGGATTCCAATTTATCCAGACCCTTGCCAACATTTGTTATCTTTTCTTATTGGTTTTTTTTTTTTTTCCAAGCCAAACTGTATCCAGCTTTATTAAAGATACTTTTCATAAACAATCATGGTATTTCAGGCAGGACATGGGCAGACAATCGTTAACAGTATACAACAACTTTCAAACTCCCTTCTTCAATGGTCTACCAAAATCAGAAAGCCACTATAAAACCCAATGAAGTCTTCATTTGATGCTCCTGAACAGAGAAAGTTTAGAGTGAGGGTTGACATTTCACATTTAGCATGTTGTTTAACAACTTTTCACAAGCCAACCCTGAATTTCAGGAAATGAAATGAAAATGGCAGAATTTATCTGAAGATCCACAATCTACAAATGGAACTGCTGCTCTTTTGAGGGATGCCATCTCAGTGGTGCCACTGGAAAAGTCCAGATTAGCCGACATACTGGTAAGCAATTATTGGAGGTCAGGCCCCAAGAGGTGTCTGGGTTTAAGGGAGTTAAGACTATGCTGAAGGCAGAGAGGGAGAATAGGACATAAAAACAAATTAGTTTTTCCATACCACAAGGCATATGTGCCAAGGTGGCTATGTGTCAACGTCAGGGAATCCCTCCTCCTGAGAGCCAAGAGGAAGTCTCTCAAAACTAGAAGGGGAAGGTGTTTTCCCCGTATCGATCTAGCTTTGGAGACATTCTATTAGTGACATATGCCCCTTCCCCCAAAAAACAACAATGAAGTGTTCTGTGTGCTAAAAACATAGCTTAAAAAAAAAAAGTAAAACAACATTCTGCATTTTTATAAAACTTGATAAAAAATAGTATTTCAAACTGTACAGTCACCAGAAGTACACAGTTATCAAAAATGCACACACTTCACTTGGCATCTCCAGCCCCTTCAGCTTTCTGTGCCTGGTCTGTTTTGGCATCTCCGTTTTCTGCAGGGTCATTTCCCTCCTTGCCAGCGTCAGCTTTTCCCTTTTTCCCTTTGGGTACCTTCTCTCCCTTCTTTGCAGGGGGCTTTTTAGGCTTGGGATCTGGCTTTGGAGGAGCAGGTTTAGCAGACAACCTCGCGGATCTTCTCTGTGGTTCGTCCTTTGCCTTAGCTTTATCTTCTTTAGCATCCCCTTCAGCCTTTCTCTTGGGCATGGTGGCAATGGCAGTGGGACGTGGGCGCTGGACGCGGGGATGCAGCGGCGCGTGGGCTTTGGTCGGTCCAGGGGTCGTTCTCGCCTCCTCTTCTTCACACTGCTCTCTTTTTGGTTTTTGACAATAGATACCTTAACAGGTATGAGGTGATATCTTATTGTGGTTTTGATTTGCACATTCCTGTTAATTAGTGATGTTGAACATTTTTAACATACTTGTTAACCATTTCTATGTCTTCTTTAGAGAAGAGTCTATTCGAGTTCTTTGTCCACTTTTTATTCAAGTTTTTTTTTCTTTTGTTCTTGGCTATCAAGTTATAGGAGTTCTTTATGCACTTTAGATATTTATCCTTTTATCGATACATGGTTTGCAATTATTCCTAAGTATTTTATTCTTTTTGATGATATTATAATTGGGATTATTTTCTTAATTTCCTTTGTGGATAGTTTGTTGTTACTGTATATAGAAACAACTGATTTTTGTATGTTGACTTTATAATCTCCAATTTTACTGAATTCATTTATTAGTTCAAATAAATTTTCAGTGGAATCTTTAGCCTTATATATTAGACCATGTCATCTGCAAACAGATTATTTTACTTCTTTCCTTTTCAATTTGGGTGTTTTTATATCTTTTTGTTGCCTAATTGCTCTGGCTAAAAATTCTAGTACTGTGCTGAATAGAAGTGGTAAGAGTGGACATCCTTGCCTTGTTCCTTCCTGATCTTAGAGGAACAGCTTTTAGCTTTTTACCACTGAATATGATGTTGAGATAATTGCCTCCTGTTCCTAATTCTAAGAATTTTTATCATAAAAGATGTTGAATTTTGGCCCGGGGCAGTGTGGCTCACGCCTGTAATCCTAGCTCTTGGGAGGCCGAGGCGGGCGGATTGCTCAAGGTCAGGAGTTCAAAACCAGCCTGAGCAAGGAGCCAGTCTCTACTATAAACAGAAAGAAATTAATTGGCCAACTGATATTATATATATATAAAATTAGCCGGCATAGTGGCACATGCCTGTAGTCCAGCTACTTGGAGGCTGAGGCAGAAGGATCACTCAAGCCCAGGAGTTGAGGTTGCTGTGAGCTAGGCTGACGCCACGGCACTCACTCTAGCCTGGACAACAAAGTGAGACTCTGTCTCAAAAAAAAAAAAAAAAAAAAAAAGATGTTGAATTTTGTCAAATCCTTTTGCTGCGTCTATTGAAATGATTATGTGATTTTACCTTCATTCTGTTAATGTGGTGTATCACCTTAACTGACTTTTGCATATTGAACCATACTTGCATCTCAAGATATGCCACTTGGTGTAGACCCTTTCAATGTACTGTTGAATTTGAATTGCTAGGTATATTTGCATCCCAAAGTGCTCGGATTACAGATGAAGCCACATACCTGGCATATGTTTTTTTCTAATTCTCTTTGTCCTTGTAGGTTTATGCCTTTAAAGGAGGAGGTAAAAAAAGAAAAACCCATTTTCTGCCATTGCAGAAAGTTGTAAACAAAGGCATGTGTTCAATTTACCATCATTAACCAAAGGCTATATGTACACATATAATAAATTCAAATAAGTGTTAATTTACATAGAGAAAATTCAAGCAGAGACTTGGCCTAGGTAACATTTATTTGCTGAAAAGTAAGAGAAATACAGGAAATAAAAGATAGCCTACAATTCAAGAGAACAAATGTACATTATGTGCAAAATTGATTAATACATCACATGTAAATGCTTAATGATATGTCTTCATATTTCCCTGATCTGAGGGCTTTTGCTCTGTTTTTGGTTGTTTTTTGTTTTTGTTGAGACAGAGTCTCACTCTGTTGCCCTGGTAGGAGCTGGCCGTGGCGTCAGCCTAGCTCACAGCAACCTCAAACTCCTGGGCTCAAGTGATCCTTCTGCCTCAGCCTCCCAAGTAGCTGGGACTACAGGGAGGGCTTTTGCTCTGTAGTCCTGTGTGAATGAGCTTAGAATGCAATGGGTAATGGTCAGGGGAAGGAGGTGCTGATGAGAAAGAAGAGTTGCCTCCTCAAAGGTACCTTTATTCACTGGAGATTTGTGGACAAAGACACAATTTCTACAGTAGAGCAATTTAAGATTGAAATTATTTTCTCACCTAAATAATCTGATCCTCTGAACACTTCAGGTGACGGGAAGCTACTTAAACTCTCTTCACCACTCTTGTATCCTGTATAAGATTCTGAGATTGAATAGCTCAGGAGAGAACTGGAAATATCATGCTGCAAACTTAATCCTGTAGGATAAAAAAACAAACAAAATGAGTAAAATGTTTCAATAGAAAAAAGACTTGAAATCATAAAAATTAAAATCTTCAGACATGTATATATTTAATTGTATACTAAGAATCTAAAAGTGCTTCCACATACAATTGAAATGGCACAATATTTTAAACCATTTTAATTTGAATCTTAGAAACTAATTCTATTTTTGATGTTGATAAAATACATTAGAATCCTCTTCCCTTGTTTTTCTCCCTATGCTCCATTGTTTTTCAAAGTTTTAGTTTTGTAACTTACTCCCTCTCTACTTTGGTTAGTTATAAGTCTTGACTCAAAAATTCAAGTTTTACATATAAGTAACCTACTAATTGTAAGCTAACTAGCTGAGGAGAAAAAAGCGTCATTCTAGTCATTCCATCTAAAAAACAGTGAGCCTAAACATAGGCAAACAGATTAAAGGAACTGAACAGAAAACCCAGAAATAGACTGACACATATATGAGCAACTGATTTTTGATCAAAATGTAAAGGCAATGTGATGAAAAAAGATGTGTTTCGAACAAATTGTGGAACAACTAGATATTCATATGCCAAAACAAAACAAAAAACATGACACTCACACCTTCCATCATGTAAAAAATTAACTTTCAATGGATCATAGACCTATGTGTAAATCCTAAAACCACAAAACTTCCTTCCAAAGAAAACACAGGAGAAAGTTGTTGTAACATCTTACAACAGATTCCTTTGATATAACACTAAAAAGATGATTCCTTTGATATAACACTAAAAAGATGATTCATAAAACAACAGCAATGATAAATTGGACTTTACCAAAATTGAAAACTTTTCTTCAAGAAACTCAGATTAAAAGACAACCTACAAATAGAGAGAAAACATTTGCAAATGTACTGAATCCAAAATATAAAGAACTCTGAAAACTTAAGGAAACATACATCTCAATAAGAAAATAGGCAAAATATTTGAACAGAAAGTCTTTCCAGGCCGGGCGCGGTGGCTCACGCCTGTAATCCTAGCACTCTGGGAGGCCGAGGCGGGCGGATTGCTCGAGGTCAGGAGTTCGAAACCAGCCTGAGCAAGAGCGAGACCCCGTCTCTACTATAAATAGAAAGAAATTAATTGGCCAACTCAACTGATATATATATATATATAAAATTAGCCGGGCATGATGGCACATGCCTGTAGTCCCAGCTACTCGGGAGGCTGAGGCAGAAGGATTGCTTGAGCCCAGTTGTTTGAGGTTGCTGTGAGCTAGGCTGACGCCACGGCACTCACTCTAGCCTGGGCAACAAAGCGAGACTCTGTCTCAAAAAAAAAAAAAAAAAAAAAAAAAAAAAAAAAAGAAAGTCTTTCCAGATTCAAAGATCTTAAAGTCATACCTATAAGAACAACTGTCTAATAACAGTGGGGCTAGATAGTATTAAAAGTTGAGGAGAACCAGAAGGTTTAACAAGGGAAAACATACTCTTCTATATTTAGTCAGCATTTATTAAACACTTTCAATATGACAAGACAAAGGTCAACATTGATATAAAATGGGTGGGCAGGTAAAAGATCAAAGGGGAGGATTGTTCTGAAAACCTATTATCCCCTACCCTGGAGCTGATGTATGCTTCTCTCTGTTCATCCATTACCTAGTTGAGACAACTAACTCTTTATCCTTTCTCCTTTGACCTGACTACAACTTTTTCTCCTATTCCAACCACTTTGTTAAAGCTGGCAATTGTCTCCTACTTGGGCCACCTCCTTCAGCCAACCACTGTCACACAAATGGCCCAATCTACCACCCTTCTCCACCTCCTCAGCTGTTAGGAGTAGGCTGTCCCTCTGAGCATCCTTTGCTTCCCTTACTCCAACTGCCCTCGAGTGTCTGGTCCCTGTCCTTGCTAACTTTTACTCTTTTCACTCTGTCTTCATCCTTCCCACTCACGTGTTGTTATATTTTTCTTGCCTTCTATTCCTTAAAATTTTATAAATACCACTCACAGCAGAGCTATCCATTCCACCATGCCCCAGAACTCAAGCCAGGCTCAGAAATAAGAAAAAGCCCTGAACACATCACCTGGGGAGTTGCGTATAGAAAATAATAAATAAATGTTCATGCGGTGTTACTGGGAGATTGTTTCTGGTGTCACAAGTTAGAAATTTAAATATACTTAAAAATTACATTTTTGGCCAGGAACAGTGGCTCAAGCCTGTAATCCTAGCACTTTCAGAGGCCAAGGCAGAAGGACTGCTTGAAGCCAGTTCAAGACCAGCCTAAGCAAGAGCAAGACCCCGCCTCTACTACAAACAGAAAAATTAGCTGGGCATGGTGGCACATGCCTGTAGTCCCAGCTACTCCAGAGGCTGAAGCAGAAGCAGTTTGATGTTGCTGTGAGCTATGATGACACCACTGCACTCTAGCTCAAGCAACAGAGTGAGACCTTGTCTCAGAAAAAAAAAAAAAAAAAGAATCTTTATACTATCTTAATACTTGAGTGACAGTTTGGCTGGGTACAGAATTCTAGGTTATTATATTTAGAGACTGATTTGATTTTTTGATGTGTCACAGCTTTTAAATCTTACTGTTCCCTTTTCCCTTTCTGCCCCACATCAGTGTGAGGTGACATGAAAGCCTTGTTGCTCCATCTTCTGGCAATGACAGCGAGTTAAAACTATGCATGGGGAATCTCAACCAGATCCCACCTTCCAACCATCATGACAACAACAGGCCAGGCTCCTTTCCCTGCACTCTCATTTTCAGTCCTGCTTGGAAGCCACCTTTCTCTCCAGAAAGCCTCATTTAATGAGTAATAAACTTTTCCATACTCTCAATGTATCAATGGTGTCATCAGTCTTGAAATCCAAGTCAAATTTTGAGTACGGAGCCATCCTGCCTCTGCAAAATCAGTTCTCTTCAGAATTTTAAATGCATTTTTTCCATGTTTCCAGCTCCTGCTTTTTGTTCTTCAGAAGTCCAATGCCATTCATATTTTTTAACACAGTACTGACGTATCTGAAGAGCCATTCATATTCGTGGTTATTTGCAAGTGGTTTTTTTTCTCTGAAGAAAACTGAAGGATTTCTCTCTTTATCCTGGGGATTTTTAAATTATATAATATTGTACCTTAGTGTGGGACTTTCTTCACTTATTATGATAGGCACAATTAGGTTGCACTGTCCAAACTTGGCTTTCCACATCTGTGTTCGTACTTTTCAGAAACTCTGAAGGCTCTTTCAACATACGTATATACTCATGACCATTTTTAATTCTAAAAAAATTTCTAGTTTTATGTGTTTAATAACTTTCTTTCTGTTTATAATGTCTGGAACTACTTTTTTCAGATGTTACGATTCTTGGACTCATCTTCTAATTATTTTTGTTTTTAAAATAACAGCTTTATTTAGATCTAATCAAAATACCATAAAACTTAGCCTTTGGGCATACTTACAGAGTTGGGCCACCATTGCAGCTATTTTTACTTTTTATCTTCTCTAATGTTTGTTCAACTTTCTGGAATACTTCCTTAATTTTATCATCCAATTTTATAGAATATTTTCTGATTTTATATTTTTATTTTTAAAAAATTCTTTTTGTTCTTTGAATGCTTTTTATAGTAGCCTGCACTTGTTTCAAGGATACAACATTTTTTCATCACCCTGAGGATATTAATGAAATTATGGCTTTCTAAAAAGATTTCTTTTCCTTGTATGGTCTGTGTTTTTCAAGTTTCTTTTTGATATCTATTATTTATTTTAAATGTTTACTTTAAGCACGGTGAATTTTCAGTGCTCAAGAATGAGGCATTAACATGGCATCATGAATGGGGCTCAGGAAGAGGTGGGGTTTACTGAGGAGTATTTAGGCAGGGACGAGGCCATTATTGCCAGAATATAGTCCTCTCCTGGGCAGAGAAGTTTCCAAAAGAGGAATCCTCAAATCTTCTCATTAGGGTATATTTACCTAAGTAGGAAGGGGCCTGGGGACTTTACAACTAAGTACACAGACTTTCACTTAATTCTCTTCTCTCCCATCACTGCTGATGTTCAGTGCAGCATCCCTGCCCTGAGCAGTCCCGAGCACCCCTGAGTCCAGTCCCTCTGCTTCAACGTTTCTGCATTGCCTGGGTAAGAAAAAGAGTAGTTGCCTGGCTACACAGTGTTGGGGAAAAGATAAATCATCTACCTACTACTTTTAAAGATTACCAAAACTCCTATTTCCAATACTATCTGTACCTATTCCTTTAGGAATGTGATAGTTCTAATTCCGGAACCTATAGCCTAAATGAGTTTGCTTCTTGGTTTGTCTGTACTTTAGGTACCTAGCTTTCAGCTTATTTATTTATTTTGGTCTGTTAGGTCAATTATAATTCATTTGTCTGTCTTTCAGATTGCAAATTTTTATTATCTCTTACCAGCTGAGATCTCTTCTCTCTGTCTTTTTCAACCTTGTGGCTTCAAATCTTTATTATGCCTTTATTATTATTTTAGTGGAGTTTCAGAAAGGAGAAGTAAACATACACGTTCAATCGTTGCATTAAATATAAAATCCTTAATTAATCAACATGTTACAAAGTTACCAGATTCCAAGGTAGAATTAAAACAATTAATTATATGTTAAATAGAATACTATGGGCTGCTCAAAACTTAACCCATTACAATATTATGGGAAACAGAATTCCAAGATTCAAATATTAATCAGCAAATGAACTCTTAGAATACAAGCAGTTTGTAAGTTATAGTCTATTTCCTATTTCCTTAAACTTTTCACACATGAACTTGATAAATCTAGTAACCAAGGGTATTTTTCATATATTTAAACTATGATTTTAGAAAATGCTGCTTATTATGGTTTAATAGTTTATTTTCTCTAAATAGAGTACAAGACCCATAAGCATGTGAAAGTGCATTAGGTTTCAAGTACAGGCTAGGAAGATAAAACATAGTTCTATTTCTCAATGTTTTAGGGCCACGATAAAAAGACAAAAATAATTATGCTACTGTTCTGTGTCCCATGACAGAAGTATACAGAATGCCACAGAACTACCAGGATACAGTAAGTCATCTATTAATAGAAAGAGAGAAGAGAGGTCAGGAGAGGCTTCCCAGTAAAAATGACACCTAAATTTATTTATTTTTTATTTTTTTATTTTTTTTTTTGAGACAGAGTCTCGCTTTGTTGCCCAGGCTAGAGTGAGTGCCATGGCATCAGCCTAGCTCACAGCAACCTCAAACTCCTGGGCTCAAGTGATCCTTCTGCCTCAGCCTCCCGGGTAGCTGGGACTACAGGCATGCGCCACCATGCCTGGCTAATTTTTTATATATATATCAGTTGGCCAATTAATTTCTTTCTATTTATAGTAGAGACGGGGTCTCGCTCAGGCTGGTTTCGAACTCCTGACCTTGAGCAATCCGCCCGCCTCGGCCTCCCAAGAGCTAGGATTACAGGCGTGAGCCACAGCGCCCGGCCCTAAATTTATTTTTGAAGAACATACAGAAGTTAACCAGGCAAAGAAAGGAGAGGAAGGAGAGAAAAGCATTTCTTGAGCACTATATTTTAGGAAATGCTCCTCTAATCTATTTTCTAGCTCACAAATTTGATTTTCAGCTGAATTCATCCCAATATTAGACTCACTAAGTTTTTAACTTGATAATAGTTTTGGTTTCCAGGCACTATATATATATTTTTATAGCAGTTTGTTATATTACAGATTCAATGGCCTCTTGTATCTAAAAAGATATTTAAAGTTTTCTGCTATTTCCTCAGATGTTAGTTTTTCTGTTTCTCATATTTGTTACCTCTTCTCACCACTGGTTTTCCTCAAAGGTTTGGCTGTACCCAGTTGCCTCATTCACATCTCTATTTGAGAATCTGTTTACATGGCAGTGAGTATAAATTCTGAAACAGTAGCTTGCTTCTGGAGATTTTGGAAGAGTGGTAAGACATCCCGGGAAACTGTGTTCTTGGTAGGGATGTCCTCCTGAATTTCTAGGAATTGTAGATTACACGGGAGCACTGCTCTAATTGCCTGAACAGTGTCCCCCACTGGAAGTTGATGGCAGAATTCCCACTTCAGAGGGCCATAGTATATCTTTATCCCAGAGTTAACAAACATAAAAATTATTTTCCTCTTTTACATTTTTCTTCCTCTGCTATCCTTGTGGCAATCTTAAATAACTTCAGACTCTCTTCTGCGTCTCAATCCAGCCCCAACACTGATCCTTCTCTCCTAAACTACTATAGGCCTCTTAACTGGTCTACTTACCTCCACTCTTGCTTCTTTCTAGTTTTTTTTTCCATACTGCAGCTAATGTGACCATATCATACTCTATTAAAATGACTTCTATGTCTTCCTTCTGCTCCAAAGATAAACATCAACATCTTTGACATAGACTACAAGGCTATACAAGGCCTTTAACTGGTTGTCCAATCTTGTGTTACAATCATTGTTCCTCCTACTCTCTGTACTCCAGTCACACTGGCCTCCTTTCAGTTCGCTTAACACATAATGCCCATGTCAGGGTCTGTGCACATGCTGTTCCCTCTGCCTGTATTTCTTTACTCATTTCTTTGCATAATTAATTTCTACTCTCCTTCAGATCTCAATTCAATTTTCATCCCCTCATGGAAGCCTTCTATAATCTAACTAAACTCAATTAATTGCACTCAAGTCAATCTTTTGTAGTATTTATCGCAATTGTAATTTCACATTTACTGGTGTGTGACTGAAGGCTCTGAGGATAAGATCTAGAGCACAGTCAGAAGGATTGACCTTGGACTAGGGAACAGACACCTCTTGCACCGAGATGAGAAGATAGGGTGAGATACAAATGGATGCTTGTGTTTGAAGAAAAGACAGAAAGCTGAGGGAGTTCACATCTGACAGTCTTACCTGATACTAGCTCACTATTTGATGAACCACTGTCAACCTGGAGGTCAGTCACTGACTCCTAAGTAAAAAGAATTAAAGATGTAGCACTAATTATAAGATTGGCCACTTTTTATAATATTGTATCACATAGATTTGGTTATTTTGAAAATGAAATACTAATGTCAACTTTGTATATCAGTTTCATACGTATAATAAATTCTCTCAAAATTTATTGGTCAGAGGTAATCTGATATTTAATATGAAATATAAAAATAAATACTAAAATATAATAAATACCATGAACATATCTAGTATACTAGTCAACTAACTATGTGGGATAAACCAGAAGATAAAGGTGAATTTTTCTGATCCCCTGAAGAGGAATTGCTTTTTGTCTTCTAAATATAAAGGTCAATAAACAAACCAAAAGAAAACACAGATAAGTCTAAAATACTAGAAATAAAATTAAAGGCAAATAAACAAATATAGAAATATTTGTTATGTGTAAAAGCATATCTATTTGTAATATGTAAGTAGACATTTCACAACAAGAAATACAAATGCCTAATAACTTGAGAAAAAAAGTATCAACTTCACTAGCATTCAAAGAAGCATAAAGTAAAATAACATGTTACTTGTCGCCTATCTATATATATTTCATACATATATTTCAAGTTTCAGGTAAGATGGCCCTGATTTGCCAAAATGAATCAAAAACTTTACACATATCCTATTCCAGCAGCTGTAGCAAAAATAAATAAATAAATAAATAAATTCTAGCCATCAAAACAACAAAGGAAAAAAACTTTACAACTCTTAGCAATAAATCACAGCAAAGTATTTATCTTAGGGTAACAATATGAGGTACACAAAACTTCTGTAGTAGCATGTCCACTGGTAACTGCAACAGCAAAACTTCAGAAACAATTTCAATCTCCCAAATACAAAAAATAGTTATACAAATTACAAGATAAAACACTATGAAAACACTAACAATCATATTTTTGAAGACTACAGAATGTATAGAGAATATAGAAAAAAGGCAACAATTTGTAAAAATTTTAAAAAACACAGAAAAAGGGAACAGAAAGAAATATACAAAAATATGAAGAAACTTTTAAAAGATTTTTTTCCATAGAATAAACCATCTATAAAATACACTTTACACTGGTAAAATATGGTGTAAAAGCCTTTTAAAAAAATGTCTTATGATGAAACAGCGTACGCCCAAAAATATGTTAGAGAGGACTATGTAAGCTAAAAATCTAGAACTTGACTATTAAATTTAATGCTAATATCACATGAGACGCAAGCAATTTTTGAAATCCGAGTTTCCCCAAATTAGTAATGTACAGCTTTAAAATATTGTACAGAACCCATATTAAATATGGTGTATCAAGAAGTTATATAATATTCCAATGCATGAATATTAGAATGCTCTTTAACATATGAAATCCTTAGCAATAAATCATGTTTCTAGTCGTTAACAGAAAGTCAAATGGAAAATGTGAAAATGGCTCTTTAAAATGTTAAAGTGCTACCAAACATAAGAGTTATCAAGTAACACGTTGTATTCATCACACAGAAAATTAGCCAGTAACACACTTGTAAAGGAAAAAAAAATGAAAATGCATGACTATGAATCTACCTGAGTAGATTCAAGGCCCTGTCTAAAGACACATCAGCATTTACAAAAATACTAGAAAGCTATGTAATCTCTACTTAACAAAGACCATTATGTTCTTTCCTCTGGAGGTGCATTTCTGCTGATGTCTACACTAAATGTATACAAGAATTATAAGAGAAACATACATACACCCAGTAGGGCAATCTTCTCATCCTGGGACTCTTCATTACTGCTATTTTCTTCCAGGCTTTTCTCCTCTGTAACTCTTAACTGTGTGCTAACAAACAACCAACACAATTAGTTTGCACCATCCACGTCTCTGTTCACACCGTTCAGAATCTCAAGGGCTCTTTAGGAAGAGGAAAGGGTCAGAGTGGATGAAATGCACCAATACGCAAATGGAGGTTGTATTTCATTTGCTTTTAGGTAACTTAGCAAGCTTTCTTTCTCTTTCTTTCACAAATCTTTCTGAAGTCAAAGTTTTGGGTCTATGTACTAAAAAAGTGAAATCAGAGTATTGTATTTATTTTCTTCGTTGATTCTTAGAACAAGAGACTACTAGCAAAAAATTAGGATTAAAGTTTTCCAAGAAGGTCCAGGCGCGGTGGCTCACGCACTCTGGGAGGCCGAGGCGGGAGGATCGCTCAAGGTCAGGAGTTCAAGACCAGCCTGAGCAAGAGTGAGACCCCGTCTCTAGCAAAAATAGAAAGAATTAGCCAGGTGTGGTGGCAGGTACCTGTAGTCCCAGCTACCTGGGAGGCTGAGGGCAGGAGGATCGCTTGAGCCCAGGAGTTGGAGGTTGCTGTGAGCTAGGCTGATGCCACGGCACTCTAGCCCGGGGAACAGAGCGAGACTGTCTCAAAAAAAAAAAAAAAAAAAAAAACGTTTTCCGCGGAGGAGGCCTGCGTGGGGCTGTTACTCGAGGTCACTCACCTGAGCAGCCCAGAGCCGCGCCGGCTCCGCTCCACTGTCTCCGCGATCTTCGGCAGCGCGCGCGCTTTGCCTTCTCGCTTCAGGCCTGGGGGAGACGGCACGTTTCAGGCCGGCAGCCCCGGAAGCCCCTCGCCGCCCGGGCCAGCGGGGCGAGGCTGTCCCCGGGCCTGAGGCCCAGCCGCCCTTCCTCCCGCCCGCCCCCGGTCCTGACCCGAAGGGCGGTCCGGAGGGGCTTACAGTGGCGGGGCCTCCAGCCCGGGCCAGGCGGGGCCTCTGCCTTCCCCGCGGAGCCCGCGTCGGGCGTCGGAGTCAGGTTGAGCTTCTGGCCCGCCCGCTTCTTGCGCGTGTAGACCCGCAGCGGCCACATTTCCACCCCGCCGCCCGCGGGCCTCCAGGAGCTCCGGGGCCTGGACGGCCTGTCTGGTCGCCTTTCTCGGGAGCGACACACCTGTCGAGGGAGGGAGGCGGCGTAAAGGCACGGGGCGGAGCGGCCTGACAGGAACAAAGTGAGAAAAGACAAAAGCCGCCCCGACTTTTATACGGGCAGCGCTGCGCGGAGGCTGCCGGGAAGGCTGAGGGCCTGGCGGCCGCCACCTCCTGGCGCGCGCGCACGCCGCGTGGCGCGGGCTCCTCAGAACCGAAGGAAGCTGACTGAAAAAAGCTTTTTTCCGGTTCTGAAGGTGGCTCCTTCACTTTTCATTTCCTCAGTAGCGGGGCTGGCCCACCATGCGCTGGGCCTTGGCCTCTCTCCTCACAGTCCTCAGCGATGAGCGTTGGGTCACGACCCGGGCGGTCCAGCCTCGCGCGGCGGAGAGATCCGGCGGGAACCAACACGCGAGAGGGGACGACAAGCTTCTACCTGAGGAATAAGCTGCGGCCCCTGGGGCCACCGACTCACTGGGAGGCGGTGGAACTTGAAAGCGTACGCAGACCTGAGAAGATCCTGGGCTCTAGGAGGCTGTTTTTCGGGGACAAGCAGAGTCCCTCAGCCTGCGCCCCCGAGAGCCACCTCCGGTGTTAGGGCCTAGGGACCATCCACAGGTGTTGAGGCCAAAGCTTCTGGTGGCTTGTGCCGGTGGGAAACTTAAATTGTTATAAGAAGAAAGCAAAACAATCCACTTGTAACTGAATGCCTATCTTGCCAGCTGCAGGTCGTAAAATTTCTCAGTGCCCAGGCTAACTGACGCTATCTGCGTCTGCAAATAGCTTGCGGCACGGGGGCGCAAGGCCGGTCGGAGCTCCTACCATCTGGAAGGAACATGATAAAATGTAGAAAACAAAACCCTCACTTATGTGCCTCTCGTCACGTAAGCCCCCTGTGACCGTGCTTGAACAATTAGATAATTTTTTCAGAGTGTGGTTTTTGCGTTTAAAAGGGGCCGGTTTTCCCTAGCTCATCCCTACTTTTCTGTGCCTGCCGCTCTGCGGGGCAGAAGTAGTCCTGGCCAGTAATGGCTCACAGTCTGACCCAATTCGGTTTCTAGGTGGTCTTTTCTCGCACTCCGAATCATAACACTGGGACATTCGAGCATCCTTGTGGTCAAGGTGGAAGCTGCCACAGGGGCTCCCCAGCTACTGCCCTAGGGCTCGACTCTTCTGCTCTGCCAACTGGAGAGACAGGAACCACCTCCCTCCATCTCTGTACGCACTCGTTGAACCATCTGGCTGCAGCCATGAGCCTGTGACACACAGAGCGATGACCATCTACTTGTTCAAACAAATGGCAACATTGCACGACATTGAAAAATGCAGTTTGTCTGGATGAAATTACGAAACACTCCAAGATTCTTCTGTGATAGCTCAATATTGTGTGTGAATATAAGTACATGTATATCCACGATGTAATAAAATCACTGACTTTTTAATTTAAAATCTGCTCATTGAAACATGTATGACGATTGAGTTACTATATAATTAATCCTCAAAACCGAGCTTTGTAAAGAAGCTCACCTGGTTAGACACACTGCTTTGAGGCACTGAATCCATATTTACTTAGCAAGGCACTGAAATAGGTCCTTGGTACTACATAGGTGAATCAGAAATGGTCCTTCAGTCAAGGACTTCCTGGTTTTGCTGCAGTTTGAAGCAATTATCATCTTCCAACATCCTTTCTTTACTCAAATACGTGTAATAATATGTTGACAGGAAGTCTCTAGTTTGCAAGCCAGGTCCCCTGGGTCCCCTCCCCCCCTTTGGGGACTGTTGTGAAAAAACTTGGAGTTCTTAAATGCCTTTTGGAAGGTCTGGGATGCTCTAGGCGTAGAAATGGAAGAAACATTGAAAAATGGAAATAGGTTAAGCCGAAAGCTGATCTGCCCCTTGGTAGTCCTATTCCCTAGAACTCTGTCTCAGTAAACTGAATTATATTCACTGACAGGTCATTAAGTAAAGATTTATTGGAATTAATGCATAGGATTTCCAAACTGGAAATAAACTTTGGTATGATTTCTTTAGCCAAAAGGATCCTTAGAGATGATCTAGTTGCCTCCTGGTTTTGCAACTGAGGAAACCACAGCCCAGGAAGCTTGTTAAGACAAATGGTTGGCATAGGGGACATGGCTTTCCTGGCATTTGGCTAGTATGCTTGTCATAACTCCCATGCATCCCAACAAATGGCTGGAAAAGAGGTGGGGGTAGGACAAAGAGAAGAGCTTGAAGTCCTTGGTAGCAAGAGGAGGGAAAAGGACCAGAGACAGACTTGGTCTGTTTGAAACGTCACCTGGAGCCAGTCTATAAAGGGTGAAGGAAATGTGTTCCCTACAAAAGGGTGAGGAGGGCAGAGACATCCCAAAGTCAGTCGTCTCTCTATCTGCCCCGACTCCATCCCCAGATACACAAACACCAGTGCTAGTGTTCAGTCGTGAGTGTTAAACTTCTCCATTCCTTTCCCCATTGTGCTGCCCCACGTCTGAACTCGAAACTCTGCCATCAGGTCGTCACTTCTACACGAGATGGGCTTGATCAGGTTTGGAACCATCATGGAGATACTAACTTCCTTGGGAAAACAAATTTCAAAGAGATTTCTGAAGAAGGCTTTTTGGAAAACAGCTAGGTTGTGCATTTGGGATTCCCTGGAGCCTAGAGGAAATCTTTCTGAATAACATTTTCTTAGGGAGTAACTCGCTGAGCAGGTTTGCTTGTGTGGTGCTATCTATTGGTTTCAGGAGTCCAACTGAAAGCCAGTTTATTTTTGCTTAACCAGAATGGAATAAAACACAGCACTAGAGGAAATGTAACTTCAGGCATTGCAGTGTTGATGCTATGCAGCTTGTGGAAAAGGAACAAGGGGATTTTCCTTCAGTAGACATTTCTTTAGCATCCACCATGGACCAGACCTGCACTTGGGCCTAAAACCTCAAGCAATTCGGTCTGGGTGGGGTGGGGCAAAGGGACCATCAAACAATAAACCATGTGGGAAGCTTCTCAGAGAAAAGGATGCTGGAAGCTAAGTTTTAAGAGATGAATGGAGGCCAGGCACATTAGGTCACTCCTGTTATCCTAGCACATTGAGAGGCCAATGCAGGAGGATTGCTTGAGGACAGGAGCTCAAAACCAGCCTGAGCAAGATCTCTACAAAAACCAGAAAAATTAGCTGGGTGTGGTGGCGTGTGCCTATAGTCCCAGCTATTCAGGAGGCTGAGGCAGGAGTTTGAGGGTACAGAGCCTGGGCAATAGAGTGAGACCTTATCTCAAAACAAAACAAAACAAAAACAAAAAGATGAACGGTAGGCGTTACACAAGGGGATTAAAGGAAAAGGAATTCTAGGAGGAGACTGTGTACTCAAAGGCATGCACGGAGGCACAGGAAAGCATGATGCTTTTAGGGCACTACAAAAAGTAATTGGTAAGATTGCAGCCAAGGCTTCATGGGGGAGAGGTAGAAGAAGAGATGCTAGCCCTTGTGTGCTCAACTAGGGAGTCTGAACTTTAGCCTGGAAACCATGGGAAGTCACTGAAGGAATATTAAGCAGGAGAGTGGCATGACCAGATTTTCAATTTAGAAAGATTGCCTTGACTGAAATGTGGATGGTGAAATTTGAGGAAGCTGGGGTAGAAACATGAAGACCAGTTAAGAAAGCACTGTAATATTCCAGATGAGAGGAAGGTAGCCCAAACCACACTGATAGCTGTGAGAATGGAGAGGAGCAAATATACGGAGAAGGCAGAATCTGTATAACTTAGACACGGCAGAATACGCCATTTTCAGAAATTGTACCTATTAATCTGTGTACGAATAAAAGACATTGTAGAAAGGCTGTTTTTAAAGACCATTATGATAGAAAGTTTGAATAGTTATTTGTTCTTTTAAAAGTATAAAAGTGATTTAAATCCAGGACACATTTCATGAGTTCCAACAGAGGCCTGGGCAAAGGAGAGCCTCTCGGAATGCATCATAATTTCTTGGAGTTTGGAAGGAAACTTCCAGAGGATGTAGAGGACCCTGACTGGTAATTCAGCTTGATACTGTGTGTACCATAAGCACTATGATTGATGATTACTAAATGTACTGACATGAAGGGATTATGTTATATACATATATAAAATAGTAATTGTAAACAACTTTGAGAAATGAAAAATGTTTATTTTTTACAAAAATTTTCATAAATGCATTTTATATTTGATATGCATGCTACTATAACAAAGCAACTGAAAATATAATTATGGCTACTTTTATTCATATTTAAAAAGTAATATTTTAATCCCCCCAATTTTTAAAAATTGAAAGTAGAATAAGCAATTCTTCAAAAAATATCCATTTCCCCCCCCATGCAATCGTTGCAATGACTTAACAAGAAAAATTAAAATAATCAGTCAAATGAACATTTAAAAGCCACTGTCACCTCATGAAATCCTTTCTGTTTGGGACCAAGTTCACATATGCTTGTATTCTAAGTATTTATCTATCTCCTCTATGTTACAACCATTAGTGCGTTCTAACTGAAGAATTTCTCATTTGGAGTTTTGTCCTCACTTGAATGCTAATCTAATTCTTAATGCAGTTAATTATAGAGTCACAGAAAGGACTATGGAGCATACTTGAGAGACAATTCAGTCTACTAGGATCCTTTTTTCTTTTCCTGTAGATACTTCCTTAAAATTAAAACCAGCAAGAAAATACAGCCAACTTATAGTTTACCAATTTTATATATGATTATTCATTCTTTTTTTCCTGAGATATTAAACAAGTTTGTAAGTAGTCTGTTTTCATGCAAAAAATATATTTTCCCATTCTTTACATTCATTTTATAGCATTTTGTATTTTAAATAACTATATCACATTTGTGCTTTATACATTTGGAAAATAAAGGCTAATTCATTTGCTTTACTGCAGAAAAATGAAAGATTGTTGGTTCCTTGATGGGTAACACAACCGAGTCAGTGCTGATTTCAAGTAGCTAAAACATTATCGGATTGTAAAAATCCCAATGGAAAGTTCTACTTTTCTCTCATACTTGGAGTTTCAACTAAATTTAGAATGAAACTGCGACTTGCTTACGTGAGAAAGACACAGTATGTTTAATCCTTGGACTTGTGAGTTCCTTACATATGGAGCTAGACCTACATACTGCACCTGGCCAGAGTTTCCTCTCCCATCTCGATGGGAAGCCTCATACTGTAGAGAGACATATTTTATGGCAAAAGGCAAAGAGATTAGGTATATATCCTATTTTATAATACACACAATAGGATTAGTTTGTAAAATCTGAGAATTACTAATACATTTGAATGAGAAACAGATAAAAAGGCCAAATATTTAAGAACACATTTATGCTTAAGGTACTGATTCTCTGTTATACCACTAGGATTAAACAGGATCCAACACCCGATATCAATGTGACCGTCATAAGCACATAGCCTTTTTCTGTATCGGTTAGTGAGAAACACAAACTTTTTTCTCCCTCAAAATAAAGTAGAGAAATCTGAACCAAGAAAGATTTTCCGTTAATACATATTGTTTCATCTCTCATTTATTACAAAATTAAGTGGCGCTAAACAGAGAAATAGATAAATGCACATGCAATATACGTAGGGTCCACCGTGACTTTTCTCAGTCCCTCTGCACTGACCCGTTCATTGGCCCTAGTGTGATGATTTCCACACAGATCTGGAAGTCTAGTAGAAACATAAGATTTTTTTAAGTGAGAAAAAGGAGAAATCTTGAGTTGTTCATAATCAATCCTATCTATTAAGAAGTATAAATAGAATCAATATAAGTCTTAAATTATTTGCTTATATTACATTATTCAAAATACTTTTAGAATCAAAGTCAACTATGAAATTTTAGCTGAGCGGAAGGACAATGGGAAACAACTTCTTTGCTGAAATGTGAGGCAACTTGCCCTTAAAATAGTCTGAATATCCAATTCAGGGAACAGTTTTCACTTTTAGTCAAGTATATATATTAAGTATTAAAAAAGTAATGCTATACAGATGTGGCCTTGGACAATTTTAAGTATTTGTTTATTCAGAAATGCCTTTAAAAATCAATGTGCCTAGAACTAGCTCATTTATTAAATGTCAAATTTATAAGCATAGCAGTGGGTCTTCAGAGAGAACACACTCGAGGAATATTTTAAAAGACTGGATAATTATGTCAAATGAAGCTGTAGTCTTCTTTTGACCAAACTTGTAAGTGAATAATCACTGATGCAGATTTATCTGATAGGCCCACGCGATTATGCCATTTTAAACTGACAACATTTATTTGCAAGCTGTTAGTACTTCCTCCAAGGGAAAGGAGCTTCCGGACTGCGAACACTGAGCACATATATTTTGAATTAACACACGAATTGTTCATATGCTCTCAGAGTTCTGTCTCTACAGAAGAATAATACTTTCCTAGGGCTGTGCCTTCTTCAGATCCACATTCTACAGCTTAGAACTTAACTGCAGTCTATGGTATCTCGGTTTCAATGATATAAAATTGTTGGCACTCCAGTACAGTCTAAATACATAATACAAGAAAGGAGGTTTTTGTGGTTAAACTTAGAAGCATTTAAAAATTTTAGGAATGGAATGATGCCATTGGGAGATATTTCTCGAACTCCTGGCTTCAAAAGATCCTCTAATCTCAGCTGCCCAAAGTGCTGGGGTTACAGGCGTGAGCCACTGTGCCCAGCCTGGAGATGTTTCTCTATGATGAACTTGTAAAGTTTTGTCAGGGCATTTTGAAGAGGTTCTTCAAAATTATGTTGTCAAAAATTTATTTCCTCTGGAAATAACATCCCCTCCTCCCCACATCCTGCCTTGATAGTCTTCCTGAAAGAAAATGAAATTGTTCAGAATTACAGCCATGTTGGGTTTAACAGGCATGGCATGGACATGTTGAGAATGGAAGACCGGAAGACCCCAACAAGGAATACAGGTATGTCACCTGTTGCCCACCCTGAGAAATAACTGAGTTTCTTCTCCCAAGTCTTCCCTAAGGGTCCACTCATTGTAAAGTCAACAGAGATCTTTTGGAATTTATTATGGTAAGAAGCCCATGAATATATGCATACTATCCTTGAATCATTTTACATAATATTTTTTCTAGGTAGTTCCTGAATATTTTAATGAGTTTAATGAATAGGAACATGAATTAAAAGAACTTTATAAGTTATAAGTTGTTGTATAAATATAACATTTGTTTTAAGAATATCTGAATTTGCATTTTCATGAATAAAAGTAAAAATCAGAGAGAAAACTTTCTCACATATGTCAAAATGGACTGTCACGTTTAAATAATCTGAAGTTATGCAGAATATGAGTTATCACGTTTTGTTTCAGCATGATTCTGTACACCTAGCTTTGATTTTTGAAGTCCGATTTCATTGTGATTTCGACAATAAGTTATTGAATGAGGTAGTCCACATTGCCTAGATATTTGCTGTATCTGGTTACTATTCCACAAATTATTAAGTACAGTATATCAGTTATGTTTTTCCTTTATGTTTAATAGGAGTTCTGTGAACATTGAGAATATATTACTTTTAGTGGTACACAGTTCTTGAGAAAATATCTTGATTTTTACATTGCCATTTGTGATATTTTTAGCAGCGCGCTACAATATCATTTTAATAAAAATAAAGTGTACTTGGTGATGATAGAGAAAATATTGTTAAAGACTTCTTGGAACAGGAAAAGGCTCAGTCGTCAAATCAGGTACTCATTCATTTTCAGCTGTGTCATTGTGACTCATTACTATGATATTGCTACACAGTCCGTTACACTTTCCTTGAACTTCACATGGAGGTTGAGTAAAGCTCTTCTATCTGTTTTTTGAAGTACTGTCTGAGCTCAGGTCTCTTAGCCTTTAGCGTTGGCGTCAGCAAGCCGTTTTGGACTGAGAACATGTCAGAATGGATGTGAATGGCTTTAACCTAAAAACCAAACGCAGAATACACCTTTAACAGGAATAGAACACAGCATTTACAGTACACGTGGTAAAAGTAAACAGGCACATGGGAATAGATAAATCAATATACAAACAGCATGCTCAGTCAATTCATTAGTAACATTTCAGCCCATTTGACATATCTAAAAGCCACCTTTTTCTTTTTTTCTTTTTCTTTTATTACTGATACCTTGCTCATGGAATAAAAGCCATTGTTCTCCTTCTTACTCATCCATTTAGCCAGTCAGCAGAAATGAATGGGTCGCTTACTCCGCGTGAGTGTCTTCGAGGGTACAAAGAGGAATCACGAATGCCCTGCCCTTAGGCAGCGCACGTTCCTATCCAGTAACACAGAGACACGGGCGATTCTCAGTGGGGTACACACAGGATGGGGGGCACCTGGCTCAGTCATGGGGCGGGGAGAGGAAGGAGCAGTCAGGGAAGACATCCCAAATCAGGTGCGTGTTCAAGAACCAGTAATAGCCAGCAAAAGGGGAGAGGTGGTGGAGAAGGCATTGTATGCAGAGGCTATGCCAAGAACAAAGCCATGGGTGGGGGAGAAAGGGTAGAGTATGAACAGGGACATCCAAGTGCTTTCTTCTTGCTACATAAAATAGGAGGTAAAGGGTGTCAGGGATGAAGGTCAAGTGGGAGAGGGGCCGGTCTACGGAGGAGCTCAACGTTATTCCAAAGATGACAGGAAGGTACTGAAGGTTTTTAAACAGGGCAATGGCAACACACATTTTAGAAAGATCTCACCAAGAGAAATGGGAGGATGGTTTTCGAGAAAGTGAAGACTGGAATCAGGGCAATCAATCAGAAGGATCTGGCCAATTCGTGAGAATGAAGGTAAGAGCCTGCACTCAGGGCAGCAGCATAAAAGGAGACAAGTAAACAGTTCTAACGATGACTCAGAGATAAATTGAGCAGATGTGGGAAGGCGTGAGGCAGCCTTGAGGACTGCCCAGGTTCTGGTTCGGAACCTGTTCATGGGAAGAATATAAAGTCTGGGGAGGACATGAGGAGTCCAGGTTTTTAAAAAATGCTCTGCCATGGAATTTTTTATCAAATCTATTGGATGGGGGCAGGGAAGGTTCAGACTTAGTGTTCACATTGCTCATTTCCACGAGGAAGAAGCCAGGCCTCTTCATACGGTCTCTTTAGAACACTGAATGGGGACAGAGAAGATAGACTAACCAAGCAGGGCGTGGGCTGCTCCACCAGCAGAAAGAGGGTCACAGTTGATTCTCTAGGAATTTTATGATCTGACTTTGGACTGAATCCTGGCATGACACCATCCCCAAGAAAATGTATCCCAAGTGGCAAGTGGAATCAAATTCAATGATTTTTTGAGACAATACACTCATATTATTAAATAATGAACAGGGTTATGAATTGCTAGAATATAGACTTTAAAAAATTAATTCAAAACGTGTTGAATACACATACACATTCACTTGTTGTTTTGTGCAACTGATATTTATTGAGCAACTACTATGTGTCAGGCATCGTGTTAGGCTCAAGGATACAAAGAAGAACAAGATGCAGTTTCTGTCCACAGTGAGCTTACAATCTAAGAAGAGATGCTGCAGTTTGCTACTATTCTAGGGACAAACACAGAGAGGGCAGGCAGAGCCAGTTGTTTCTCCAGTACCTGCTCCCCCCTCCCCCCCACGTATCCCATGCTAATAGAACCCTGATCTGGTTTGAGGCCAAAACAGTCTGTGTCAATCATGACAGTCCTGCTCTCTGATTTCCCAGCCTCCCTTGCAGCTAGGAGACAGCAAAGAGATCTATTTGTGGCTAGTAAGAACGGGAATGTTTTTGCCTTCCTAATAAAAGATTTCAACTTGGCTACCTCCACCCATTCTCTCTTCTTTCTTTCTTGAGTGTGGACAATGTCCGAAGCTGTCACAGTCACTTTGTGATCATGAGATAATAAGCCAGCATATTAATACTAAGAATGACAAGTGGAAAAACAAGGAGAACCTAGGTCTTTGTGGACTTGCACCTACCTTGGACCACCTACCTTTCAACTCCTTATGTGAGGGGGGAAAAATCCCCAGCCTGCTAAATCTGAGACACTGTCAGCCAGGTTTTTGTTAGAGCTGATAGCATTTCTGATATGCCACCTAACTCAGGCTTGGGTGGGATTAATGGAAAAAGGATGCCTGAATTGCACTTTGAAGGATAAGGAGGCTGTAGCCAGGTAAACATAGCAAGAGGGAGAGGAGGCAGTTGCCATGTGGCCGAAGGATAGGAAGGTGCTCGTGGAAGAGGCAACTGTGCCAAAGCACATCGGGGACATTCCAATGCAATTGAAGCAGGTGGCACAAATGAAGAAGAGATGGGGCTGGAGAGACAGACTGGGGCCAAATTACAAAGGATCCATATACCTAGCTAAGCAGTTAAACAATTTTTAAGCAGTGAGAAACAGAACCAGAATGGCTATTTGCAAAGATGACTCTGTTAAGCATGGACTGAAGTGGGACAAGAGTGGAAACTGGAAGATGAGCCAACAGGCAGGATGGGTAGTGATTTGGACTATGAAGTTGGCTGTGGAAATGGAAATAGATTTGGGGGGTGGAAAGGACAGGACTTAGTAATTGGTTTGGATAAATGGTAAAGAAAGAGAGATAAAAATGGCTCTGGGTTTCTGCTTGAGCAAATACTAAGGTGTCAAAAAAAAATGGAGGAGGACTAGGAAGACTTTTTGGGGGGTGGGAATAGCATGCCTTGACGCTAAGTTTGAAATGCTCCTGATACCTCCGGGTGATCTTTGGACACTAGGTATATTAGTGTGGAGGACAGCTGTAGCCTGGGCTTAGGACAGAGAAGAAATGGGTTGAGGAGCAGAAGGAACCAGAGTGTGAGTTACAAAAGCCAAGAGAAGAGTGATAGGTCACAGTGTCAGAGGCTGCTGCCATACAAGAACTACTCATAAAATCAACAGGCATGACGTGGAAAAACTTACTCTAAAAAAATCAGTGTATATAAGCTGCAAACATTCAATATGTCAATGACTATTTTCAAAATCTCCACTGCTAACAGCCAGTGTCCTGGCAAGTTGGTATCATTTGAGATGAAACAATTCTTTGCTCAGAGAATTCCCTATCACATCCACTGATATTTTCAAGTCAAAAACTAGATACACAAAGAAGACCCCTAAAATAGCTATACCTCCAACTTTTTAAAAAGCTATTAAGAAAAACTGTAACAAATTCTGGCATTTTAAATCTCATTGACAAGAGAAGATGGATAGGTGGCTTGCATTTACCAAAGGTCTTTGTGTGATACTGTTTCTATCAACGTAGAAGCTATAAAATATACAACACAAAGAAGATAAATTCCATAGGGACAGCTATAGAGTGCTATTTAGATGGTTAAGTAGAAATATAAAAGCAAGCATGGTCTCAGGAGGAAAAAAACTGCATCAGCAGGTAGATTTTGAATATCTGTCAAACCAGCTGCCTGCAGCAAACCTACAGGGCAGAGTGGGACATCCGCAGTTCCATGTGGCTCTCCACAAAATGATTCTGCCCGAGGAGAGACAAAACTATTAAATATAGCCTTGCAGAAGGCCAGGCAATATGACAGCCTGCCCTGGGCTCACCTTCCTGTCCCTGAGTGAATGGATTGGAAAGGCATTGCTGCCAGGCTACCAGTCCCTCCTGTAGTCTGACCTACAGCCCTGGGCCCATTTAAATCCTTCCACAAAAAGACCTGTACAGCCTGCTTGAGTGGCTAAAAGTCTAGTCCGTATGTAGGAAAGATAAGTGGATTGAGTTGTTTCACTGACACTGACCTTAACTGGGGGCCAAAAACCTACAGTTTGTTTCAGAAATAAATCCACAATAAAACATTTATATTTTCTATAATAACTATATATTTTCTCATAAAACCAACTTCCCAACTGTGAACTTGCAAAAAAAAAAAAAAAAAGGTATGGGAATTTTTATTTTCCCTTTATGCCAAATATTCCGTAAAACAGGTTTTCCAATTTTTATTTAGCAAAGTTTTTGTTAAGGAAAGAAGGAAGGAGATACTTAATGTCAGCTTCCTTTCCTGAAATTGCACTCTTGTCACTGAAAAGAGATTCTATAGGGTTTTTTTTTTTAATACTGTAACATTTAAATACAGCATTGGAATAAAATACCAATTTTCCGATGCGTGGAAATTAAATTGCATCTACTTTTTTCTAATTCAAAGTTTAATTCAGATCAACCCAGTATAGTCAGCATGAACTCCTAAAACTTTTGCTAAATGATTTGCATTTTGGGCTTGGATGTCTATGTGTGTGTGTGCGTGTGTGATTAGAGTCTCAATTGACCTCACATTTTTGAAGAAGAGGGAAAAGGACAAACTGATAATGCATTCCAGATTAGCTGAAATGATTTATGCTGAACTTTGGCTCGCACCTGGGAGCAGACCCTCCTCAGGCGCAAGGCCCGGCTTCTGCTTTCCTGTGGTCAGCTGAGGCCACGCACTGGCCAACAAAAGGAGAAGGAGAACAGGGAAAACCGAGAGGCAGCAGCCTTGGCAATAAAACCAGAGGCCTCTGGACGCCACATGGCTTCCCTGTGTCTGAGATTGCCATGGTGAGGGCAGATTATTAGAGCAGAAACTCCGCTTCAGGCATGTGGAAAGTCAAGAACACGCCTTCTCTCAGTGAATCCTCCAACCACAGCAGCGGTTAACGCTGGAAACTCAGCTAAAAGTCCCTTTTAAACACAACCTTAAGAGTTGGCACCTTTTTCCATGAAGGGGAATCTGTTGTGATGCTGGGTGCCCCGGGGCAGGTCACGCACCTCGACACCAGCAGGGGGCGCCAGGATGGCTGCAGGAGCTAAGCGGCTCCGGCAGGCCACCCCCGCGAACTGCCCCGCAGGCCCAGCCAGACCAAGCAGGTGTGGACCAAGTCACTAGTGGCCCCCAGTCTACACGATCACAGAGTGTAGACCAGTCGCACTCTCCATTGAGGAAGGGCAAAGACGTCAATTCCAGCAATTCTTGGAAATCTAATGACCTTTCATTCAGAAAGATAAATGTAACTCACCTGAAAGCCCCAGATTTTATAATTTATTAAAATAAAGGTTTACTTATCCAGGTCTTAACTGCCCTGAAACACACTGACAGATGAAAGCCAAGTAGCATTTCTTAAACTGGATTAATGTAAAGATCTATTTCAAAGGAAAAACAGTATTCTTAGACCCTAAAACTATGTTTAGATTTCCACGTTTGGAAACTTAAGAAATTGAAATTTTAAATCTGTGGAAATGTTTTTTATTGCCTATCAAAAATATTTTTATTGTACTGTAAGAGTTTAACATTTAAAATTGGTTTGAATATGTTTTTAGGCTATTATCAAATGAATATACAAAATTTAGGGATTCTCATAAACCTTACATACGGACTCTTAACACGATAATTAGGGAAACAAAATTGTATGAAAACCAATTATTTTAATTAAATATTTATTTTATTAAAAAACAATGTTTTTAAATACAAAGACATTTTAAAAATCAGTATATTACCATTTTTCCACTTGAAGAATTTTTCTCTTTGAATTTTTGACTAAAGAGGGTGGATTAGATGGCATATGTAAGGAAGACCAGGTATGCTTATGAACTCAGTGATGACAAGTACCCAACCTTGCAAAGACAGAAAGCCTTAGGGGACTGCTATGTCCTGTCCCAACACATGTTTTGTGACTTCCCTTTATAGAGGACATACTGGGCTGACAGGTCACCAGCCCCGGGATCCCAATCTTTCCAATGTCCTTCTGACACGCAAGCTCGCCTGCTGCACCCAAGAAGACAATCCCCATAAAATGAAAATAGGATAGGACTGTGGCCTTCAGTATTTCAGGCAGCTTGGGAAAGAGACCACGTACATATGCTCTACCAGTGACAGCTAGGGTGGTATTTCCACCGTGTTAGCATTTGTGAGCGTAAGGACGATGAGCACAGTCTCACGTGACACACGACCTATTTTGGTTCAGGAGGGAGGCAGGGTCTGCTAGTACCTGGCCTGCCAGCAGCCCACACCATACAAGGTAAGGAATCCAGGTCAGGGTACGACAGGTTGGTTTTTATCACTGCCTAAAGGGCTGTAAGGAGTACAGGGACAGCAACAGTTACCTGTTCGAAAGAATGGAGTCCACTTTCTTTTCCTAACCTCACCATGTCCTCCAGAATGGCTTTCTTCAGATCCTGAATTGAACCATATGAGTAAAATCACAAGACAAGAACACATTTCATAATGGAAGTGAAAGAAACAACACATTTTGAGTAAAGTGTCACCAGAGATTGTCCAACCTGTGCTCCTCACACCTCCCCCATCTGCGTCTGACACCCCCAGCAGCACCCAGGCCCCATCCCTCTCACCGGTCAGGCAGGTGAGTGCCAGAAGCGGCCAGAGGAGTGACCATGAACACCAGGCTGAGAGACAGCTCAGTGCTTTCTAAAGCAGCCCCTGTGGTCAGCCCGGTGAGTTATGCTGCCCCAGGTGAGCCTAGGGCCCGGTGGGATCGGCAGGGTCCGGCTGCTGGTGAGAAATGGACCATGTGACACAGGGGCTGGAGCCAGAGCCCAGTGACCTCCACAGAGCCCTGCACCTCCCACTAGGGTCCAGGAAGGTGAGAATGGCTAATGCTCTAAGCAGGGAGAAATGTGTCACTTTTTCAATTCCATGACTGTCTCTCTAAGCCCCGCAGAGACAAAATCAACCTCACGTTTGGAAAGAGCGTGGCCCGCAGGTCAGAAAGCCTGTGCTCACATCTGACTCTGCTGTTGACCAGCTGTGTGGCCTTGAGCAAGGTACCTCCCTCCCTGGATTCCCCTCCAAGCTGCAAAACAACAGGGCTGGGCTGGCTTTCTGTGATGTTCCTTGGCTCTAAAGTCCAATCGTTTATCAATCTTTCTAAGAAGAAAAATGAGTTTTTTCAACAGCAACATAAAAAGAGCTCTGGTTTAAGATTCTCACCCTGCATAATGCTAGAAGTTCCCTGTGAGTTCAGATTTCACTGGTCCACAGTTTTCCTGTCTCCTTATTACGTGGTGTCACAGAACGTTCAGCAACCTTGTAGGAAACAGCCCCGAGACACAAACCTGATTTGTGCAGAGCTCGCCATATGTCCCTTCGATTCCTTTCTTCTGTGCCCAGGAGGGCATGACTTCAGGGTCAGGCACGACAATGCCCACCAGAAAGGCCTGGAACACCCACCACAGGAAAACACAGTCAGGATAAAGCTTTTAAAGCGGCTATCTGTGGTCCAGCATTAAAATTCTCAGACTCTACCCTTTTCTAAAAACAAGGACATGCTCATGAAACATTTCTGCCAATATATCACACATTCTTAGATGGTCCATTTTCTGATATGTTCTCCTAACTTTATAAAAAAATAAGTTTAAGGGCATTAAGAATCAGTAAAGTTAGGCCAGGCATGGTGGCTCACGACTGTAATCCTAACACTCTGGGAGACTGAGGCGGGAGGACTGCGTGAAGTCAGAAGTTCGAAACCAGGCTGAGCAAGAGCGAGACCTTGTCTCTACTGGAAATAGAAAAGAATTAGTCGGACAACTCAAAAACATATAGAAAAAATTAGCCAGGCACGGTGGCGCACGCCTGTAGTCCCAGCTACTCGGGAGGCTGAGGCAGGAGGATCGCTTGAGCCCAGGAGTTTGAGGTTGCTGTGAGCGAGGCTGACACCACAGCACTCTAGCCTGGGCAACAGAGTGAGATGCTGTCTCAAAAATAAATAAATAAATATATAAATAGGAATTTTCTTTCATGATTTGAAATGCAAAGGAGAATGCTGGTGTCTGACTAGAGACTAACAGTATTTAATCTGGAATTTTCAGCAGGCCCGGTACATGCGGGAAGCCAGGGGCCTCACCTTTAGGCTGTCCCCATGGACATAGACCTGCGCCACGGGCTGGCTCCGGATGTAGATGTTCTCAATCTTCTCGGGCGCGACATACTCTCCCTGAGCAAGTTTAAATATGTGCTTTTTCCGATCGATAATTTTAAGAGTTCCTGTCTGGAGAGTTGAACAAACAGCTTCGTAAGAAGACGGCCCCCCCAGCCCTGACCCCTCACGTCTCAGTGCCACAGCCCGTCGCTCCGGCCCTACCCCCAGCCCGGCCGACCCTGCCCCACCTGTTCTCCGCCTGCTGTCTCTGTCATGCAGCTGGAGATACCACAGGGCGATGGCACCCGAGCTCTGCTGGGCCCCGAGCGCCCACTGTCCTTCCCCTTAGCAGTGAGCCCCCTGCCACCTCTGCCACCCTCACACCTAGCAACAGGTGTCCTCACCTCCTCCTCCTCCTCAGAGCCACCTCCCTCACACCAGGGCACTGCTTTCACCCAGGCCCTTGCTCCAGTTGTCCTTTTTCTCACCAGCATCTTCAGATTCATTCCCTTAGACCACACTCGGGCCTCCCGCCCAGCTACCGCCTTCACACAAAGACAGCCTCTCTGCTCCCTGGCATGTAGCAAAGATTCCCAGAGAGACCCCAAGGACTCCTACTGACAGCCACTAGGACCTAGGCCCTGTAGGTCCACTCGAGTGGATCTTCGGAAACCATTAGCAAAATAGGGAGGAGCAGTCTCCGAGACCCCAGCTACAGCCTCCTGCACAGGTGCCGCCGTTCACGGGACAGAGACAGAGAAGGGCGCTCTGGGTGCAGGTGAGGAAGAGCCTCCGTCCGCAGAGGCGTCCTGAGTGGCGAATTGTCAGGGAAGACATGGAGAAGCCTCGCCTCGGTGACAGGTCCAGCCTCCCACGCCGCAGCGTGCAGCCCGCAGCTCCAGTCACACTCACCGGCAGCCACTTCGATGTCCCCGTGTGAAGCCAGCCGTCACTGTCCAGGGCCTCCTTGGTCCTGTCCTCGTCTTTCAAGTAGCCTTGAACACGTTTGGTCCTCTCACACATATCTTGTGGGACACAGCCATGGTGTCTCTCAGCCTCGGGGTGCAGGGACGGAGGCCATCCCCAGGCGTGTGGAGGACCAGTACGGTGTCCATCGGGAAAGCGAGGCAGGATGCGTGGGGGACACAGAGGACGGGGAAGCCGCCAGCCGTCGGAACCGCCTACCTGCTCTCCAGCAGCGTCCTCCCTCCGTCCGCCCCTCCCACCACTGCCGTCTCTCTTCCTCAGGAGCCCCCGCTTGGCCGCACGCGCTTTGTACACTCTCGATGGGTCTCGTCACAAGTATCGATGGCTGTCAATTCCGCAGCGACACCCAGTCCCTGGCATCCTCACCAGGCAGTCGGGTTCCCACCCAGAGGAGGCGGCGGGTGTGGGCCGCGCTGTCTGCCCGTCTGGTCTCTTAGCACAGGCCGTGTTTCCCCAGGACCGGCCACCACAGCGGCAGACCGTGGCATTTAAGGGGAAAATGGATTTCTTTAAAGTTTAGGAATTCCAAATGTGATTTCCAGCCACCAGTCCCAGCGTAAGGGCTGCCTCACACGCAGACAGGAGACGCTGAATCTAGTTCAGTCAAATGAACCCGTAATTTAAAGCAGTTCTATTAACAGGTGAAGGGAAAATACTTCCATCCCTCCTATTTTTGTTCGTTTGCTTTTACTCTTCACGGGCGCCTGCAGCCTCTAAGGAAAACCCTGAAGCTCACCTCTCCCTTCCTTCGGAGGCCCAGTAGTTCAGTTCCTCGACGTCCACGCTTGATGTGTTGCAAGCAGCGGCGCCCCACGTGCCCTGAAACCGCCAGAGCCAGACGGCGTTTTGTTAGCGTGCAGAGCCGTTTCGGCTCAGAGATGCTCCACGCCCTGCAAAACCCCCATGCGGCCAAAATGGGAATTATGGATGGAAAGCAAGACGCCTTTAGAGGCATCGGTCACTGGCCAGCTTTGATGACAAAACAGAGTTCTGCAGAAAGCAAAGGCCAACTCCTGCCTGGCCTCTTGTTTCGGATCTGACTCTTGAAGGTCAGGAGAGGCCCGGCTGGCCCAACGCCAACCTGCACGGGGTCCTGGCTGGGCAGGGGAGCTTACACCCACCAATCGCACGGCCAGGATTTTCGCGAGTTGCCCACATTAAACACATGTCCCATTGTCGGACCACAAGTCTCGGTTTGGAGATGCTAAAATACAGCAACCACTGCTTTTCCTCTACTCCCCAGACTGTCGACTAACGTGCACAGGAATCACCAGTGATGTTATTAAATCACAGATTCCGGTTCAGTGGGTCTGGGAGGCGGCCTGAGACTCTACGACTCTCACAGGTACCACACCTGGGGTGACAAGGACAGAATGAAGTGACCAGGATGAAGTGACTCCGCCTCAAACAAGAAAATCTGAATTCTCTTGGTCGGATTCACCCCAAGATTACATCTAAGTCCCTGGCAGGGTGGAGGGCTTTGAGCAGGTGCTGGCCAAGGTCCTGACGGAGCAGGAGCCGTGTGTGTAAGCAAGGCTGTAACGCTGCCAGACCTTTCAAAACATTGCACAAAGATATACATCCTCTCGACCCAACAGGCTTTTCAAGTTTGTTGTTGTTGTAAGGATACATGAAAAAGGCAAAACCTCCACAGTTTTACATGGGAAAATTTAAAGGATGACGAAAGAGGGAAGAAAGAATGTGCAAGAGGAAGGGGATGTCGGGCAGCGGTTGTCACTGTAACTGTATCAGGAAGAAAAATGAGGGAGCCAGGACTTCCGAAGATGGTCCCTGTAGGAGATTTGCAATTGGCAGAGTGGCCAAAGATTTATTTACAAAATAGGCTTTATTTAGATAATATAAAGAGACAGAACTAAGAAAAAGTGCTTCTTGTACTTGGCTTGAACAAAATGATTAATTAAAATCCACCTATCATGTTTCTGCTGACTATCTCAAGGTGTTCTTGGAAATGGCATCACGTGAAGGAGCATATTCTTTCACACATGCACATCAGCCCAAATTTCCCAGCTTGTACTTTAGCAAGCTTAAGCACAAAGAGCAGCCCAGGCTGACACAGGAGGTCAGCATACTGAAGGATGCTTTTGCTGAATGGTTTTCTGATTCCTCCAGTATCTGAGGTTGCTGCTGCCTTCTAGACACTAGTAGCACAGACCAGAGCTCCCAATGGGCTCTAAAAGACACTTCAGGAACGCAGCTCCCCGGCCACTACAAACCTGCCCTCCTTGACAAGTCATATCCAATTGACAGTCTGCTCCCTTTATCCTAAGATGACTGCAAACAAGGCTGTGTAGTGTCTAGAATCTACAAAATCCCATATGCTGATAATGTCAGCATTTTTCCACCTGGAGTTGTAGGTTGTGATCTATTACTTTTTTATATAACTTCTGTTTATCTATGAAAGAAATAGGAAAATACAAAAATGTGTAACAAAGAGAACAAGAGATCCCTAATGCCACAGCCCAGACATAACCACCATTCATGTTTTCCTTCTATTTCTCTTTGCTTTTTTTCTAGATGCCTGTGCAAGTCCACTCCCCATGAGGGCGTGTTAGAGCCCGCTGCCCTTGCTCGGTGGGGCTGTGGCCCACTCCCAGGTCTGCAGACCCTCCTACCTGAGGTCCAGTCCCCGGGCGTGGTGAAGGTACATCCAGCCGTGCACTCAGTTTGCCCGTAACCCTCGTAGACCTTCAAGCAAAACACGGAAACCGCGCTGTGGACACGCACGCTCTGCTCCAGTCAGCTGAGCGGAATATCTGGCTGCCCCGCAGTGAGGCCGGTGGGAGGAAGGTGGCTCCAGGAGAAGACTGACACAGACAGCAAGTGTGGCCACACTTGCTTGGAAGAAGTATTATTTTCACCACTGACACTTAACAGATAAGGTTATGTGTAGTAGGGGGCAAAGATTTCTGGCCTATTTTAAACCATTGGATCTATTTTTCATATGGACAACATATTAAAGATTAAACACTTAAAAATCCAATACATGTTTTGCTTTATCTCTGCAAGATGTTCCTCTCCAGAGCCCCACGTGTTTGCATGAATACAAACCAGCAGGGCTCGCTGCCTGTCTGGGGGAGTCTCTACCTGTAGAGACGCTGGTGTGAAACAGGAGGAGGATGTCAGAAGCTTGTAGCTTATAAAGCAGAAAAATGTGAGTGCGCACAGTTATGAAACGACACGTCTACTCTACATAAAATCCACCAGCTGCAGCCATGGTACGATGCCCTGCGTGTGTAGGAACTTAATAAATATTGAGTGGATACATGAAGAAATGAACTTTTAGGGAAGACAAAACCTGGTGAATCAAATAGCAGCGCACCAATGGGCTCTCGTCCCCCCATCCTCCTCCTCCGGGTTGGGAGGTGCTTTGCAGGCTGGAGGGGGCAGAGATGCGGTACGGCTGTGGAACGGATCCTCACAGCACGCTGACAATCCGTAGAGTTCACCTGATCCCTTTTCCTTTGCTAGAAACTTCTGAGGGCCCAGGTAAAGGAATTTCTCAGAGCAGATACAACTGGGCTTTCTGGACCGTGGTGAAGCGGTCGGCTTTCACTGGCTCTGGGCTATTTTTATCCTCAGGGGAGGGAGCTTTCGTCCCACAAAAATCTTGCCACCAGATCTCCCTCTGCACTGCAGAGAGCAGGTCGTTTTCCTGCCCCAACACCCCCACCCGCTGGGGAAGACCCCACAGTGACCATACCTGGCAGCCCAGAGCCGCCCGGAGGAAGCCCAGCACCGTGGGGGACGCGGGGGCAGCTCCAGTGACGATCATGCGCACACACCCCCCGAGGCTGGCCTGTGGGGAGAGAGGGATCTGTCAGAGTCTGTGACGCCCTCAATGGCGTCCGGCCACTGGGGCCCGGCCAAGGTCACCGTCCTACCACCTGGGCCCGGCCAAGGTCACCGTCCTGCCACTGGGCCCGGCCAAGGTCACCGTCCTGCCACTGGGCCCGGCCAAGGTCACCGTCCTGCCACTGGGCCTGGCCAAGGTCACCGTCCTGCCACTGGACCCGCCCAAGGTCACCGTCCTGCCACTGGGCCCGGCCAAGGTCACCGTCCTGCCACTGGACCCGCCCAAGGTCACCGTCCTGCCACTGGACCCGCCCAAGGTCACCGTCCTGCCACTGGGCCCGGCCAAGGTCACCGTCCTGCCACTGGGCCCGGCCAAGGTCACCGTCCTGCCACTGGGCCCGGTCAAGGTCACCGTCCTGCCACTGGACCCGGTCTGCTATTACACTGGGATCAGAAATAAGGCCCAGAACTGTCTGTGCAGCACTCGAGCCGAGGAAGTCCCTTCCCCTTCCAGATGATAAATCCAACTGGCTCTGCAACTCAACACACGAGCAGCTCTCTTACGGCTTTTGAGATAAGTGCCATTAGTCTGCGCTGGTTCTCCCTTAAAATACCCATCTGCTCCCTCACTCTCCCATCCTTCAAAAGCATCCAAAACAATTACTTAGAACAATTCCTCCCCACTTCCATCTTAATGGCATTGCCGTTTTTTTCATTTATAAATCAATACCATGCTTTATTTACTGTGCCCTGCAGGGGACAGAGAACACTTGAAACACTTTGCGTCTGTAAGTCGAGCCCAGAGAGTTTAAATATTAATGTTCATAACTAAAAATAAAATAGCAACAAAAAAATTGAGTAGTGCCACTAATTAACTACAGATTCCTTGGGCAATGCAGAGCCTGAGAACGATAGTGGAGGCACAGAAACGAGTGATTCGGGACTGGCCGGGTTTGGGAGGGGTCAAGGGGACGGGACATGGGGAAGGAAAAGAAGGTTCCTCGACGTTCAGTAGAACCTCGTGCAGCTGGGCGGCCGCCGTGGTCTGGCATACGGGGAGGGGCAGGAGAACCTCCAGGCCCTCAGAGCTCCTCGGTGGGGGCCTGACCTGACCCCCCACCAGAAAAGCGACCCCCGATGCCCACAGAGATCAAGACACCTACTTTCCAGGGGTCCCTCTTGCTGGTGACCTTTTGGCAAATATAACACATCTCCAAAGGTCAAAAAATGACAACCTCAAAATTTCTCTGGTCGCTTAAAGCTTTGATTTCACAAGCAAATGAGTTCCTGTTTCACAAGATACAGGCTGCCGGGATGAACTTCTCCAGGTCTCCCGTAAGGTGTAAGGTCTCCCCCCGAACCCTCGGGTATCCCCGGACGGCCACTGACTTGCTTGCTCACCTGGATCTTGTTGAAGAAGAGCTCATCCCAGATGCTGTCGTTCCTGATGATCCCGCTGCGGACCTCGGCCTGCTTGCGCTTGGCCGCGAACTCCAGCAGCCAGCGCTTCACCGGCGTGTTCGCCTGGCTGAAGATCTGGGGACACAAGGGGGAAGCGGCTGTTTCGGGCCCCATGTCTCACCTCCCAACGTGTCCCTGGGAAGGAGGCTCAGACGCGTCTGCAGAGAGGCCACCCCCGCGGGAGGCCACCGAGCGCGGTGCCACGCAGGAAGTCTGCGCCGGCAGGTCTGGCATGTTGCAGAGAGGGAAGTTCTAGGCAAAAAGTCTCCCCCGCCAGGGTTTTGAAGACAGGAAGAAAACAGGGAGAGTGAGCCAAAGTCGGGGACTGCAAGAGAGGAGGTGACTCCCAGGGCGCGGGGAGGGAGGTGCGGGAAGCCTGGCACCCCCGCCAGGCTCACCTTGTCGTACATCCGGTTCAGCAGCCGCGGGACCACCGGGAAGATGGTGGGGCACAGGGCCTGCATGTCTTCCGACAGGAGGCGGATGTCGCCCTGGAAGAAGCCCACGCGGCCCCCGTGGCAGTAGACGACAGACTGGGGGGAGAGGACAGGCCGGGAGGCGCCGTCAGGCGGCCGGCCCTGGCCGAGGTAGGACCAGCCCCATCCACAGCGCTGCCCTGCGTGGAGGGCGCCTGTGACCCCCGGCCCCGGCTCTGGCTGCTGCCGCGAGACATGGAAACACCATCTGGGGTGAGGCCCCCCCCACCCCCGCCTCCGTCCCGCCCGGGCAGGGGGCAAAGCAGCAGGAGACGGAGCAGAATCCCGAGCCTCCGGGAGATGCCACTGCGGCCGTCCTCACCAGCACCTGTCCCCCGGGCCACTCCCAAGCCCCGGGCGCTGGCCTCCCTGGGGCCCCGGGCCTTTGGGATGTGTCACGCTCTACCAACGGGTCTGCTCCAGGCCTCAGAGTCTTGGGATTTCCCCGGGGACATCCTAGCAGCTCTGAAGGGCACACGGGCGCCCTGGGCCCTGGAGGAGCTGCTGTTTGGTGGGAGGTGGGGGGGCGTCTGGCAGGTGCCTAAAGGGACCAGGAGTGCTCCAGGGCCACACACGCTCCTTTCTCTGATACTCATAGCAGCCCCGCAGGGGAGGCAGCATTCCTAATTCCCACTTTACAGGTGAGGAATGCAAAGTTCAGAGAGGCAAAGAGACTTTCCCAGAGTCACAAAACCAGCTGACAGTAACTGCCAGAGTTTCTAAGCCAGGTCTGGAGAGCTGGAGAGCTTGTCTGGCCGCAGGAGACCTGCCCCAGGGCAAACCGGGAAGGGCTTAGAAGACACGGATCATCCACAGGCTGGTCCCGAGTGACGCAGCGCAGGGTGGGGCATCTTTGTTCCTGGAATCACTCCGGATTCCTTCCTTGTTCCCTCTTCACCCCCACGAGGCCGGTCTCGGGCCCAGTCTCAGGCCAGTCCCCATCTATTCTAGCTTGAGGAGCCAGGACAGTGTGATATCCTGACTTTTCTTTTTCAGGAATCCATGAGCTATGAAAGCTACACGTTTTGGGGCCATATATGGGCTGCGCGGCACAGAGCTCGAATGCCAAAGCTGTTCTGCAGAGCGCTCTCTGATGCATCAGCCAGGGTCTCTCTCAGCTGCGGGGGGCCGTGGGCAAGACGGGATGGCTGGGGTCTTCCCTGGAGCAACTCTCCCTGGAGGGACAGCGGCTCCTCGGACCCCTGTGGTACCTTCTGAGGACGGGGCGGTTGGGCCCTACTTCAGGCCACCAGTGACCAGGGACACCGTGCTAGGGCTACGGGCTGGAGGCACACGCCGTGCCTCCCTGCCGCCGGGGCCTTACCTGCACCATTCGCTCAAACATGTGTGCTAAAGGCAAATAGGAAATGTGCACATCCGCACAAGTGGGAGCCCACTGGCTCTGCAAGAGAACAGAAGGAGCCCCGGCAAGGCCCGGTCAGTCAGGCGAGCGTCTTACCTGGATCACTCTCTCAAACATGTGAGCCAGAGGCAGGAAGGAGATGAGCACATCGTCCTGTCTCGGAAAGATCACTTTCTGCAGGTGACGGGCATGGGAGACAGAAAGGAAAGAAACACTGACAGGAAGACGACGAGAAAGTCATAAAACAATAAAGAGAAAATGGTCCTGGAGGGGCAAACAGGAAGAGAGGGGAGGGGAATGAGGACAGGGAGAGAGAGAGAGAGAGAGAGGTGAGATGAGAGAGAGAAGAAATGAGACAGAGAGAGAGAGAGAAAGGGAGGAAGGGAGGGAGGGAAGGAGAGGGAAGGACGGAAAGGGAGAGGGGGAGGGCAAGGTGCAGAAGGAAGAGAGAGACAGAGACAGGCAGCATAGGAAGCGGAGTGTTAGGTCGCAGCGCCAGTGGGTCTAGGTTATCTGCAGAAGCAAAGAGCCAAATGGAGCACATATAAACCAGCAGAGCCGGGCTCCGCAGGAAGTCTCCTCTCGGAGGGCCTGCACCTCACTCGCAGTCAGTCAGCACCAGCCGGCTCTCTCCCCTTCCTTCTCCTCTCCCTCGCCTCCCACCCCCCACCTCCCCAGTCTCCCTGGGCCACCTGTGCAGGTATGCAGAAGGTCTTAGCTAATCAGCACTTCCTAGTCCTTCTTCCAGAGAAAGGGGCCCAGAGAGCCCTAAGTCTGTGCCAACTGTGGCTGGGGAACCAGCCCCAAATATGTACTTGAACTTGGCCTCCCAAGCCATGCCCGGGACCAGGGCCTTAAAGGCAGAAGCTGACGGGGAGCCTTGTCTGCCTGGCTGGACTTCCCTGCTCTCTGCCTCTCCCCAAGCCCATCCCTCTCCTGGGCTAGCTGTCGGCCCAGTTTGGACAAACCCTGGGATCCGAGCTTGCTGCTCTTAACCTGGGCTCAGCCACCAAGCATTGCCCGCAGTTTTCTACCAGAATATACAACCGTTTGGTGCGTGTGCCCCACAATGTCATCTAGCACAAACATGGAGGGTGATTTCCCCCACAGTGGAGAAAAGGCCTAACTTCTGTGAAAATGTGCATTCCTTTATCCCGGAGGAAACTGCAGGACATACTCACCACTTTTGGGAAGAGTCCTCCTTTCTTAGCTGGTTATAAAATGCTAAAATGCTTTTGTGAGGCCAGGAAATCAAAGCTTTTTTTTTTTTTTAATTTAAATTTACCTTTAAGAACAGCCTTATAAATTAGCAGTTGCCGTGGTTTCTCAGACTCTAGTAGTCCTTAAACACAAAATAACTGAATTAAACCCTGATCTACTCGAAAAGCAGCTACTAAAAATCACTTTCCAATCAAGATACACACAAGACCATAGGCATATCCATTTTTGAAGTTAAAAAAAATGAAAGATGGGTTTACATGCTTGTCTTTTTGGGATCTTGGAAATCGACTGAATATTTATCACACAGGGATCACTTCGGCATTTGGAGTTAAAAGTGGCTGTAAAAGTTGAGTTGCTCTGGTGGGAACAGCAACTCCTGTCTGTGAACACAGCCCAGACTATATCAGGGGAAAAAATCCTCTGAAGCTCGGGCTTGTCCTCAGGAGACACCTGCGTTAGTAATTCTACTTTATTCACCTCTGTCACTTTCAGAAAGCCTGAGAAATCAGCCACCACGTTCCCGTGGGTGAGCATCGCACCTTTGGGGTTCCCTGTGGAGAGAAAGCAAGAAGGCGAATTAGCCGGGGGCTCGGGGCCGCTCCTGTAGGGCAGTGCCCGGCGGACAGTCCCGGACACCCAGGCCGTCCACGCGAGCCTCTGGCCTTCGTCCCCAGCCACCTTCAGACCTCTGGGCAGACGGCTGCTGCTCTGGGGACTCCCATCCTGTGGACTCTCAAAGCCCAGCCTGAGGATTCCAGCAGGGTGGGGTCACTTGCGCCCGCACCTTGCCCTCCCCGGCCCCCTCTGGGAGCGCAGGCTCTCGGCTGGCCGGAGAAGGACCAGTGTGTCCTATTCCAGCGGTCCACTCTCTGGCAGAGGACCACCCCCCTCGCTGCCTTTGGCATCTGGAACAGTCCCAGGCTCAGGCCGGGCTGGAGGTCCGCAGGGCTGCTCGCCGACAGAGACGGGACACAGGTATGGACGTCCCTGCTTTGTCTTGACACAACTTCTACCACTTGCTCATGCGGCCTGGTCCTTGGGGCTCTTGAGGAGGCCGTGGGCTGCTTGGATGCCCCAGGGGATGGAGGCAGGTGGGGACCCAGAGCACAGCAGGCTGGAGGGGCCGGCCTGGCCACCATCTCACGCCAGGGTGGACACGAACCTGATGTTGCTGCCGCTTACAGATCGGACGGGGCCCGAGTGCGAGCCGTGTGCTCCCGGCCACGACCCCTCCCCGAGCTTCCCCGCTGCGAGCCAAGAGAGTCACGCCCACTCACACGGCTGCTACACGGCTAAGGATAAAATCCACGTAACAAAGGATGTTAAAGATGTTTCCAGCAAGGCAGCCAAAGATGCTAAATTGGACATTCCCACAGAGATAGCAGATATAGTAGCTGGGAAACTTCAAAAGTGAGGGCCAAGACCACAAGCCAAACTTACCCAGGAAATATCAAATAAACTAACATGTCTACTTTGCAGCCCTCACCCAGAAGGAAGCAACGAAAGGGCTGAGTAGAGACTAGGACAGTATTACACTAAATGTAACTGAAGTACTCGCTTTCAAATGGCTAATTTTATGCTATGTGGATTTTGCCTCCAGGAAAGAGAGAGAATTTGTGAGGAGGATTTCTGTGGAGAGAGCTACAAGGCGTCCTACAGCCCATCCAAAGGGGAGGAACGAAGGGTCCTCCCTCCTAGACCCAACCTGCAACCCAGGCTGACCCAGACGCTCACGGGATCCCTTGGAGAGCCCAAACGTGTTCCCTCCAGCTGGGGAACCCCGAGAGGGAGGTGAAGAAGCCTGTGGTTGCCAGAAAATGATCCATGCCAGCACCTGGATCTGGAGTCTGCAGGAGGAACCCCAGCCCGAGGGGCAGTGGTGGCAATGGTGGGATGAGGGAGGTTTGCAGGGCAAAGGACCCTCCCCAGTCAGAGGGAGGCAATGAGATGCACACCAGAGGTGGAGGCCGAAGTGGAGCAGGGACAGACAACCCGGGGCAGGGCAGGGCCCAGATCCCAAACCAGGAAGACTCACGAAAGCATCCGTCACACGCAGAGTGAGCTTCAAACGTTCGCCCAGTCCCATCTCCCAGCTTTCATGCTCGGCTCACTTATACCACCCACCCCACCGCCAGCCTGGCAGGAGGGAACAAACAGAAACTCCCACCTGCAAGGGGTGGGAGAAACACCAGAGAGGAAAAGAGGGAGGACACTGTCCCTCCTGCCCAGCCTGCAGCCAGGCCTGCCGGGAGGGGCAGGCAGGCGTCTCAGTGAACGCACCGACTCCTACTTGAACGGCCACTTGTCGTTCTGCATCCAGACTGTGTTTGTCACCTGCAACAACCATGGAACTTTCTGTTACCTGAGAGTGACCAGAAAAGGCATGAGAGGCCTGAGCTTTCATCCAGGAGCAGAGAAAGGACCGTCTCCCGCAGAGCCAGTTTAAGTGGACGAAGGGAGACAAAAGCACAGTTGCTTTCGTGACTGTACCCCTCGGGGCCGACGCGCCCAGCTCATCGGTGACCCACTCGTCAGAGGCCAGAGCAGCAGCTACGGCTCCGTCTCTCAATTCTAGAGACAGACTCACCCACCCGGTCGAGGAGACTCTGGGGACGCAGAAGTTTATGTGATTGTAAAAATTACATCTTTAATAATGGACGGCTGTTAAAATAGCATCCTTTTTTTAAAAAAATAAATTAATTAAAAATACCAACACATAGAGGAGGAGGAGAAAAAAGTAAATAAATAAAGTGTCTTTCTTTTGAAAAGAAAAGCCGTGGGGTTGGTTCTACCTCTGCCTGTCCTTCCTCCATCCCGACATCTTTCCTCGAACCCAGGCCCCCAACAGGAAGTTTCCCGGAGTCACCTCTTACAAGTCCCAGAGAGACGGGGCCGCAGAATGCTCTGAGTGTCACCGGGCGGTTTCCATCCATGGATTCTCAGGTTCTGGGAGTGACCAAGGGACACCCCGGTGCCAGGCATGGAACCGGAAGTGTCACTGCGCAGAGTCCCGGGGCTGCCGAGCTTCCGACCCGACTTGCTCACGCCCGACTCAACCTCAGGGCTGCCTCGGTGGATGACGACTCCTAACGCCTCCGTTCAGTTCAGGCCCTGACACGTGCAACGGCGACAGCGGCTCGATTCCACTTGCTCGGATTGGCCCTTTTCTTCTCCAGCGTGGCAAGAGAAGTCCGTGCCTCTTGGTTTTCTTGTGGATAGGAACGTAATTTTCACGGGCTTCTAACGACCTTCGGAACCCTAAAACGCCCCCAGAAACGTCCGCGTCGTTTCAAGCCATCTATGGATGCGACGCCAGACCAGGAAGGAGAAGCGGATGCGGGCGGCAGATTCCGGGGAGACGGAAAGGCCCAGCCGGGAGGGTGAGGGGCTTCGGGAAGGCCCTGCCCGCGGCTCAGATCCAGGACGAGACGCCACTCTGGCAGCGTTTAGACACGACAAACGTTTTTCAAGGTGCTCACACGGAGACGCGGTCTGGGCCTTCCCAGATAAGCCTCTGTGCGATCACGTTTGCCGTATCAAACCGCGGGATTCCCTCCGGGTCTCTCCTTTCTCAGTGCCAGGGCAGGGGTGGCATTGCCACCCGGGGTGCCAGCGTCTCAGCGTGAGACCTGCTGTCTGTCACTCGCATGCTCACCCACCTGGCTGTTAACTTTCTCTCGAGCCGCTGAGGAAAAACCCTCCTGGTTTCGGACTCTGCGTTTTGGCTGTGGCCGGTGTTGCTGGGCAGAGTCCCCCGGCTACTGTCCGGAAAGGCGTTTTGCCGGGTGAAGATCTGCCCTGGTCTGGTTGGACGGTGGCACCGAGTGGGAGCAGCCGTGGGTGGCGCCGAGCTCCAGGTCTCCCTGCAGGGGCGGGAGTGGGGTCTGGGGACAGTGCCGGGGCTCCTCTGGCCGCCTGTCTCTGCCTGTGCACAGCCGAAGGTGAGGTGCGACAGATGATAGTGACCGAAATGCTCCGGAAGTTTGATGACGCAGACAGAGAGATCATCTTCCTGCTAAAGCCGCCCAAATCTTCTTTAGGGTCAAGTCTTACTTTTATCAATGCCATACCCATCAGATTTTTAAAAAATAAGAGTTGAGGGCTAGTAAGAATGGAAATAACAACTGCCACAGCAGCTCCACACTGCGCTGGGCGTTTCATACACGGTAGCTCAGTTACTTCTCAAAACAACCCTCTGCAATAGGCATTAAACGTACTCATTTACTACCAAGGAAACCCAGTCTTAAGAGAGGCTAACATTTCACACCACAGGGGTGCTGAGATGTGGGGGTTTTTTGTTTTGTTTTGTTTTGTTTTGTTTTTGAGACAGAGTCTTACTCTGTTGCCTGCGCTAGAGTGCCGTGGCGTCAGCCTAGCTCACAGCAACCTCGAACTCCTGGGCTCAAGCAGCCTCCTGAGTAGCTGGGACTACAGGCATGCGCCACCATGCCCGGCTAATTTTTTATATATATATTTATATATATATTTATATAAATATATTTATATAAATATATATAAATTATTTTATATATATATTTTAGTTATCCAGCTATTTCCTTTCTATTTTTTTTTTTTAACAGAGACGGCATCTGGCCCTTGCTCAGGCTGGTCTTCAACTCCTGAGCTCAAACGATCCACCCCCCTCAGCCTCCCAGAGTGCTGGGATTACAGGCATGAGCCACCGTGCCTGGCAGGAAACGCAGTTTTGAGAGAGCCTAACTCATTCGCAGCTGCACAGCAGGGGTGCTGAGATGTGGTTTTATGCATCTGATCACACAGGTCTTGAACCAAATGGCACAAAGCAAATAGGTCGTGGTGAGCATCTCCCCACCTCTGCGCAGCCATGGCTCGGGGCTCACGGGCTAAATGGCCGCAGATGCCTGGGCTCTCGAGGCCCCCTCAGGTAGAACAACAGAAAGGAGACCCCAGTTCCAGCGGCCCCCACTTCTTCCGCCTCTCCACCCCGCCACCATGTCGGAACCGATCCAAGAGCTCCTCGCACTGAGACCCTTCCGTACGACTCCACACGCAGGGCCTCCGGGTCCTTCCGTCCCTCTCCTCCCCGCCTCCCAGGCTGACTCCTGTCCTTCACCGCAGCCACTGCGCTGCCGAGCGCTCCAGCACCGGGGCTTCCTGTGGAGCTGCCCGCCCTGCAAACCCCACGCGCCGGCCGAGGCCGCTCCCCACCCCCCAAGGCCTCCGGTCCCAGAGGGGCTTCCCGCACAGAAACCGCCACTCTCGCCCCCAGACTCCTCTCACCCCCAGCCAGGACCCCGACTCCCGCTACACGGAGGAGGCAGAAGCCGTCAGAGGACGCCCACATCTTCCTGGCCTTCCGGAATCCTCTCTTCCTCCCTTCCTTCCTGGCCGGGCTGCCTCCTTCCTGGTGCTTCGCTGAGGGTGATTTTGACATGAACAACCAACCCCAAACCGCCCCATCCCCCACGGCCGGTGGGGACGAATCGGCTCTCACCTTCGCCCGGGGCGCCGCGGCCTGGCTGGGCTCGGAAGCTCTCGCTTATTCTGAGACCCTCCACGGGCCTTCCCGCCACGCGCCACCGGGGAATCTTCCCAGAGCGACGCCGTCACAACCACGGGCCAAACACCAGGTTCAGACCACGTTTCCGTCTTTCCCGCCGAAAGGACACGTGGCCCGGGCGAGGCTGGGAGCCGGTCGTGCGCTCTGGGCTCACGCTCACGAGCAGGGAAAGCCGTGTCGGAGAGAGGAGGAACACGGGAGGTTCCGGCCGGGAGCTGCCCACCGCTCCAGCCGTGTGGCACCAGCCTCACCCTGGGAGAGGGGCCCAGGACACGGAACGGCAGTCTGTTCCCTTCGCACGTTCTGCCTCCACCTCGCAGAGCCGGAGCAGGACGGCTTAGCTTTCCTTCTCGAATCCCCGTCGGGAAAAGCACCGGGCGTGGCATCGCCCCCCCACCCCCCCGCCCCCCAGCCGGGCAGCAGCTGGTTTCTGCGTTGTCAAGTTCCATTCCCAGATCCGGGCGGTGGGGTCTGTGATGAGGTGACTTGCCAGGAAGGCAGGGGCCCAGAGATGGGGCCACAGCAGTGACCTGCTCCCCAGAGCCACGTCACCGCAAGTTTGCATTGTGAGACTCGTGACAAAAAAACCATCGGAAGGTTGTTTAAGAACAAAGTAAACCTGAAGAGTTTTCTTTTTTTTGAGGCAGAGTCTTACTTGGTCACGTGGACTAGAGTGCGTGGCATCATCGTGGCTCACTGCAGCTTCCAACTCTTGGGCTCAAGCGATCCTCCTGCCTCGGCTTCCTGAGAAGCTGAGACTACAGGCACGCGCCACCATGCCCGGATAATTTTTCTACTTTTTGTGGAGACGGCATCTCACCCTTGCTCAGCCTGGTCTCAAACTCCTGGCCTCAAGGGATCCTCCCACCTCAGCCTCCCAAAGTGCTGGGATTACAGGCGTGAGCCACCGGGCCCAGCGAAGGGCACTTGTGAATTCCGGGCTAGCTCGGGGTGTCAGCTCCTGTGGAGGGAGGCTGAGCCGTTTCTCTTCCGACAGCTTTTTGCAGAGTATGGTGGAAATCCTCAGACCCGTGTGAGTTGGCAGCAAAAATCCACTTCGGTTCAATAACGCCACGTGTGTCACGAGCCGCTGATGTGGATGATCCCGCCGTGGGGCAGGTCAGAGGTCTGCCAGGTGCCCTGGGAGAGGCTGCATCTGTGGGTGGCGCGGAGAGCCCCGGCCACTGCCCACGAGACCACCATCACGGCAGCCAGTCCCCGGACTGGAAGAAGGAGGCTGGAGACGCCTTGCCCGTCCAGGGCGAGGCACGTGGCCTCCCGGGTCATCAGACGAGATGCAAAGGCAGGAACGGGGCTGGAGCCCCGGGCTGGAGCCCCGGGCTGGAGCTCGGAGAACCGGGCGCAGGTCTTCCTGCCTCCACAGGCTGGTGGTGACCCGCCCGCCTCACGGCTGTGCTGAGGCCCAGCGGTGCAGGGAGAGGCTGAGTGCCGTAGGCTGAAGAGAGCTGTGTCTGTGCCGCGGTCTTCATGTGTATGACGCCTCCCCCAGGAAGCCCTCCTTGACTGTTCTACCTCTACCAATGCACATGCTCCTCTGTCAGGGCCAGGCATGAAGCGTGTCATCTCTGCTGTGCCTTCTGCCTGACAGCCTTGCCCACAGCACACCGGCCTGCAGAGCATCAGGCTGCCCTTTCACATCAATACCACCCATCCTCTACATGGCTCCCTTTTAGAGACAGGGTCTCATTCTGTTGCCCAGGCTGGAGTGCAGTGCTATGATCACTGCAGCCTCAAACTCCTGGGCTCGAGCAATCCTCCTGCCTTAGCCTCCGAGGTAGCTGGGACTATAGGCATGAGCCACCATACCTCGCTACGGATATACTATTTTTAGTAGAGACAGGGTCTCGCTCTTGCTCAGGCTGGTTTTGAACTCCTGACCTCGAGCAATCCTCCTGCCTTAGCCTCCGAGGTAGCTGGGACTATAGGCATGAGCCACCATACCTCGCTACGGATATATATATATATATATATATATTTTTTTTTTTTTTAGAGATAGAGTCTTGATATGTTGCCCAGGCTGGTCTTGAACTCCTGGCCCCAAGTGCTCCTATTTCCTCAGCCTCCCAAAGTGCTGGAATTTTAGGTGTGAGCCAGCCTGCCGAGCCATCTCCTTGCAACCTTTAACCACCCTCCTCAGAGATGAGAACCTGAAAACCGTGGCGGCAGGCAGGCTAAGGGACTGGCTCGTGGTCCCCCAGCAGGTGGTGGCGATGGGCTCACGCCCAGGCTCCCAGACTCCAGACCCCGCACTCCTGCCCCAGCCCCGGACACAAAGGCCAGGCAGGGGTGGAAAGTGGAGGAGCGAGCTATTTCCCACAGAGAAATGGCCCCAGGGAGGAGAGCCCCTCCTCCAGCACGTGACCCAGTGCCAGCTCTGTCCCCGCCGTGCTTCCCGGGGCTGGGAACTGGGGCCGCAGGAGGAACCCAGGGTCTGGCACCAGGCACAGGACAAGGCTTGGCCTGTGTCTCAGAGGGCGTCAGAGACTCCTGCAGTCCCTGGCCGGCTGCCGGGGTGGGTGCAGGTGGCCACGGCTGGTGCTCTGGTGCCTCAGCTTACCTGTCGTGCCGCTCGTGAAGCACACGATGGAGAGGTCTTCTGGCTGCGGGGGCTGTGAGGGGAGAAGAGAAGTGTGCTGGGGAGACCCAGTGCAGCAGCCAGGGCCTGCAACGCCTGGGCCCCACCGCCAGCCAGCCCCACGCGTGTGCTGTGTGTGGGTGTGAGCGTGTGTCACGCATGTGTGCGTGTGTCAGGTGCTGTCAGGCATGTGTGCATGGGTCAACCACATGTGCATCTGTCAGGCACGTGTGAGCATGTGTAAGGCATGTGTGTCAGGCACGTGTGTGTGTATGTGTGTGTGTGTGTGTCAGGCATGTGTGCAGGCCCCTGCGTGCGACACTCAGCAAGGTGGGCAGATAGGCTCCCAGGGACAGGGAAAAGCAGGTGAGGAAATCACCTGGGGTGTTGGCACCCATCTGTCCCCTGACCCCACACTGGTCCTGCAGCTGCCCACCACGCGAGCAGAAGTCCCCTAGGTGGGCTTGGGCTGCGGTGGCCACGTCTGGGCCTCTCCCAAAGATCTCACCTTTCCAGTGGGTGTGGCCTGGGTCCCTCCCCCTCCCATTGTCTCCCACATGTCGGGGTTGGGCTCAGGGACGCGACATGCGGCTCAGGCGCTGAGCAGCCCAAGTGTCACCAGGATGGCCCTGCCTCGGCCCTGCCCTGGCTCTGGGCACACAGGCCTGGGGTCAGGAGGAGCAGCTCGCAAGTCTGCCTGAGCTTGGAAGACAGTGACACTGACTTGAATGGAAAGGCAGGAAGGTTCCCCAGTGACGTGGGGCGGGCGTTCCGGGAGAGGAACGGGCCGGGCACAGGCACAGGGCACAGGGACGAGGGCCTGGGCCCGGACCAGCTCTCCGGGGCGGGGCCTGGCACATGGGACGTGGGCAAACACCAGGGTCTGCCTGTGACGGCTTGGGCAGCAGGGGCCACCTGCTTGGGCCTGTGCGTGGGGACACTCCCCGGGTGGCGAAAGGAAGGACAGGACCAGCTGGAGGCCAGACGCTTGGTCAGAAGGCGGGAAACCTCCACGCGACCCATGCCAGGGGCCGCTCCCCGCACTGCGGCTCAGCTCAGGCAGCACCACGTGGGGTGACACAGGGAGAAGGCCACGAGGACAGCAGGTGTGTGAGGCCATGTGGCCCAGGGTCCATTCCTGGCTCTGCTGCTGCTCTGTCCCGGCCGCCCCTGGGGAGTGCAGCCCGCTGGAAGGGAAGGAACCAGACTCCCAGGGAAAGGCTACCGGGCAGCCAGGGGTGGCTGGGACCAGCTGCCCGCCTTTCTCTCCCCAAACACCTGAGTCCCTTCCAGACCCTTCCCCGGCCTCAACCACAGAGGTCCCAGACACCCAGGTGAGGTGGTGCGTCCTGCCGTGTTCACAGGAGCTGCTCATGAGCACGCAGGTGCGTGTCTGGCCACCACGCTGAGCCCTGCACATGCCTCGCTCAGCACGGCCCTGCGGCGGGTGAGCTTACCACGGGCACACGGCGATGCTCCTGGCCACAGTCCTGAAAGAAGAAAACGCGGGTTTTAAATGCTCACAAGTTCTCACCCATCAAAAAAAAAAAAAAATCAACATAAGCTCAGCACAGTGGGCGCCACGCCTGCCCCACGCCCAGAACCCAAGGTTCCCTGCGGGGACGGGGTCGCTGTGACAGACGCCACTCGGTGGCCTCTCCTCGGGCGCACATTGAGACTCGTGGGAGGACGGGGGAGCCCGGAGGGCCCGGCCCACCCCTACACGGCGGACAGGGAGCCTGAGGCCCGGGGAGAGGCGAAGCATGTGCAAGGCCAGCGCTGAGACGGCATGGCGGTGTGTGGCGGGCTGGGCCCACAGCATGTCCGGGCACGCGCCCAGGACAAGGTGGCCGCGTCGACTGGACTTTCAGACCAGCAGTCGGTGCTGGGGCAGGTGGGCAGCCCAGGCGTGGCTGCCAGAGCATGGCGGGGCGAGAGCTCGGGCGTCGAGAGCTCCCTGCAGGCAGATGGGGAGGGAGGACCAGGGCTGGGACCCAGCATGGCACGGTGCGGGCAGCTGCCACCGTGCGGGGCCTGAGGCCCTGTGAGCGCCAGGGTGTCCTGCGTCACCCAGCCAGCCACGAGCTGCCACCAGCCCAACGTCTCTGGGGAGGCCGTGCACAGAAAGGTCAGTGCTGCTGGCCACGGGGGTCCGGCCACATGTGCAAGAACCTCGCCGAGATTCCCAGACCTCGTGGCTGCAGTCCTGGGCACGGACCAGCCGGCGCCGGCTGGAAGCGAGGATGCCCCGGGGCGGGGGAGGGCTGGCCCCACCGCGCACCTGCTCACGGCTCCTGGTGCAGCCTGTCTCCCAGGGAGTGCCGTGGCCACCGACACACCACCCACCGCCAGCCCCCGCCACACACCGCCAGCCCTGCCAAGCCTGCCCTGCCAGACCCTGATCCGCCCCAAGGGCCCACACCCCCCCAGAGCACAAGAGGGGCAGATAACCGGCAGCCCCGGCGCGGCGGCTCAACGCAGACCCTCACCTCCACGGCCTGCATGGACTTGAGGGCCACCCCGCACTGCCGCCCTCGCTCCCTCAGGGCCTCCTCGAAGGGCTCCATGAGCACGATCAGCTTGAGGCCGGGTGTCTCCTTCCTCTCCACGTGCTCCAGCAGCAGCGCGGCCTTCTGCGGCCTGTCCACGACCACGGTGCTGATGTCCGCTGCGGGCACCGGGGAGGGTCAGGCCGTGTGGGCACCGGGGAGGGGCGGGCCATGTGGGCGGGGGGGGGGGGTTGTTGGGCCGTGCGCACAGGCTGCGACCCGGAGCTGCACGTGGCACCGCGGGCTGCGTGTCCCACAGTGTGTGTAAACACGTAAGATGGGTCGGGGCTGCCATGCGCCGAGTCCAGAGGAATGTGCCGGGGCCCCGGGCAGGACCGAGGCCGGGAGACCTCCTGGGGCAGACCCTGGGCTCCCCTCTGCCCCAGGCTCTGCCCATCATCCCAGGTCCCCGGGAGACACTCCCCGCCCCCGAGTCTGCGCCGAGCTGTGTGACCTCAGGGTCGCTGCTGCTCGAGGCTCCTCTGGGCCGCCCCGCCCGGGGAAGGCGCCTTCGGGCGGAGTCTGTGACTCAGGAACTGGCTCTCGGCCAACGTGTGGCCCCAGCGTGTTCTGAGACCAGAAGCCAAGGGCCTCTGACGGGTGTCAGACGCCTGGGCCAGGGCTGGGGAGGCTACCGTGGCGGGAGCGGGCGGCCGGGGCTGGGGGTGGCCACAGTGGCGGGAGCGGGTGGCTGGGCTCACCGGTGTTGATGATGTAGCGGATGGCGCCCGGGCCCAGCGTGTCGTAGAGCGGGACCACCACCATGGAGTACGTGTAGCAGGCCAGCTCCGCGATGATCCACTGCGGAGACACACGGGCCAGGGTGTTCAGGGTGCAGGCGGGGACAGAAAGAACATTACAGGGGACAGAAAGGACACTAGAGGATCCCTGCTCTAACCCCATGCCTGACCCTCCCCGCGTGGCAGGACCCCACAGGCTGGCGGGATGCCCTGCTCACCCCTAGCATTGCAGACCACGCCCGCCCCAGGGACCTGGCGCCTCCCAGCCCACCCCAGGGCCGCGTGGCCCCTTCCCAGGGCCTGCCTTCCCTGGGTTTCCCGGGCAGCTGTTTGCGGGCCAGGTGGGTGTGGGCAGAGCCAGGCAGGGTGTTCCCTCGTGACGAGAGGCGGAGTCGGGGGCAGGGAGGTGGCAGGGCCCAGGCATCTCCTGTCCCCGGTCCCACAAGCAGTGGGAGCAGGCCTGTTCTGGGACCTGACCCCGCTCCCCCAGCACCTCCAAAACCTGCAGGACAGACGCTCACCTCTGGCCGGTTCTGTGCGAAAACGCCGATGAACTGGTCTGTGCAGGCTCTGCAGTTGTGCTGGAGGAGCCCGGACCCCAGGAACTCGGCCCTGTCAGCCACCTGCACACAGACGTGGGGGTGGCAGGAGGGCGAGGGCCCTATGGCAGGGGAGGGAGGCCCCCAGGCGGGCCCTACGGCTGTGAGAGCCCCTGCCCCCCCGACGCCCTGCCCAGGCACCCGAGAGCCCCTCAAGGACGCAGCCAGCAGCTCGGCAGAAGGGCCGGGCAGGTGAAGGACGACCTCTGAGACCCAGCAAGGCATTCACCACCCACGCACCTCCCCCGGCCCGAGTGCCAGGTCCATGTAGGGGACAGATGGGGCCTGTCCCCTGTCACTCACCTCCTGGTAGGACAGCCACTGGTACGGCTGCTTGGGCTTCCTGAAGCCAAGACAGGGCCCGTTCCCTGCAGAGAGACAGGTGTGGGCAGGGCGGGCGAGCCGCCCCACCTGCCCATCAGGACCTGGGGTCGGCCGTGCTGTGGGGCCGTGGCCGAGGGTATTGCTCCCTGGGGCCTGTCTGAGCTGCTGGAGACCAACAGGGCGTGACGCACATGGTGCGGCATCTCCCTGGGGTCAGGGAGGTCAGCGATGGGAGATGGTGGATGCCCAGTCCCCGCCAGGACTGTGTGATGGTCCGCACCACAGACCCAAAGGACCTGGCGGCCACTGGGAGGGGGTGGCAGCTGCCACCTCTCTGTGGCCACCTCCCTTTGCCTCTCCCCGGGGACACCCAGACAGCACAGAGGCCCAGGCTCGGAGCCGCGGCCTGGCAGCTCCAAGCTCGCCAGGGCTGCAGAGCAGGGGCCGGGAGGTGGCGAGGGCAGGGACAGAGTGGGGTCGGCCCTGTGGCCACGAGACACAGCTGCGTCTCCGGCTGGCGGGAGGAGGCGAGGGCAGGGACGGTGGGGTCAGCCCTGTGGCCACGTGACACAGCTGCGTCTCCGGCTGGCGGGAGGTGGCGAGGGCAGGGACAGAGTGGGGTCCGCCCTGTGGCCACGTGACACAGCTGTGTCTCTGGCTGGCGGGAGGAGGCGAGGGCAGGGACGGTGGGGTCGGCCCTGTGGCCACATGACACAGCTGCGTCTCCGGCTGGCGGGAGGTGGCGAGGGCAAGGACAGAGTAGGGTCCGCCCTGTGGCCACGTGACACAGCTGTGTCTCCGGCTGGTGGGAGGAGGTGAGGGCAGGGACAGTGGGGTCGGCCCTGTGGCCACACAACGCAGCTGCATCTCCCGCTGGCGGGAGGAGGCGAGGGCAGGGACGGTGGGGTCGGCCCTGTGGCCACGCGACGCAGCTGCGTCTCCGGCTAGCGGGAGGAGGCGAGGGCAGGGACAGAGTGGGGTCGGCTCTGTGGCCACGTGACGCAGCTGTGTCTCCGGCTGGCGGGAGGAGGTGAGGGCAGGGCCGGTGGGGTTGGCCCTGTGGCCACGTGAGACAGCTGCCTCTCTGGTTGGCAGGAGGAGGCCAAGGGCAGGGACAGAGTGGGGTCAGCCCTGTGGCCACGTGACGCAGCTGCGTCTCCGGCTGGCGGGAGGAGGCGAGGGCAGGGACAGAGTGGGGTCGGCCCTGTGGCCACGCGACACAGCTGTGTCTCTGGTTGGCAGGAGGAGGTGAGGGCAGGGACAGAGTGGGGTCAGCCTGTGGCCACGTGACACAGCTGCGTCTCTGGCTGGCAGGAGGAGGCGAGGGCAGGGACGGTGGGGTCGGCCTTGTGGCCACGAGACACAGCTGCGTCTCTGGCTGGCGGGAGGAGGCGAGGGCAGGGACGATGGGGTCGGCCCTGTGGCCACACGACACAGCTGCGTCTCTGGCTGGCAGGAGGAGGTGAGGGCAGGGACGGTGGGGTCGGCCCTGTGGCCACGTGACACAGCTGTGTCTCTGGTTGGCGGGAGGAGGCAAGGGCAGGGACAGAGTGGCGTCGGCCCTGTGGCCACGCGACGCAGCTGCGTCTCCGGCTGGCGGGAGGAGGCGAGGGTAGCTTCTGTCCTCGGCCCCCAGGCCTGCCACCTCGCCCTGGTGTTGTCTTGCCACCACCCTGTACCCACGCACCCCAGCACGGCCCCTCACACGCAGCCCTGCTCACCCGAGATGCTGAGCCCGCGGCGGAACACCTGGTACATGGTCTGAGCGTCGTCGTAGTAGTGGGTGAGCAGCTGGGGGCTGCTGGCGATCACAGACCGCCGGGCCCCGTGGCCGTCCTGCAAGCCGAGCACAGGCCAGAGCTGCTCAGGCCTCGGGGCTGCGCGGGGGTCCGGCACGCTCGGGCCGTGGCGGGCTGGACGTGAGGCCCGTGCTCACGGTCGCGGCTGGGACATGCTCTGCATGCACGTGTGCACTTGGGTGTGCACCCCTGGCTGCACACAGGCGACCTGTGTGTGTCCACACTCAACACGCTGGCTCATGCACATGAGTCCAGTACACCCATGTCCCACACATACACGCGACACACACAGCATTCACACACCAGGTCTAGTACACCCGTGTCTGACACATACATGACATAGCATTTACACACCAGGTCCAGTACACCCGTGTCTGACACATACATGACATAGCATTTACACACCAGGTCCAGTACACTCGTGTCTGACACATACATGACATAGCATTTACACACCAGGTCTAGTACACCCGTGTCTGACACATACATGACACACACAGCATTCACACACCAGGTCCAGTACACCCGTGTCTGACACATACATGACACACACAGCATTCATACACCAGGTCCAGTATACCCATGTCCCCCCCCACACATACATGACACACACAGCATTCACACACCAGGTCCAGTACACCCATGTGCCCCCCCACACACATACATGACATAGCATTTACACACCAGGTCCAGTACACCCGTGTCTGACACATACATGACACACACAGCATTCACACACCAGGTCCAGTACACCCGTGTCTGACACATACATGACACACACAGCATTCACACACCAGGTCCAGTACACCCGTGTCTGACACATACATGACACACACAGCATTCACACCAGGTCCAGTACACCCGTGTCTGACACATACATGACACACACAGCATTCACACACCAGGTCCAGTACACCCATGTCCCCCCCACACACATAGATGACACACACAGCATTCACACACCAGGTCAGACTCATAAAATGTCCCTCGTCTGCAGCCACTGCCCCTACAAACCCGCGATTCCCCACAGCACAGCGGGGGTGCTTATGGAGTCGGGGTGCCCCCCGGCACCGAGATCAACCTGCCCAGGTGTCCCCACACCACTACCTGCGGCCCTTCCCCAGGGTGAGGATCATCCGGGTGTGGACCCAGCCAGGGAGGCTGCCAGCCACCCTCTCACAATAGCGAGTTAGTCTGGGGACTGTGCTGAAGGCACTTTCCCAGTAGCAGAGGCCCGGGAGGCTGCGCAGGGAGGACGGGCGGGACCGTGTCGCCGTGGGGCGCGGCTGGGCTGGGGGAGGGCGGTGAGCTCTGGCCTGCGGGGGTGCGACACAGAGCAGGGAGGCCGCAGACCCCCCTGCGCCTGGGCAAGGAGAGGAGCCAGGCTGCTGCTCCCGCCTCCTCCCTGCACCCGGCCACCCCTCCCCGATCCCCAAACCCGGAGCTCCCAGTCCCAGAGCTCCGCCCGTCTCAGGCACTGCCTGGGCTCAGAGCACACCGCAGCCTCCCGGAACACCGGGTCTGAGGAGACGTGAGGGCCCAACGCAGACACCCAAACCCAAACCACGGCCAGCTCTCACTGCTCGGGAGTGGACGGTCCCGTCTGGCCAGCGCTTCCGGGCACCAGGCCCACGTGGGACCTGCGCGGGGAGCTGGGGCACATGTGGTCAGACCCAGTTAGCACCAGGGTGACAGGTGTGACCCAGCCAGAGACTCTCCCAGGGATGAAGGAGGCTCAAGTGGGCATGTGTCTGAGAGTGGCTACCGAGCTGGGTTTTGAAGGATGCGTAGGAGTTTGCCAGGCAGGATGAGCAGGGAATGGCAGTCTCGGCACAGGCAACGGCAGGTGCAAATGCCCGGGGGCGGGAGGCACAGGTGCGTTTGGGGAGCTCTAGACGGGGATGGTGGGAGAGGAGGCCACAGAGGCTAAGGATCGAGGCAAGGAGTCTGGGCTTCAGGCTGAAGGCAGTGGGGAGCCAGGGGCGGATTTCAAGCCAGGAGAAGTGACATGATCTGAGCCATTTCTCAGCACGTGGGGCCGGCCCTGCGTGGTGTGGGTCCCCCTGCTTGTTTCACCTCGTTTCCCGCCACCCCTCCCTTGCCTGACGCCGCTCTGGCTTCTGCGCTGTGGAGGTGGAGACGCGGAGGGCCCGTGTCCCCAGGGAGGGAGCCCTCGCCCCATCCCCTGCCTCTGTCCCCACAGCCAGACCCCCAGGTGCCTCGCTTGGCGGTCTCCCCACAGGGAGCCAGGGCCACGCCCAGCCGTCCCTGCCCCTCCCAGACCACGGTCACCGGCGCCACCCCATCCAGATGCCGGCTGTCGTCCCCTCACGCGGCCGCCTTCCACAGCAGATCGGCCGCGTCTCTCCCTAACGCAAACCTGAAACAGACCCTCGCTGCCCACCCTGGGCGTCCCCCTGCCCAGTTCGGGGGCTCTGTCCTCGCTGAGCCCCCCAGATGAGTCTGAACCACGAACTCGGCCAAACACGGCTATTCTCAGTGGCTTCCCTGCTCCATCTCACCAAACCCTCAGCTCACCTCGGGAGGCAGGCGCCTCCTTTTTGTTTCCCACATTACAACCGGAGGAACTGAGGCTCAGAGAGGAGAGACGCTGCCTAGGGCCACGGAGCTCACCGAGGCACGGCCGAGCTTCTGTGTGTCACTGCCAGCCACTGAGGCAGCCTCAGCGCCACCTGGCCAGCCCCTCTCCTGCCCTCCCCACCTCAGGCAGCCCACGAGAGTCGCCTTTTCCCAAAGCCACCAGGTGCCTGACACACCAGCACCCTCCCCGACGGGCGGAACAGCGCCGTGCCGTGGCCGCCAAGGACAAGACGCAAGGTGCACCACAGAGCTGCCTGACGCTGCGGTGGACGGGGGAGGTGGGTGCGTGTCTAGACATTCGCTCATGTCTGGGACGGAACAATTAACACAGGTTCCCTCCGGGGAGGAAAACTGGGAGACCAGGGGAAGAAGGCAGAAGCTTTTCAGTATATGCCCTTGGTTTCTTTTGAACTGTACAAACACGTTATCTATTCAAAATGAACAGAATGAAAGTTTAAGAAAAAAAATAAAATAAAGAAATTTTTAAAAAGGCAAAGTAAATTCCCTAGGCTTATTAAAAAACACACCTCCAAGCCTGGAATACCCTGCCTACTGGGCAGCACTACCTTCTTCCCCGCAGGGGCTGCACCTGTGAGTCCGGGAGCTCTGGGAGGACAGGGCCGGGGGCCGGGGGCCGGGGTGGGCTCGGCTCTGGGTCCCGGCCCCAGAGCAGGACAGGGCACGGGGAGACTTTGGAGGGGAGTTTGCCCGGCAGCCCCTTGAGAACCTGCTTGGGCTTCCTGCTGGGGCGCCAGTGAGCCAAGGCCCCTGCTCAAGAAGTGGGCAGCCCGAGGCCCAGCTCGAGGCCCGGGTCAGGCAGCTCCGGGGAGAGGCAGGAAGAGCCTCAGGTTGGCTGCTGGGGAAACAGAGCGTCTCTGGGCCATCCGAGGTCAAAGGGGCCACGAGTCGGCTGCTGCCCCGCGCTGCCGCTGGTCCTCTGCCTGGCCCCTCCCGCCGCCGAGCCGGCCGCGCCCCGCTCACCTCCAGCTCCTCCGACTGCATCAGGAGGTCGCAGGGCGGCTGCAGGGCCTTCGGCCGGTGCGTGAACCAGTAGGCGAGCAAGGCGGCCAGCGCGCCCACGCTCACGAGGGTGGTGGCCGACAGGCTGCGGAAAAACTGGCCCAAGTCGCCCAGCTCGGGCAGCCGCAGGATCCTCAGGATCTCCTGGGTCTGCATCTTCTCCAGCAGCGAGAGGACTAGCTCTGTGGGAACAAGAGGCAGGTGAGGGCACAGCGCTGACAGGCGGCCGGGGGCTCCTGGACCCCGGGCGGTGCACTGAGCCGCCCGGCAGGCCCGGGCCGGTTGGGGGCGCAGCGTCCCGGTGCAACACCAGCACGGCACATGCCAGCAGCTGGCCACCTGGAAGGGCCTTTCCCAGGGAGAGGCCGGAGCAGGCACAGCTGGCAGTCACACGTCTGGCCCAGTTTTCCCAGAATCGCAGGCTCAGGCCCCGGGCCACGGCTGACAGCTGCTCCCCTAGTTTCCAGGAGCCCGAGCCCCGGTGGCCGCGGCAGTGGAGCCTCCTGGGCCGGGGGCCTGTGTGCTCTGCTCTCCACGCACGCTGCGCGTCTCTGCTCCTGGGTGTGGAGGAGAGGGGGGCCACGTGCCAGGACGAGCGGGTGGAGCAGTGCGGCCCCCGACCCCAAGCTCCAACCCCAGTCCCTGACGCTGAGAGAGAGAGAGGAGGGGCCGGGTGGAGCCCAGGGACCAGCCCGGACAGGCCCCTCCAGGCCTGGCAAGCGAAGTCACATCCCTCTGACCGTACAGGCACCAGGGCCGCGCACTGCGGCACACCGAGTGCCGCGGCGCAGCCGGCCCCCACGGGCCAGGCCCTGCGCCGTCCCTGGCCCCTCCAGCCAGCATCCAGAGAGAGCGGGGAGGGCGGCCGAGGGGCGCAGGTGTCACACTGGACGGAAGAGGAAGAAACCGAGGCTCAGAGAGGAAGGGCTCAGCAAGGCGCCACGTGCACTGCCAGGGAACCAGCGTCTCCGGTGACGTCACTGGTGGTGACCAGGGTGCCGCCCTCACCTGCTGCAGCCCAGGCCTATTGGGGAGACACGGGGGGTGCCCCGGGGCAGACGGTGGGACAGCCTCTGTGAGAAGCGCTGGTGACCAACTTTGGTTTGAAGAGAGCAGCCCCTAGCGGCCTCCTGTGTCCTCCCGTGTCTTCCCGTGTCCTCCCGTGTCCTCCCGTGTCCTCCTGCCAGCTGCCTGGGGAAGAACCATTGGCAGAGCAGGCGTCCCGCCAGCTGGGCTCGGGTCTGACCACACCCAGGACTGAGGCAGCTGTCGGGGGCGGGGCGGGCGCTGGACGCGTCTGTCTGCTCGGCCCTCCTGCCGCTGCCCAGCAGGACCCAGGGCTGGAAGGCCCACAGGAAACCTCGGGTCTGCCAGCCCGTGACGGCGGGGCGGGCTCTGGCCGCCACGCACCACCCTTGGGCGCCTTCCGCAGGGGCCCTGGGCTGTTGGAAGCCCGGCTGCGGCTTCCTTTCCTGGGAAAGAAGGAGAAGCACAAGGGCGTCTGCTCTGCGGCCGCAGAGTGTGAGCCAGACAGTGCCTGGCCCCTGAGTGAGCAGGGATCTGCTGAAATCCCCGTGCACGATGTCTGTGCTAGACTATGACATCACCACGTCGAAGATGAGGCCAGAGATGCGCAAAGTCATTGCAGAGAGAGAGGGAGGAGAGAGCTCCACAATCCAAATCTCTTCTCTTTGCTTGTAAGCAACGCAAGGTTGGACACGCCCACCTCTCTGAACCTCTACCTCCCTACCTCTAAAATGGAGATGGCACCACGCAGGTGTGTGCAGCTTCCTGCATTGCACCTGGCATGCTCAGAGGACCAAGGAGACAGCAAAGGGACATGCTTGTCAGACCCAGGAGACTGCCCAGCCCAGGAAACAAAAAGGACATCAGGGGAAGCCTGGCCCAGCCTGACGCCAACACTGGACAGCAGGGGCTGGGCCCAGGTGCTGTGGTCCCACAGAGGGGTTTGTGCTCTATGAGTGGCAGCACACGCTGAGTCCTGGGAACACCCATCAATCACCCACAGGCTCTGGGTACTCACTGGGGAGCAGCGGATGGAGCCCCCAGCCAGGTGGAGCATCTCCCCAAGCTCCCAGGCTGGAAATGCAGTTTTCCCAAGCTGAGTGTCATGGAGCCACCCACAGCACCAACCCACTCGTGGCATGTCGATCAAATGACAGTTGTGCATCACCAGGGTGTAGACCCAGCTCTGGACCTCAGTAAATTCACCAGGGAACACTGCTCTGGGCTGGCCTTCCTGGGACATTTACTTCCCCAAGCTGCAGATGGGGAGATCGAGTCACAGCCAGGCCTATCAGATGAAGAACTCACTGCTTAGTGGAAAGTCCAGATATATGGACCAGCTCTTGTGCTGGGCTCAGAGCAGACAGACATTTCTCTTAACAAGCTGAACTGTCTCAATGAGCTAAGATGACAAGGCCCAAGAAACCCCTGCCTGGCCCCTGAGGGCTCAGCTAGACACCCCAAGAGTTTTGGAGAAAACCCTGGAAGGACACTCACTACCACCAGCTCCTGGTCCTTGGCAGGTGCTCACAGACCCTAAGCTTTGAATATCTGTGATATTTGGTACAATACTAGAGTTTCCCAAAGTGCAGCCCAGAATGGTCAAGCCACCCATCTAGCCATCCACCCATCCATCTAGCATCCATCCATCCATCCACCCAGCCAGCCAACCAGCCATCCATCCACCCAGCCAGCCAGCCATCCACCCAGCCAGCCAGCCATCCACCCAGCCAGCCAGCCATCCACCCAGCCAGCCACCCACCCAGCCATCCATCCATCCACCCACCCATCTAGCCATCCACCCATCCACCCATCCACCCACCCGGCCAGCCAGCCAGCCAGCCAGCCAGCCATCCATCCATCCATCCACCCAGCCATCCATCCATCCACCCATCCATCCATCCATCCACCCACCCATCCACCCATCCACCCATCCACCCATCCACCCACCCGGCCAGCCAGCCAGCCAGCCAGCCAGCCATCCATCCATCCACCCAGCCAGCCAGCCAGCCATCCACCCAGCCATCCATCCATCCACCCAGCCATCCATCCATCCATCCACCCAGCCAGCCATCCATCCATCCACCCAGCCATCCACCCATCCACCCATCCATCCAACCATTGATCCATCCAGCCATCCACCCATCCACCCATCCATCCAACCATTGATCCATCCAGCCATCCAGCCAGCCATCCACCCATTGATCGATCCATCCAGCCATCCAGCCAGCCAGCCAGCCTGAAGACCCTCATGCACCCCTGCTCTCACTGCCGCAGTGTCAGGCCTGCGCTCGGTTCACGGGGGACTGTGGGAGGAGGGGCAGTGCTGTGCTCAGACTTGGGGACCAGAGGAGGCCTCGGACTCAGCTGTGGACAGTCGGGGCAGGGCTCTGGCGGAAGTGACACTGATGCTGAGAGCAGAGGACAAAGAGGAAAGGGTGCCCCAGACAGAGGGAAGCAAACGTGCACAGGCTGGAGTCAAACAAGCGCAGGGAGCAGGCAGGGAACTGAGCATTCGGTTCAGAAAACAGATCTCGAGCCCATGAAATCTTGTACAAACATCAGGGGCACAAGTCCACGAGTCTAGCTGGCCCCTCCCGTACACTGAGCTTTCGCTGGTCTCCATGGTCTCACAGTCCCAGTGGGGGGGAAACTTCCGGAATTCCTGATGCCTGGGAAGCCCTTCCCTGCACGCTCACTGTCTGACCCTCACAGCAGCCTCCAGGGGCGAAAATAGAGACTCCGCTGAAGAAGTCACCTTCTTCCGTGAGCGAGCTACACAGTCAGCAGGCGGCAGGCCAGGACTCAACCCCGGGCTAGTCTCCACAACCATCCCCGCGTGGTGCGGCCACACCAGCGCCCCAACACCAGACCTATCCCCACGCCCGTCCTTTCCTTCATGCTGGGGCTGAGCCCACAGAAAACCAGCTCCAGCCTTGGAGAAGAGCCCAGGCCAAGGTCCCCCAGCCCAGGCGGGGGAATGCAGAGGCCACCGGACCTGCAAAGGGACCAGCCAGCAGGTCAGTCCTTTGCTGTTGCCCACCACGCACACACCATGGGGGGCTTCCTCCCGGCTTCCCACAGAACCCGCCCCGTTCTCACGGCTGGTCCTTCTCTCCCTGCTGGGGGTGACGCAGAGCAGCGAGAACGGGCTTGGCCGCCTGTCCCTCCTGGCACCCGTGTGCACAGCCGTCCCTGAGGACGTGTCTGCAGGGGCTGCCGCTCCTCCGGCCCTGGGGCCGGGCCTGCTCCTCTCACCGGGTGGGCAGCAGCCAGCGGGTCCCCCCTTCCGGGCTCACCACCCTGCTCGGACGGACGGTCAGAACCGCTCGCACTCACCCCGAGGTCCCCGTCACACCTGGGAGCCGCCCCACAGCAGGGCTGTGGGTCCAGGTCCTCCGAGGACACTGACCTCAGAGCCAGCCCAGGCCACCGGGCCCTTGGCACGGGACGGGGCGCCGCCCAGGCCCGGCAGTCTGGGCGCATCTTATTTCACGGGGCCTCAGCCCCCCTCGCCTCCACGCCTGTCCACCTGGGGAGGAGCTTGCTGGCCCCCAGGGCTCCAGCCTGGCCACCTCCTCTGTGCCCCAGGAGGCTCCTCCTGGCTGCCAGGGAGGGTGCGTGTGTGTGTCGGGGTGTTGGTAGCACCCACGGGACCCGGACGTGTTGGCGTTGCCAAGAGAGAGGCCTGTGTTTGTAAACACGCACCGGGCAGGAGGACCCAGCCCTTGGCACGAACCAGCCTCCTCTTCCTCTCCGGCCGGCACCACCCGAGTGTCTCCTCCAGCACAGGCAGGTCCAGGTGCCAGGTGGCGGCACGGGATGGGGGGCCTGGGACTCCCCCACCGCACCCTGTCCTCTGCTGACTTAGAGCCCCTGCAGGGTGGTGTCGAAGGCCACTGCAATCGGGGTGGGGGGGACCAGGAGGAAACGCACGCCGGGGAGCACGCCAGCTCCCGCCGGTGGGCAGCAGAGGCAAAGCGCAGAGCACAGTCCCCGGGGAAAGGCCCTGGGCCACGCTCGGCTCTGAGAGCCCTCTGCCAGTCCAGCCTCCTCACCCAGCACTCCAGGCCTTCACGGCGCGCTGGGCGGCTCCACCATCTCAGGACTGACCACTCCTGCCCACCCCCCCACGGCCCGTGGCCTGGGCCAGCCA